GACAAGGGGACTATATAGAGTATATGTACATATGTATATATGTATTTTTTTTTTATGTACTTCCAATGGTTATCAGTATATGCTGTCCATGTTGCTGCTGTTTGCGTGCCACGTCCGTTGCAGATAAAAAAGAAGAACGCGTGCTGCGGAACTTCCATGACCAGAATCCGTTGTTTCCCAAGAATTTATAGACATTTTGTTAAAAAATAAACATAAAAACTTCATTAAAAAATAGATATTTGTGGTGTCTAATGATTAATTATAGTTTCAGTTACTAGTTAGTCCAAGTCCACCCTGTTTTGCTTTGAAAAGCGTTGCCTATGGCTTCCAAATCCACAAAACAAAACAAAAAGTTGCCCCCAACCACTGCCGCGCACTTGTTACCCAGTTTTCGGTTTGAAAACAAAATGCGACTAGCTCGGTTAGTCGGTCGTCCGAACTGGGTCTCTCTCCTAATCACTCCAACTAACACAGACAGAGAAACAAAGCCAAAGGAAGCCGGTGGCGGTCTTTCTGGTCGAGTGCCCTCCTGCAATTGTAATGCAAACAGGAACCATAATGTCAGTACTGGCCCCCGATCGAAGCAGATATAGAGAGATATGGAGGTCTGGGCAAGGTTGCTGTGGGGTGGAAAGGGACAGAGTACAGCCAGACAACGCTTTCTGCTTCACTTGACACCCTCGTGGGTCTCTTGGGCCGCCGAATGCAACTCCCAGCCAGTAGTTGTTATGTAAAGTGCGAGGCAAAGTGCATTGACAGGCATTGGGAGATTTCCCTTTACCGTTGCTGGTTGCAAGCTGAAAGCTGCCACACTGTTGTGCAATCGGCCTGATTATAGTGGTTAGTCCAGGGCTATATAGGCTATTATCTGGATCAGCTATCATAGATACTGGAGAGCCCTTAAGCCTATAGGGTTTGTGGTTTCCGATAACCGCATCCCATAAGCGATAGATGATCAAGCCTGCAATAGTATCTATATCTCTTATTTGGAATAATAATCTATTTGCTTAACCTCTTTTTTAGGGCTTAGCTTGATAACTGATACCACTTCCTATAAACAATAAATCACAAAGCTTTCTTCGATTATCGTTTTTTATAAAAATATATATGGGTTGTGTCCCCGTTCCACTTTTTCTTCACTTTCCTTGACTTGATCGAATGTCACGAGTCTCTGGAAGCACAACTCGAATACCGAATCGAGTGATTCAAGTGATGGAAAGCCACGATGAGGAAAACAATGCGACAAATGCCTTTAATCAATCGGATCAGCCCTCAATCTTGACCCACAGAGTGTGGCACTCGCATTCCTCGCCTCTGATTGCTCGCCAGTACTCCCCATGGCATAGGAGTAGGGCCCATACCCAAACCCAAACCCTCAATATCACAATACAATCGATGACAATCTTCAATCGAATTTAACACTTTTCAGTGTTCTCCTCCGCCCCTTGCCGGCAATTTGTTAATTTCTTTATTGCTTTTTATTGTCATTGTTTTGTTTGGATGGTTATTTTTTGTTTGTCTCCTCGAGGGGTTACTTCCCTTGCCCTCCTCTGAAGCTACATTCTTATGGCCACACTTTGGTTGATGAACCAACTCGCTCCAAGTGAAAGTCGCGTGGGGCTGGGAATCGGGATTGGTGGATGGTGCGTTTCGGGATTGGGGCCTTCTACTAATAAAGTCTGTGACATCTGATGAAGCCTCCACATCATGGAAAACTTTCGCCATGATTTATTAGCCAGCTAGTTAGTGTTGGCCAGCCAGGCAGTCATCTTTTTGGAGGCTGCGACATTAATCTTCCGGCTTTGGCTCTCAAATAAATAAATATTATTTAAATGCCAGTCTTCGAAGATGTGTCTTCGATGTCATTAACCTGGGGGGCAAGACTGAAGAGAAATGGAGACCCTCATCAAGTGCCAGCTACACCTCGATCTGGTCCGCTCCTTATTTGCGAATAGACTTGGCTGATCTCTCCCGCGATCCGGTCAAGGTCGGCAATGCGATCCGATTGGCAAAATAACCTCGAGAGTCGTCTATCAATGTCAGACCGACCCGCTGGCGCGGCGATGAGCTCGGCGATCATGTTCGGCCTCCGATCCCAGGGCATCCATAGAAATCCAAGCAGCATAAGTGCTTCCCACATTCCCGCTAATCAGTCGCTGATCGATCGATCGATCTAACCAGAGACATTCCTTTCTCACCTCGTAAGTCGGGTCTTAATCAATGCATGTGCATATGCCTCACTGCCTCACTGGCCTATCATTAAACATTTATATAAATCAATGGCGCTAATGGCAACTTTCCTGCAAACATCGACAAACGGCCGGCTATTTGCCATTCCATTTAATCAGACTCGGGCGGACTGGCGGTCCAAACTGGCACGCACACAGCCTCTGGAATGGATTGGGTGGCTGTGAGTGGATGGAATATAGGTGGGACTGTCGTGGCAGATCAATTGGAAAAACAATTTCCCGCCGTCGGGGCGCTGCAATATTGCGCAAGCGCACCACCGAACTGTGTTACTGTGAAAAGTAAATTAATTTGATTCGATTTGGGTTGAGTGGAGTTGAGTTTGTTTGATGGAAAGGCTACAGGGGAAATAATATTTCAAACAAATTGGATTTATGTATATCTTTGTATTAAAAATACAGGTCTATATACTACCGGGTATAGTTATTAAAATAAAGTAGCATATAGCATATAGTTTTGAAAATTGTTAGAAAATATTTATAGTTTCAAATGTATTTCAGAAATACTATTTTCTTTTAGCCATTTCTTAGCGTAGTTTCCTAACCTACTTAGTCACATGAGTGATCTTAGACTTATAGCCATAACATAATACCTATTTACAAGATAGTCTCGTCGACAAATATAGTTGACAGATTGACAGATTTTGAATAAAACAGTGTTGACTAACAACTGCTCTGTTTACCCTTAAACTGCGACAAGGTTTCATTTCGCCTCCTATAGAAGGCCTCCTTATTATAATAAAAACACATAATGTTATCTATAATTGTTCTCTCTAACTACATTGTACAATAATTTTGTTTTGATCAATGAAAGGTTGAATTTAAAAAAAAGTTTCTTTTTTATAAATTGGTAGGTGTTACCTTTTGTACCTGTAATATTTTATTAGAATCTTTAGTATATCAACACCTATCTCATTTCTGTTGTTGTTCCACTTTTATTCAAAAATCGATTTCCTCGAATAAGCTTGCCACATAAGTTGAAAAGTTTGCATAATTTTTTTTATACACAGTAAAGGTTAAATACATTTAAAAATGGGGTATGTCGAATCATTTTACGCTTTCCAACATCCAACATCCAACATGAATGTATTGAGGTAGGAACTTTGTTGGGAAAAATGAAAAATAAACAAAAAACTTAATGTGTAGAGATACTTTGTAGATATTACCAAAAGGGAATATACATAAATAAAAATAAATACATGAAAATAAAAAGTATATTCTAACCATAATCTAACAGCTTAAGATGTTTGAATATTATTTTAAGATGTGATATGAACCACTTCTTTAAAGGTACTTCAAATCCCTATAAAAATATACACTTCCCATTCCATTCTGTGCATCAAACACTCAATTATATAAGCGGGCCAGCTCCCAGGGCAACCAACTGACAGGCCTAGTTTATAGTTTATAGTTTATAGTCCCTGTTTCGGGTCCGAGTCGAGTCCTGCTGGCAACCACCCACATACCACATGTACCACATCGTACATGCCCAGAGAGCCAACGCCCTCGGGTATTGCAACTCAATTACTGCAGCTCCTCGCTTGACATTTCAAGCGAACCTTCCTGGCCGGCACTTTTCCGAAAAAAGCGAAAAACACTTTTCCGAAAAACACTTTTCATTGCCTTGCCTGCCCCGGCCGCACCTTGAAGCGGGTGAGGTGAAAGTTGTGTGACGCAACTAACCCCGCGATTAAAAACAAATAGATTCTACAAACGCACTCGTTTAATGGCTATTGGCAGCGTAATTGGGGATTGTTTTAATTTCCGAAACCCAAAAGATGTTGCCAAATAGCACTGATCGGTGATCACAAAGGCAGGGGATAAGGCAACCTTGTTAACCGAAAGAAATTAATATAATCGCTCTCGACAGAGCGAACATTGAAACAAAATTACCAAATTTACCAAATTTGGCAAGGCCCGAAAACAAGAAGAGCCATAATAACGTGAATTTTCGAGAGTTTAGAGCTCATTTGGGCGCCACGATCGGAACTGGGACTGGGTTTCATTATGTAATTGGCCTGAACTTCAAATGCAAAACGGCCACGTTGCTGGCTGTGTTTTTAAATGATTTTTTTACTTGAAATTCAAATCTGCTAACGATTGCGTTTGGGGGCGTGATTGGCGGCAAAGTGGGCCAAAACGGCAGCCTCTTTTGATGTCTCTGGGCCATGTCCGACTCGGGCTGCGTGCGAAAATAAAATCAAAAGTGGAGCGCAGTTTGTTTTGATTGTTGTTAGCCCTCCATTGACAAGCGAGTGTATTGAAAAGTGTTGCCAATTGCCAACAATGATGGCTAACAGAGAAAAGAAAGAGAAATGCCAATTATGTCACAACACCCGACGAGGAGGAAGTGACTGCCCGTATTTGTGTCATTTGTGGAGTTATGATTTCCCAGCAAATACCCTCTATAATTGTCAACTAGTGGCAGTGACTAATTTTAGACTGACTTCATAAGCCTAATGAACCACTTTGGCTGGCTGGTTTGAAAGTCTTTCAACCGTTTCAGCTAAATCGATTTATTGTTATGGCATCTTGGCATCTATAAGTGAATTCCATTTGTTTTCTACGCAGTTTCAGATATTCCACGCCAGCTAATTAAAAAATTGGATTAATTTCGCATTCTCGGTTCATTTTTATCGAGATCCGCCACGCAGTTGTGTTGGCTCAATGTCAAGTGGCATTAATAGAGCTTTTCTGTATTCTATAGTCTGTATTCTGTTTCTAATCAATTCCATGTGTTTATTCCACTTTCAGGATCAAAACGATAATCTGGCGATACACACACACAAAGGCATCGAGGGCCTGGACAGATATGCCAGCTTTCTGCGGGATCGTGTGGCCATAGAGGCGGAGTACGCCGGCAAGTTGAGGTGAGTTTACTAAACTTTTAAAATACTTTAAACTTTTTTACTTTTAAGGCATCTAACCTTATATGGCCTCAACAAATGGCCAATTAAATATAGATATTTTTTAGACACTTGCTTGATGCCTCACCCATTTGTGGCATGTTGCGGCTGCAGCTGTGGCAGCTGCCAAAACAAAAATGTTCTCACTAATGTAAATTCGGTTAATAACAAAAGCTGTTGCTTTTGGCCAAGAAATCGGCACAAGGTCGTCCAGTAAGCAGGCTCCGGTCCTGCCAAGAAAGTGCATTGTATAGCCCACTATTAAATATCCAATTTATGGTTATATTTTTTTATTTTAAAGCTTAAGACGTATTTAATTCAAGCCTTTTGTCTTTCACATTTTCTGCGGCCTTCGTCCGGCGACAGAACAAGCCATAAACAATAATCGTAAATAGTTAATTGTGTTCATTGTTGGCTTTATGTACTTGTGGCGCATTTCAATTATCGCCGAAAGAGAACCACACCTCGCCAGAGCCAGAGCCAGAGCCCGGCCAGCAACCCCTCCTGGATGTGGAGAATTTCACTAAATTGAGTGACACCCGAGAAACCACGACCTGCCCCACGCAATTGACACGCGACTCCGTCCCCATCTCCGTCCTCCTCCCTCTCGCATCTGGACTGACCAGGGCCCTGGACATGTGGGGCTATAATGGGATTAGGCTTGGGTTACTCTCTCACACAATTGCCCAATGTAGTGGCGTAGTGGCGTGGGCCGATGTCGGCTCGTCATAATTGTTTAATTTAAGCAGAGATTATGTTGCCGTCAAGGTGTTGCAGACCCAGGCGGCAGATCGCATCAGGGGTGTTGGGGTAGTGGCGGGGGCATCGCTGGCTTCTCACTGGCTGCCAGGTTCCCACAATGAGTCGCAGCTTCGGAGCTTGATGACTCCGCTGCTGGTACATGACTGCCAGAGACTGAACTGTGGCCCCTGATAGTGCTGGGAGCTACTGTCTTGACTTGTTTTAATGACTTTATCATTACGCGTCTAACGTGGCTAGCGGGTTCGGTTGCAGAGGTACATTGGGAAAAATAAAGGCGGGTTGTAGAAGGGGTCTATAAGATGTAGATTATAATATAAAGAAAGTACTAGATATTGTACAGTTTAGACTGGATATAAAGATTTTTGCGGAAGTAAATATATAAAAGTTTTATAGAGCAGGTAATAAGAAGTAGACTTTCTTATGTAGATTAAAATATAGAGACTATAATAGATACTAAGCAGACCACAATAAAAACTAAAGTAGACTAAATATACTAAATAATATAGCTGGTTATATGGCGTATACTATTCCAGACTAGATATATAGGGTTTTAGATTACTTTCTTTAAGATATCAATATAGAAACACATGTAGGTATGTAGGGGCTTAATTTCCTTCTATGAGAAATACTCTATCTTATAATGGCTATAATATAGACCGGAATATTTGGAATTATTTATTTCAAATTACTTCTTTATAGATAGACCCAGTTATGTAATAGACCCAGGGCTTCAGATTACTTTCTTTGAGATATAAACATTTCTATACACACCGTATAATATATCATATAATACAGCTGAACTGTAGCCTATATTAGATATAATATTATAGAATCTGTATTCTAGATATTCAATTCTAGAATAAATATATAGGTTCTTAGATTACTTCCCATAAGAAAAAGAAATTATTTTTAGATAGAGAATTTCATAGCCTTTACTAGACTATAGTAGACTAAATTAATATTCTAGATACTATAGGAAACACTAGATATTCTATACTAGATACCATTATATATAGCTGTAGCTCAGACTAGATATGTATACTTTTAGATTACTTCCTTTAGAAAATAGACGGTCTTATATGGACTATAATATAGACATTAATTAAAGGCGTGTACTAGATACTGTAGTAGACTAGATGTACTAAATACTATAGCCTGTACTAGATGCTCTACTCTAGTCTAGATATATGGGGTTTTGACTACTTTCTCTGAGATATACAATTTCCTACACAAAATAATATCAACTTTAGAAGAAACAATAGCCCATACTAGATACTTTAGACATCACTAGGTTTAGATATCCTATAATAGATACTAGATGTTCTATACCAGATACTAGATACTACAATCTACAGCCCTCTTCCATCCTAGATATACAGACTCTCTTTCAGAATTAGTCCATAAATGGCAACCACAACCGGCAGCTTTGAAAGTCAAGTGCCAATGATCTCCCATTTACTGCACCTATTTACTGCACTTTTCCCACAGTGTACTGGTAGCCAGAGCCTCCCCAGCTAGACCTCTGCCAACCACCAGTTCGAACAGCAACTAGACCACAAAGCAGCCCCAAAAGCCTCAAATGAAAATCACGAGGAAAACAGCATTAATATGCGCCGCGCAGTGAAATCTCTTGCGTGCTCCGCCTTGGCAATAGCACTCGCAAAATGAAAAGCCCCCGTGTTAATGCAAATGCTTCTACTGACTACTTACTTACTTTACTTTACTTTACTTTACTTTACTTACCACTCTTGGTATTATTATTATTATTATATCTCTCTCGGCATATACAAAGTTTCACTAATGCCGTGATTTTAATTTGTACCTTTCGTTTTTCTCTCATTGCAGGCGACTGGTGAAAAACTACCAGCCCAAAAAGAAGGAGGAGGAAGACAATGAGTAAGCATTACCCCCAAAAAAATAAAAAAAACTAACCATACATATAAAGATTTTTGGGGGGGGGAACCTACCTACCCACATCACATCGCTTGTTAAATGTCTTGGAAAATGATCGGTTGTTTGGTGCAGTTTGTTTGCCATATTTGTTGGCAACGTGCTAAGTGGATGTCGATCTGGTTGGATCAACTCATGACTGGAAATTTTAGATTCCTCCACAACTAGGTACATAGGGGGGTTGTGCGTGCCTGGTGTCATTCCATTTCATTCAAATCCACTTGGGGCTGGGCCAGGGTTTCAAGTAGTTCTCTTCGCGAATACACGGATGCGTGTGGTCTGGAAATCTCAGTTTTTAATTACACGCCATGCAAATCTGCTCCAGAGTGGAGAACTGACATCATGACCCGCAAATAGACGTGTGGCATGTGTGTAATACACAGCCATAGCCTATTGCCGAATGGCAGTCTTGGTAATGAAATACCAATCGCTTCGCCTTATTCAGCTGTTCAGATCCATAAATTCATGCCCGTTGGCCGGCCATATAGAGTGGCCATTCTGAGGGACGGCGATGATAGACTGACAGGCCGGCGGAGCCGCGTGGGCGATCCAAAGCGCGTGTTCGACTCCGTCAGTCCGCGAGCGCCATAAATCGGGCCCTTGACTTTGGACAAGCTCGAGTGTGTAAACAGAGCCGAAATCTGCACTGAAAAAAACCAGAATGTCCAACAAGCGATGTGGTTTTTCTCAAGATCTTCAAGTAGGCCGCACTCATTACCATGCTCTCGTTTCAGATTCACAACGATGCAGGCGTTCCGCAACGTGCTCAAGGAGGTGGGCGATCTGGCGGGACAGCGCGAAATAGTCTCAGAATCCCTGCAGAACCAGATCATCCTGGGTGTGACGCTGCTCTCGAAGACCCTGCGCGAGGATCGCAAGGTGAGTGGTTGAGAGGTGATCATCCCCAAACGAATCCTATCTAAAGCTCTGATTCTCTCCACAGAAATGCCTTAGCGATGGTGCCACACTGCAACAGAACCTCAACACACAGCTAACCTCGCTGGAGAGGGCCAAGCGGAACTACGAGAAGGCCTACCGCGACTCGGAGAAGGCCGTGGACAGCTACAAGCGGGCCGACATGGACCTCAATCTGAGCCGGGCCGAGGTGGAGCGGTACAAGAACGTGATGACCACCAAGATCCAGCAGTCGGACGACGCCAAGAACGAGTACGCCAACCAGTTGCAGAAGACCAACAACCTGCAGCAGCAGCACTTCAGCATGATGCTGCCCGCCGTGCTCAACCGGCTGCAGGAGTTGGACGAGAAGCGCACCCGCGGCTTCAAGGAGTTCATCATTGGGGCGGCGGAGGCCGAGTCCTCGGTGGCGCCCATCATTGCCCGCTGCATGGAGGGAATCGTAAAGGCCGGCGAGTCAATCGACGAGAAAGAGGATTCCAGCAAAGTCATAGAAAGGTTTGGTTCTACCTTCGAAGGGGAATAAGGACTCAAACTAACCATGTTACCTTGCAGATACCAGTCTGGTTTCACGCCCCCGAGGGACATACCCTTCGAGGACCTGTCCAAGAGCGACCCCGACGCCGTGCACGACTCACACTACAGCAACCCGACAGCGAACCACCTGACGATGAGGGGCACGATGAGCGCCAACAAGCTGAAGAAGCGAGTGGGCATCTTCAACATATTCGGCAGCAACAAGGTAAGGGATTCCGTGGCCACTTGCAGGGAGGTGCGGGACCCAGTTCTAGACTCTAGAGGGTCCAGAGTTTTCAGTTAACCTCGCACTCGGTCTGTTTCATTCAGTGCACCAGCCTCTTGAGTTCCAACCGCTTTTTGATTAGTTTTGAAGAGTTTCGGTGTTCTATCGATAAGTCGTAGGCTATGTCTCGGTTATGGTTTGTGCCTCCTTATGGTTTACTCATCCAGTCTTCTCTCTTTTCCGTTCTCGATTACCATTTATTATTTAACTTGGACATGGTTCTGTCTCTTGCCGTAAGTACCAAGTGTCCAGTGTCCAGTGTCCACCCGGCCTCTCCATGCATACTCCACTAATACCAGACTACTACCATACTACCATCATTTGCCATGTTCTGTGTCTCATTTAATAATAGTTTGTGTCAGCTTTGCTTTATGAGTTTCCCTTCACAATGCCAACCAAATCCAATGCTTCTTCTATGAACTATATTTAATTAACTCCTCGTTTCTACTTTTGTACACATATTTGTTGCTGCAATTCGGTATTCGGTTTTGAAATGATTAAAACTGCTTTTCACACACAAACACCACACGAAACAAACACCCAACACCGCCAACAAACATGTGCTACAACACAACAACCTACAATTAATAAATTACTAAATCAATTCGCTGCCGCTAACTAAATAGCAACGGCAGATAATTGAAGCCTGTATCACCATGAAGGTATGATGATTCTTTCAGCTCTCCATCTCTCTCTGCTACAACTAACTAAGATTAAGACTAAGACTAGCTCTAACTAGCCCACCTAACAACACTACCTCGCTATCTATACTAATCACAATAACTAATAGTCCCAGCGCAACTTTCACTTTAATCTTGGCTTAAACTCTTCTAGCCAAGTTCTAAAATTAACCATCACCAATTAAACGCAAACTTTTAAGAAACTTTGTCAGTAATTCGTTAACTAACTAGCAGAAAGTCATAGCAGCACACTCACATTGTATTATTTATTTAATTATTTTAATTTTGAATTTATTTTTTATTGAGTCATTAGCCCTCGATATACCTCCGCATGATTGAATGCCTTTATCACATTGTTTTCCCTTACGTTCCATTTCCATAATTTGGTTCTTTATGGGGCCATTTAGTGGCCTGTTGATGCGAAAACAGGTTCCGATTGATATCGAAAGCGGGTCATTGGATTATCAGTACATTAGCATTTATGGTTTCTTGATTTCGTTGTTCCCTTTATTTTTTTATCAATAATTTTGTTTACTCACTGCGTGCCACTGTTGTTGTGCCTTGCGGATGTCTTGCTGTGCTGTCTTTTTAGTCCTTGTTTCTATTGTACTCATTGCATTCTTCAAAATATTTAATTTTCAAAGACAATCGGCTAACTGTTATTCATATCCCATAGAACTCCCTGACTGCGGACGGACAAAAGGAGGACTTTAGCGATCTGCCACCGAACCAGCGACGAAAGAAGCTGCAGGCGAAGATCACCGAGCTGCAGCAGAAGATCGGCCAGGAAACCAATGCCAGGGACGGCCTGATGAAAATGAAGATCGTCTATGAGGCGAACTCCTCGCTGGGCAATCCCATGACCGTCGAAGGCCAACTGAACGAATCGGAACACAAGCTGGAGAAGCTGAAAGTGGATCTGAAGAAGTACCAGGGCTTCTTGGAGAAGGCCAACCAAGTCCAGATGGCCACCAGTAGTCCGCAGGCGAATCGCAATCAATTGCAAAACGGTCACAGAACCTCAAGGTAGGGTTACTCTTTTAAAACCAGACTCGAGCTAATTATTATAATTTTTTGTAGACATTCCAATGGCAGTGCCGATGACCATCATGACGATGGCGACGACCAGCCCGACGATGCTGGCAGCTTAAGCAGGTCAGATTCTGAGGATAATGTGGCGCAAATACAAAATGGGCATAATAATAACAATAACGGGTACACTCATAAGTCTACGTTCAATGTTTATAAATATATATATATATCCACCTCACCCCACATCGTACATCATACTCGACCACACATTATCGTAGCCTTCTTCAGTTCTAATCTCTGGTTTTTATTTCCGCATTGCACTCATAGCACCTGGTGTGTGGCATTTTCTTTGGTGTCGGTTCATTTTCGGTTTCCCATCCACGAACCTATAAAGCAATAACTGCCCAGAAAGTCCACAATATGCCAAAGGATACAAAATTTGATTTAATTTCGTAGATTTTTGATTAATATTTGATTTCTTACTGCTCTACACCGTACATGATAACACTTAATAATGATGGTATTGCAACTTCTTCAAATATTTCGTTTCATTTTGCCTATTCCATGGTGAAATCTAGCAGTTCGGCAAGTCCTGAGAGTGGTCTGGGCACTTCACATACATCCCTGCCAGGATCCGGGCAGGGCAGTGCCAACGAGAACGCAATAGGAGAGGATACCTACTACGAAACTGAGGTGGAAGCTCTCCAACCCCTGGGCACATGTCGAGCCTTGTATCCCTTTGAAGGTTGGTACTTTGAGATCCTGCCTTAATCCGAAAGTAACTATATTATATCCTATATCCCACAGCCACCAGCGAAGGCAGCATACCCATGAACGAGGGCGAGGAGCTGCAAGTGATTGAAATCGACCAAGGAGACGGATGGACGCGAGTGCGGCGAGCAAACAACTCGAATGGCTGGGACGAGGGCTTCGTGCCCACGAGTTACATCGAGTGCACGCTCTACGCCTAGAATTAAGAATATTATTGGGGCGGGCAGTTAGCCGGGCGGTTTTAAATGTTACCTACTCAGCAAACATTTGTGTATGTTCGATTTATTTGTGTACTTTTGTCATAACTTTGCGTTCTCTCGGACAGCCATACTATACACCTCCTCCACCTAAGGACACACACACCCACACCCACACCCAACCCTGTACATTTGACCTAAGCTAAGTTCGAATCATTTAACCTTTGTATGCTTTGTATATTTACTTTGATTTTAATCGTCGTCGATCTTATGGTAGTGCAAGCTATATCATACTATAAATACTATAGTCATTATGCACCTACGAGCAGACCTCACCTAATTGTAAGCACCGCAAAGTTTCCCTCTTCACCTAAAACAATCATGATAACACCTATTTATATACATATATATATATATGAAGCGAGATTTATATGGCAATTGAATACGTGAGAAATTGAAGAAAAAAAAAAACTTAACTAAACTAAACTGCCATCTGGCATTGAAAGTAATCTTGTAAACACGTTTTCCAACCGCAGAGCTAATGCTGATAAACGAGCTCAGTTTTGAAAATGTGTTGACGACAATTATTGTATCTGAATCACGGCTCTGGCCTTAGAGAGCATCTGCTGCCTTTCCGGCTGACCACCAACGGAAACGCGGTAGACTGCGTCCCATCGAAGTGATGCACTAAAGTAGGGTAGATATGCAAAGGACGTAGAAAGGACATCGACCACACCGGACCACACCCACAACTCAAGGATGTGTAGGCCAAAGTTATGGCAATCTTGCATGACATGGGGCATATGCATTTGCGGCAGCAAAGAACGCGCTAGCTTGTTTATATATAGAAACAATTGTACATTTTACTTTACACACTCTATGCTAATTCCTAATTTTAATTTGATGATAATTTTGTATTGCTCTTTGCCTTGTACATTTTCACACACACACAACTATGTTTAGAGGATACTGCAGCGCGTAGTTCTAGCATCTAAGTTCATGCAACATTTAAGGCTTAAGTCAGAGCAAAGCCGGGCGGCGCTGCATTCGTTATGTTCAACGCCACTTTGCAATAAATTTATTTATAAACAATATTTTAAAAGGATATACTGTACTGTAGTATATCGGTAGACCACAATCAAAAACTGCAAACCGGAAGTCTGCGAAGGTTTTTAGCGAGTTAGGTTTTTAGTTAGACATCGTATTCTGCAGCCTTTTCCATGTGTATTTTGTACTTTCATTTCGCATAATATATTATGCTACTATGCTTTAGCATTTAAGTGTGAAATCAACTGAAACTGAAGAATTCTGTTTTCTTATGTTAAATAAAGGATGTAAACGAATGATGAACTAATCTTAGTGCGGACGCAGCAAATAAACAATTCCAAAATTCTTAAATTTATCTAATTTTAAATTCGATACTGAAAACAGGCACAGATACGTATTAACGATAAAGTGTTTACATCAAATGGAAGGAAATTAATTGAATTTAAGTGAAGAAACTACGGCAAATGTATGTGAGAATTGTCAGCATAATAAAAGTAACTAAAATTATATTGTTGGTATTTTTATTTATTTACAAATTTTAGTTTTTATTACTCTGGTTTAATATTTTAAAAACTGTAATTTGAATTATCGTTAGAAAACTTTTTGGTGTGACCATACTTGTATAGTAATGACAAGTGATTTGTCGTTTTTTGGCGCTCCGTATACTGCCACTCTTGAACTTTACAAGCCGGCTGAAACTTTCATTCTATGGAACCTCACTCAAAAAAAGCCAAAATGACAAACAACCACAAGTTTAAGCAGAATAAGAAAAAGTACTTCCAGTCCTCCAAGAAGCAGTTTCTGCAGGCGGGCCAGCGCGGTTTCTTCGCCACGTGCAACATCAACGAGAAGGCATGTGTTCGCGAGTGCTACAATCTGTTGAACCACTACGCTGACTTGCTGTACGGCCCAGAGAAGCCCGAAGCAAACGCTGAAAAGAAGCCTGACGAACCGGGAGCAGGTGGGGAGGATGGAGGCCAGACCAAGAAACCCTCTAGCGATGATGATGACGACTTGGAGGCAGCGGCCGCCAAGTGCCGCGAGTCTATGGCGCCGCGCAAGGTGCGATTCCAGAACGTGGACACTGGCACCAACAAGTGCGTCTTCATTCGCACTCTTCTTGAGGATCCGGTAACTCTGGGCAAGCATATAGTCCAGGATATAGCCGCTACCGGGAAGTCCATGTCACGATTTGTGCTGCGTTTGGTTCCCATCGAAGCTGTTTGCCGGGCCAACATGACGGACATCATCGAGGCGGCTGGAGCACTCTTCGACAAGCACTTCCTGAAGGAGCCCACCAGCTATGGGATCATCTTTAATCACCGCTACAACCAGCAGATCAAACGCGACCAGATCATTACTCAATTGGCCGAGCTGGTCAACTCCAAGAACGTGGGCAACAAGGTGGATCTTCAGAAGGCCCAGAAGTCGATCATAGTTGAGGTGCTGCGCGGATGGTGCTTGCTCAGCGTCATTGACAACTACCTCGACTGTAAGAAGTTCAATCTGGCCGAGTTGGCCAATCCCAGTGATAAGAAGTCGAACGGCGAGGGGGAGTCAAAGTCTGAGGCGTCCGTGGAAGATGTTAAGGAGTCGGGAGATGCCAAGCCAATAACTGAGAAGTCGGAAGAGATTTTGGAGGAGGAAGAGTCTAAGGAAGAAGCCAACGCCAAGGAGGCTTAGCAAAAATCAAAAACAATGACCAGAGTGTAACATTTAAATATATATCCACCCATTAGATATAGATAGACCTAAACTGCCCATTACCTGCTGTGCGAACTGTAAATAAAAGCTTCAGCTAAAGATTAGCTGTTTATAATTTGTTAATATCTTTATTTTGTATCCTTATTGGCTAACTTTGGAGTGTTTTCGTGCTGCCGTTTCCATACATATTTGTATATCGTTGCTTGGGGTGTATGCTTACTTTACAGATCAATTGGTTAAAACTACAAGACTAGACTGAAGCCTCTGAATCAGTTGCGCTTTAGCAGCATGCCCACGGTGCCAGCTATCTTCTCGTAGGCCATAAACATGAGTGCAGCAGTAAGGACTGTTTGCAGGATCTTTGCCTCAAGGCCGCGGAACAAGCCACTAACGCCCTGGTGCTGCAATATGCTTATCATCAGTTCGAGTGTGCTCTCTGTGCGCGCTGGCTTGGAGCCGTGTGAGGTCGACGGCCTCGCGTCGGCCTCCTTGCTTCGGTGACGCTGCTTCGTCTGCACCAACTGCAGAGGATAGGTCAGGACCGTGGCAAATGCCTTGGCAATGGCACCGATGAAAAAGAAGCTCAGGCTGCCCATCTCGCCGCCCGTGAACCTCATAAGATTCCTCTTCAGCAGCTCGTACATCATGAACTGCAGAGCGGGATTCGAAACGAGCATCAGGGAGGGAATAGTTCCAGACCACAGACCGGCAATTCCTTCCCGCTTGGCCACATACTTCAGGCCCTCCACTAGGCTCTTGTAGTGCTTGTTCACCTCGTCGGAGGTTCCAGCCACATTGCGCATGCGCAGCCGCGTGTTGACAACCCAAAATGGTGTGGTGGTGAGCACATTAATGATGCCAGCTATGCTGCCCAGGAACAAGTCCTTCAGGGCACTGTGCTGGGCCGGAGATCCTCCAGAGGCGACCGCTTTGAGGGCGTGGAACGTATAAAAGTAGACAAAGTTCGAAATGCACAGGCTCTGCAGAACAGGACCAAGACCGCGGTACAAAGACTGGAATCCCTCACCCAGCACAATCTCCTTGATCACCTGCTTTGTGCTCCGCACCTCGCCGGACTCCTCCACTGAAAACAAAGAAAAGTGAATTTAAAACGAAAATACTTTGAGATTTTAAAAGTGAGAACATCTCAGGTGGAACCAGCCTAAATCGCTAATTCAATGTGTCACGCATATGTATTGAGACTTCTGTTTGCCCAGCCTTGAACCCTGATACGATAATTATTTAATTTAAAAAAACAACCCTTTTTAACCTTACCTTGTGTACAGTGGAAATTAGAAAAATATTTTATGATTATTTACTATTATTTAATTACGTGTTAAATGGAAATTTTATGAATGCTTTGCATTTGTTGTTAATATTTTAAGTTTCTATTCAAACATATTGCATTTTTTATAGCCAATACGTACTGTACCATATGTTTTATTGGTTGTGACAAAGTTCATTTTTTGGAAATTGCCAATGCAAATGGAAAAGAATTTGGGTCTTTAAATAAATAAATATTTCAGTCAAAAGCATAAAAAATAGAACTAATATTAGATACGATTTGAAACCTTTATCTTCATGTAACATTTCAGCAGCTCTATAAAGACTTTACGCGAAGAGCCCTTAATGAAAGATAAATGTTTGCCTAATTAATTTTTATGAAACCATTAAAAAAAAGAATCTACGAACGGTATGAGACCGATATAAAAAAGATTAAATGGTTTAATACTACATAAGCACCAATATTCTATCATATGGAGCGACTACTATGTTGCCAATCGTCACCAGAACCCAAGAACCGATAGGGTTTCTATATTTAATATACCTCCCAAATTGGATTAGCTCTCCCCGCCGATTAGTTCTGTGAGTTAACATATCAATAGAAACTTTCTAAAGTTGGAGTTTGAACTTGCCCGAAGGTATTTAACCCAACCGTGGCCTCTTATCTAGAATCCACACTTCAGATTAGTTACAATCTGACCAATAGTTGCGGTTACTTACACTGTAGGCGGGAACGCACCGTGTCCAGTGGATAAAAGGTGGACATTGCAATACAGCCCCCCTGAAAAGTGTGGAAATGCAAATTAGCTGTGTTGACCTTTAACCGGCAAATATTTGAGCACTTACAGCGGCTCCGGAGACGGCATGCACGAAGTTTTGGTAGCTCAGCACTTGGCTAAGCTTCGACGGGGCCACCATGGTGTCTACTTGTTCGTCTGGCGAGGAGTTCTGTCTTCAACGTGAGGCGGCGTCTTCGAGCAAGCGATTACTGACTTGTGTCTGAGTGGAACCCGGCTGCCTGGCTCTCTACGTTGAAAATTAGGCAGCGGCAGCGACTGCGATTGTCGGAGATTAGATTAATTGAGCCGTGCTGGGTTGGGGTTGTCAGGCGGCGCAGAGGAGCGGCCGTTCACTTGAGCCTTCCTGGATCACAGATACTTTTCAATAAATGAATCATTCACATATTCACTGATTTGAATAAATATTTTTGGGGTCTGCAATGCAAATTATTGTTTTCGGTATGACCGCATTTTCAGCGTCGCAGTATTATACCATTTCTACACCCAAAAATATACTAAAAATATATTTTGAAATTATTTTTAAATTTGTAAAAAAAGGAAAATATACTCTTATATTGATATAAGAATATCTGGATATATTTCTCTGATTTAAAGGTTTTAATAAAGATTTTTGGTTCGAAATCTACTCTAGTTTTTATTTTCTTGTTCAAAATTGAAAAAATGATTGCATCATCTTATTTAAAAGTGCTTACATTAAAAACTTATTTACTTAAAAAATAAAACTTAAGCTAGCAAATTAAAATTAGTATTAAACAATCAAAGGAGCTGGTCGATAAGGCACTTCTCCCTCCGAGGTTCCAGCCTGGGCTTTTTCATAAAATTCACTCCCGTTTCGCTACTGCTGTTGAGTAAATCAGCCGCCTTTCGTTTTTGGTTCTAAAAATATTTAAAATATTAAAAAAAGAATAAAAATAAATTAGTAAGTAATTTCCCACCTCATGTTCCTCCTCTGTTAATGTGGCGAATACAAAGTTCTTGGCTTTGGCAGTTTTTACAGATAGAGTGGCAGCATCTCCAGTTGCTTCTCCAGAAGAGCCTTTAGTAAGTCCCGCCAATTTGGAGAGGGTTTCCTGGTCGCGGATGAGAAACGATCCTCGAACCGGGCCCTTTTGCTGCTTTCCAGAGACTGTTTTTGAGATCAGGAAGGGGGAGCTCTTCTTCACTTCAACTGAGGTCTTTTTGCTGGTAATTATGTTGAGCCTGCGTATAGTGTTGACAGGACTACTGGTGTTTATCGTAGAGGAGGATAGTGGGGAGGCAGCTTCCTATAATATAAGAATCTTAGTAAATTATTCAATTTAACAAAAGGGTGTTCTTTCCCTCACCGGTTTTAGGCCCTTTTCAAGGAGCAACTGCTCGCGCTCGTAACGAATCTTGCGCCACAAGTGCTCGTTCTCCTCGTCGCCACTGCCCTCGTTGGCTTCTCCATCCTCAGGGCGCTGATCATCCAGGCTGAACCCATTTTCTGCATTCTTCCAACGAAACTGTCGCTGCCGCACAGCTCCCTCCTCGTCCTCGATCAGCATTTCTTTGATTTTACGTACTTCCCGAATGTCCTGGTCAAGCATTTTTCGCCTAATACCAAAGAAAAATGTATTATTTAAAAAAACACCTTTTACTTTTATCACTTAATCATAAATCACTTACGCATGAATCTGTCCTAGTTCGTTACGCAATTGCTCCCGATCGAACTGATCTTCATCTCCTAATTCTATATCATAGGTATCCATATTCTTTTCATCCTCATCGGCAGATCCCCATTCGGACTCTGAAAGTTCGGCTTCTTTTTCCACGAAATTGGATGCCCGGAGTTTACGATCTTTCTTCGTCATTTCTACCACAATCTCATTCTCCTCGGAGTCGTAGTCCACGAAGGTTTCCGGGATTTCTTCGGCTGGTTCCTCATCACTTGCTTCTCCCAATTCCTCGGCCTCAACTTCGTCCTCACTTTCCTCATCATCAGAGAACCCAAGTTTGGCTTTCTTCTGCCTTTTCTTTGTGAGTTTCTTGCTGCGAGGTTTCTCCGTCGTTGGTAACTCTTCCTTGGGCTCGTCCTCATCACTGGACACAATTTTAGTGGCCACTGGCGCATCCACTTTTTCCTCTTCGTTTTGTGTTGGAGCTGGAAGTTGGGTAGCGAAAGTACCCGAACAGAGACCCTCCAGTTCATCTGGAGGCTGGGTAGATCCATATAATGGTGTCAAGGGTATCTGGCTGATTAGAGCGCTGTCGATGGACGATGGTGCAGCGGAAGAAACCATCTGGGTCTGAGGGAACTGACCGGAGCAAAGATCGAGCAGTTCGTTCTCCTCATCACTGGCCGTTTTTCGCGCCTCCTCATCGAAGAGTTTTTGGGCGGAAAGCTGGAGCTGAGTAGCAGTTAGGGGAGGAGCACCACATGGCTTGGGAGTCTGCAGAAGGTCCAAGTCGTCTTCGTCCGAATTGTCATCCACGAAGGCTTTGATGATTCTGTTCTTTTTCCTTCCGGTTTGAGTTTCCGGCTCTGGTTCGCTTTCCTGGTCGCTGCTCTCTTCCTCTTTTTCAGACTCCACCTCTGGATCTTCTTCAGCGTCGCTTTGGTTTTCTTCTACACCATCAACCTCTTCCGTTTCTTCCTCATCCTCAATTCCCTCTCTATCTACGATTTCCTCGTCGTCGTTTATGGTCACCTCTGCATGACCAGGTTTGTCCTCCGGCTCGTATTCTTCGTCCACATCCATCTCCTCTTCGTCCTCCACCATTTTCTCCTGCTCCTCGGCCTGTTTTTTCTTGAGCTCTTCAACGCGCTTCTTGGCAATCAGGGACTTGAGCTGCTCCTGCATTTTTATGTAAGCAGCCCCCGGCTTGGGCTCCTTGTTCACCGGTTCCTCATCATGGTGATGATAATTCACCTTGGACATCTCTAGCTTACCATGTTGAGTGGTAAGAATACTAAAAAAAAAAGATTCATATTAAGATTACGACAGATTTTTATTTAATTGTTGGAAACTTACTTCACAGTCTCTGTGGTTTTGTGTTTTTTGGCTTCTCGAGTTTTCATGAGTCGCTGCAACAAATCATCCACACCAGTTGGCTTCTTAGCGAACATATCTCCCGTTTCTAGATCTATCACCATATTGGTATCTCCCTTGAGCGAGGGACTCACGTCCGAACTTTTTTCAATCTTCAGCTTACGAATAGCTTCGCTGATCTTAGGAGTGGCCGGCTTGGAGGGCGGTGTTATGCTGATGGTGCTCAAGTCCAGCTTGGGCAGCTCCACAACCTCTGTTACCAGACAGACTTTGTTGGGAGACTTGATTGGACTCTTTTCTAGGGGTTCTGTAAATTTCAGGGCTGCTGCAGCGGATGTGGATGCAATAGGTTCATCTTCCATGGGCACTTCTTCTATAAAATTTTCGGAAGGTGGTTCGACAGCCTCATCCTTTGGTTGTTCTGCTTCAGGTGTTACAACCTCCACTTGGTCTAATACACCTGGGTTGTCTTTCATTTCTACTGGTTCCTCGTTATCTGCTTCGTCTTCATCCTCCTCTTCTGGCTCGGACTCGGATTTGAAAAACTCAGTAGCTTCTTTAGCTCTTGCATCCATTAATTTCCTAAATATTATTAATCATTAAAATAAAATTATTATTTTACTTTAAATTAAACTTACGCATAGGCCTCTAGTTCCTCTCTGGTCATTCGCAGACCCAAGGACTTCCTAGATTGCTTGTTCGGCATGGGACTCCCGCCAGCTAATGCCGTGGCTAGAGGAGTATTTACAGTCCTTCGGCTTAGGAACTCTTTCAGTGTCCTGGGCTTGGGCTGATGGTAGGGTACATTAATGTGAGCCTCACGGTGAAGACGCTGTTGCTCACTTTGGATGGCCTGCATCCCGTCTAGTGCCTTCTTGGCAGATGCCTGGAGAAGATATTATGTTAAGATTGAAAAAAACTACTAATTAAAAGGAAAATTACCCTCATTTCTTTTGCTTTTTTGGGTTTTTTAGACATTTCCTCATTGGGGGTTTCAGGCTCTCTTTCGGCTTCCTCTTCCGGATTGCTGAGTTCTGGCTCGGACTCGGAGTCCACAAGACCTTTCAGTTTATTTTTAGCTGGACTAGACTCCTCCTCGCTTTGGGGTTTTTTGATTTCATCCTCACTCTCGCTGTCCATGCGCTGCTTTCTTTTCTTTTCCAGCTTCTTTTTCTTTTCTTTCTTGGGTGGTTTTGATTCCGACTCCTCTTCTTTATCAGATCCTTCATAGCTGTCCAATAGCTTCTTTATTTTCTTGGAAGGCTTTGTTTTCTTTTCTTTCTTGGAAGGTTTTGCCTGCTCCTTTTCCGGCTCCTCCTCATTATCCGTATCTACAATTGATGATATTTTCTTCTTGGGTTTTGAAGATATTATCTCCTGTTCCCTTTCCAGTTTGGTTGAATCTTCGTCGCTGTCCATTGGGTTTTCTGGATCGTTTGGTTTGTCTGATTTGGATGCGACTTCCTCCTTGTTTTCCACCGATGTAGGATCGTCATCTTCATCACTATCCAGCATCCTTTGGCGCCTGGCTTTGGGAGAGATTTTCCTGGATTGTAGCACAGTTACATCTTCATTTTCGCTGTCGTCCGACATCATCAAACTCTTGCCACCCAATAAATCTTCGGCGGACACGTTCTTTTCGTCTTCCTCCTCCATTTGCAGTTTTTCCATCGAGTCGTCCGCCAGCTCATCGTTTTCTGCTGCAGTGGCAGTTTCTGCAACTGACTCGCTCATGTTTCTGGGTCAATTTGTTTTTATTCTGTTAATAATAATAAACCAAAACAGATTGCGAGTTAAACACGCACACGCACACACATATTCGACTTTTGGCGCAAAATGATAAACTCTGTGTTGGAAAACACCATCAGGAAGACGTTTTTAGTTTTCGAAGTCGCCAACATGGTCATACTTATGTAGAATGTAAAAAGTTTTTTTCGCAATTCATTCAAATGTAATCTTTTCTAATTTACAATTAACAAAAAAGAAACATTAATTATTTAAAAGTTGTTTAAAAAAAATAAATCCTTTAAAATATTTAATTTTTTTTAAGGCTATACCATATTAAGAATACTCCAAAATACGCCATATTTAAACTTTAAGTTTAATTAAGTTTACTTTTCGTAAACATTCGTTTATTTTGATTCAAAAATAATACCTAAATGAAGTTAAAAATAAGGAAGTAAATAATTCAGAATAGTTGTAAAAATTCTACAAATACATTGCGAAAATATTTATATATATAAAAGTACTTTTTACTCAGAAATTTTAAAAAATTCCTAATCTTGTTACTACAACAAATCCTAATCTATTACTATGTAGCATTAAACTAAAAGTATGTTCCTACTTAAGTAAAAGTTAGCCTCTAATCAGGCGAAAGTCTTAATATATTGGTTAACAAACATGTACTTTAAGCTGATTTTAAATGATTGTTTTTATCTTTAAATCATAAGATGAATTTCCCGCATACTAAAAGCTAGTCTATGAAGCGTACATGACTATTTAAATACAAATCAAACACCATGAAAAATCTAAGCAGGCAACTTAATCAGCAGCAACTCCGGCATACCCAGCAGCAACATCAACTAAATCAGCGGCGGCGGCAGCAACCTTTCAGCAGTACAGCAATCGAAAGTAATCACCCAGCGGATTTACATGCCCAGGCCCACCTGTGTGTCTGTGTGTTTCACCTGTTCTCGTTGTTGTTGTTTGTGGGTTTTCTTTAGCGCTCTTGGGTTAGCGAATTGTTGCAGTTGGTTTGATTTCGTCTGGTCGATGATGTTGCTGTTGCCACTACCACTTGTTGAGATGCTTTCTCCGCATCTCTTTCTTGCTCACGAGCATTTCTCTTTCACAGTTTAGTGACTGAAAGGCTGGAGGTCTTTCGGCCGAGGGTCATTAAGTAACCAGTAACCCACCGACTGGCTAATGATAGCCCATTCCAGCGCAAAAGGAGAGCTACTTATACACATACTATAAATAGCATTAAAATGCAATTATAAACGGCTCCAGTTCCAGTGCCATCTGCATCGTATTCAATCCGCAATCATTAACCTCGCTTCAGACCCTAATATTCAATTAACGATGATTTCTCGGCTCTCAATGAAAGCAAAAGCGAAGAGCCCAAAAGACCGAACCGAGACCGAACCGTTTTAATGGGTGTCAAATTCCTCCGGCTTTTCTCTCTTCAAGCTCCAATGATCTCGGCCTTCTTAGATCATGATTACCCGAAAAAGAAACAAAACAAACTTTTAGTTGATTAATGCATTTTACAAATGCCTTCGATCTGAAAGGGGCCAAAATATCTTAGCCTTGCAAATTGCGCAACGCTTAAAAATCCCACACAACAAAGCCTTAAGTTACCCAATCTTAGAAAGATTCAAAAGAAAGCACCTCACATATGGCCATATTTTACGAATCTTATGGGTTCCGCTATGCGAAATTTATAATATATTCGCAGAGTCGAGCACAGCATGGGTTTAATCAGTCGTTAAATTAGTGGGATATGGTGAATTAGTAATACCCTTTAATGGAAAGCAAATACGGTTAGTTCATAAAGAAGGGTTTGCAGGATATTATAACGAATATACCATCATTATTGAATATCCATTAGTTTCAAAAATAATTTCTAAACGAGTTTCTTTTGAAATGAGTGGATTATAAACCACCATAAGGCTTATCATTTCAATTTTTGCTTTATTCTCCTTAATAACTTTTAACAATCCATCCATTAATGAAACGCCATCTATCCTTCTATCAATAAAACTCCCAAAAACACTATCTTGAAATCATAGCTTTAATAGCTATGAAATGTCCACTTCCAGACATTCCCCAGTAGCACGATTAAATCATAAGACTCTGGCTTATGGCTTACGGGTTAGGCATTTGTGTTTTTAAGCTCCAGCTAACTTGCCAATTAGCATATATAAAAAATAAATACAGACTTTGGCTTCGTACCTCCGCACACAATTTCTCTTTCATTTGGCGAAAAAAATAAAAACGGTTAACTTGCTGCCCGTATCTGTAAGCCCGACTCCGGCATCTTTTCTCATATCTGTAGCAGAGATTTTGCTTTTGGCCACTTACGGTATTTCTGCGCCTTGTTGTCGCTGTAGCTACCTAATTTGCATACGCACAGTCCACAGATACAACTAAATATCGCCCCAAAACGAAAGTGAAAACACTCCAGCATGTGCTAAACGGAGAGTCTAACCGATAGATACACATAATTTCCAACTGTCTTCAATCAATATTGATCGCTGTCGAAATCTCTGGGAATTCGAAATGGGATTTCGATCAATGGCAAGCACAATGCCATTGTATACCTAAGATCTCCACAATGCCGACTATTTTTAAAACAAATTTAAAAAAGATCTTTTCTTTTTGCCAAAGGCTGAGTGGCTTATGCAATCGACCGGACTTAAGACCTTTCATCGCCTTTTCGGATCCCATCTTAAGTTCGAGTGTAATCTTATGTTGAAGTTGAAGTTTATGCCGGGGCTGATCTCTCGGGACTGTCTTTCGCAATTAAATGTAAATCGTCCACGAAGGAGTTGTTGCACAAAAGAGCGGATCTGATCGGCTTGTAATAACGCTGTTCCTTGGCCCCAGACACGCCTTTGGCTGTCTACGTCTGGCTTTTCTGTTGCCCGATTGAGATTTCTTGCCTTTTTGCTTGGCCATTTTTGTTGTGTTTTTTTTTTGGCGAGTGAAAGTGATATATGGCGCATGACTCAGGCTCCGTCCACGCTCGAGTCGACTCCACTTCACTCGACTTCCAGCCGACCCCATCCCGGCCCCAAAGTCATATGCATAAAATAATAATTAAGCGCCATTTATGCGGCCCAAGACGAAGACATGGCAAAAAGGGCGCAGCAGCCATCAAGCGGCCACTGGAGCCAAAGCCAAAATCAATTGACATGTTTTGTGGTCACTGAAAGAAATTTACGATCATGTTTACATTTAAATTTTGCCAAGGTTTTGCCATTTTCAATCAAATATATATAAGATTTAGAGAAAAGAAACTTATTAATAACTAAATAACTTATTAATAAATTAAGTATCCTTTCAAAAGAACTAATTTTTATTAGCTTTAAATAAAAGATAACCAAAATTAATATTAGTAAATAAAATTTGTTTGGAGATACTAAAGAACCTAATACTTCCTATGGTAATAAAGAAAGAAAATAAACTAATTGTTACTAATTGTAATTTTTAAAACACTATATTAAATAGAATCTATAGTGCTAGTCTAAATTTATTATTAACTTAAAGACCAAATTAATGTTGTCATCTTTGATTATTTTTATAAAGTTTAAAAATTTCTTGTAACAATTTTGTCCATTTATTGTGTCTTTTTATGAATAAAACATAAATGCAATGCCTGAAGAAAACATTGACCTCAAAAAGGACACAAAATTTGTTGACCCAGCGTGGAAAGCAATCACTTTCTTCGAAAACCTCATCTTTAAGATTGTCTTCTTTTAAGTTAATAAGCATTGTGGCCATGCTTTTTTTTTGACATTTTTGGAAAACACACCCTAGCTTCCATATTTCAAAGTCAAACATCCAAGTATGGTCGAACAAATTCCTCAGCAATAAGTAGAAAAATTATTTAATGGTTCGTGGAGTAAAATACTCTTGGAGTACGGAGCCAGGCCAAGTCAAGCTCCCTCACCTCACCTGTGCAAGCGATCTGGCCAGGTTCATTGTCTTTATAAATGTGATTTAGGGCTGGCGACAGCTCAACGGAAAAGCCGCCAACAAAAAGTAAGAAACAAATTGTAGCCCAGCGACTGACAAAAGAAATGGAAAGTATAAAATATAAGGAAAAAAGTAAGCGGGCCCACGAGCGATTCCATTGGGCTCGATGACCGGGCCCCGGGGTTGCAGCTCCGGTCGGAGGGCGACTTGCATAATGATTGACATTGTTTGGGCCGGGGCATGGTCCACAATAATTTGTTTATAAACAATAAGAGCCCAGATTGTGCACCGTTATAGCTGCTAGGAAAAGTGGCTGGGAGAAAGACACTCCAAAGTTGTGCAAAACTCTGTCGACCAACTGGTTTTTATCTTCTCATAAATGAAACTAAATTAACTGAATGAACTGATGATTATTACTGCGGCTGTGGCTGTTTTTATTGTTAGTGTTGTTTTACTTGTTGTTGTCACGATGATGCTACAAATTGTTGGAGGTGGGGGGAGTGGCGGATGGTGGCTTTTAATATGCCCCATTGAGGCAAGTGGTAAACAGATTAGATAAACATTTTACAAGCTATTTTTTAATTTTTACAAAAAAAGTGACCGAGTGAGGAAATTATATAGCTTTATTAGTGGTTATTGTTTTTTAAGATTGAAGAAATTTATTTAAATGTTATAATAGGTAATAAAGGAAAATATCTAAAACCGGTAAGTAATATTAGATAATAAAAAACCAGGCAATTAACAGTATTTGTGCTTAAAGAGAGAATCTTTAATAAAAGAAGGACATACAACCCTTACCTTGTTCCAAATATTTTAATTATTTAACATCATATTCAAATATTTCTTGGGTTGTGAAATATTCATTAAAGAATTCCCAACATTTAAATGAGTTGCCTTACTTTCTCCCATAAATTACATCACAGCGTCGCTCGAGTTCCCTAAACCATTGCCTTTCCCAACTGATATTGGCATGTGCCCCGAAATGCGGGCTCAGAAGTTGGTTAATTTTCTAGAAAGAAGTGAGAAGCAACCAAGTCACTGAACATGCTGGGCCTGCCCACGTACAAATGCGTACAAATGCGTCAGTGGAGACGGATCACGGCTCAATTAGCATGCCAGGCACGTCCCTGACCCAATTCCATTTCGGTGGCATCGCCAGAGCCGTGTAACACGGGCTGATAGTGTTTCATGTTTATATCCAATGCAAAGTAACGAATATGCCGGCTCTGGCGAGGATCGACGTCATGGAGCAGCGTGTGATTCACACCGGATCCAAAAGGTGTTGCCGGGCGTTGAAATCGAAACCGCAGGGCCGACACGGAACTTTCGATTTCTTTCGATGCCATCGCCGGGCCAGATCCGAGGTGCGTATTCAAATGAAAGTCAGATTACTTTCTTGGGCTTGGGCTCGGCCCAGTGACTTTGGCCAATTGTCGGTGATAAATACATACATATAAGGTTGTTGTATCTATCCGATTTGGGCATTTCTTTTTAATCATTTTTGTTTTTTTCCTTTTGGCCACTTTCAAGCTCGTTTCACTTGCCGGCTTGTGGGGATAAGCATTTTTGTGCCATTTCATCATCGGAAATTGGCCGGGCCACAAGAAACATCTCTGTGCACAATCGAGAGTGGTAAATGGCACATTTGCTTTGGCCAAATTGATCAAATTTGTTGCGAGGAAATTGGCACAAAGTTGTTTGCTTTTCTTCGGCTTTTTGGTTTCTGTTTGGACTGTTGTGCAATATGAAGAGGCATTACTGTCCCCAAGGCATTTGAAAATTGCTCCCAAATCGCTTTGGTTTTGACAATTTTTAATAGCAAATAATGGGGACATTTTTGTGGGTCTTGCATTAATTTGATTAAATTTTATAATGAACAATTGCACAATATTTTTAATTCTTTTGTATTTGCAAGGTTACGACACACAAAGCAGAGGAAACAATGCATTTTTCATTCTTTTTAAATGCAAAATAAATTAAATACCAATAATGAAGCTTTCACAATTTATCATAGAAGCTGCGATGAATATTAAATCTATACTGCAAGTGTCCCGGTTTTTGCTGATTTATGATTATTTTATTAGAAAATTTAGCAATTAACAGTGCAGTGTTGTGTGAAACAAAAGACTTAGGCAACGAACTCGATTTAATAAATCATTCAATTACAATGAATCTGCATTTGAAAATCTTTCCATTTTGCTCCGGAGACAAAAGTTGACTTAATAAACCAATTAAATTTATTTACGCTACGCAAAACACAAAGGTCAACAAAACAAACCGAAAATCCGCGCCCCTTGTAAACGATAAGTGTGTGCATTATGTCATTAGGGATTGCATAAGCCGGCAGGGTGGCTATCATAATTTAATTTTCCAATGCATTGGCCAGAATAACAAGCGACTGCCATCCGCAAAAAGCCGTTAGCTGACTCACAGCCGGACGCGAACCCTTTTCGAATAACAATCGAAATTAGGCAATCGTTGAGGTAGCTCTCCCGGGCCACGCATTCGCCTCCGAAAGACGTCACCAGTTACCTTGACACTCCGACGACTGCGCCGCTTGCCAAAAATACTCCACTAGTGGTAGGTGAACACAAAATCAAACAACAACAAAGGCAAAAATAATAAGAAAAACAACCGCAAGAGAAAGAGAAACAAGCTGGGCCTGCAGAAAGCGGCCTGAAATGAAAAGTTGGCCGAACAAGTTTCGGGCCAGAGCTGAAGAATAGCCGAAAACGGCATATTTTGCATTCGGTTAGCTGCTGCTCCGAGAGGAGTATCTTGTCCCAGACCGTGGCTCACTCTCCAGCTCTCCGACTCTCTTTTGGCCAAAAGTTGGAGGCACCGAGCGCTCGAGCGGAGCGACAGCTCCAGTGGTAAAGGGGTCAAAACTTTCACGCGATATAAAATCTTGGTTAGCGATATGGCCGGGCCGCATTTTCATTTCAACTTTGTGTGCGACGAGTTGTCTTCAGTCCGGTGGCGACTCGAATGCGTCCTGTTAGCCACTCTTTTCTGCAACTAACTGAAGCACTCCAGCTCCGCGTCCGTTCCGCGACCCTTCCGTGATCCGTGATAGCAGTGCATCGAATCCGAGAATACCCATCCATTACGGATAAATACAAATCCATAAAAAAACATACATTGTGCATGTGAGAAGGGCCAAAAGCCAAAGCTCCATCGTGATCTGCTGCAGTGCCATTGACTTCAGCCAAAAGGGATATTAACCAGGCCCAAATGCAAAGGATTTAACCTGCTTAAAGGTAAGAAAGTGTGCCCAAATAAGAAATTGAAAGAGTGCTGAATAGCATTTCCAAACGGATTTAAGTGATGAAGCAAATTAATATTTTAAAAATAAATCATTTGAGCTATAAATTAAAAAAGTTAAAATATAAATTGAATGAAGAACCAAAGATAAAGTTTAGTTGAACACAGTTCTTGTTGACTCTACCTACGATCACGAAAGATTTTACATTGGAATACATATTATACAATGATTAACCAAGCTGTTAAATGATTTATTTTATGATTTTTTGCTGCTTATAATTATTCCACTTAACCGTTTTTTAATGCCTTTCGGTAAATCTTTCCATTTATAGTCCGCACTCCTACATAACAAAGCAAGCCCCTCAACCCACAGTTCCATTTGCTTACAAAAGCGTTGCAATCAATTCTTCGAAAGAGAGAATAAATGGTTGTTATTTTCGTTAAAAAAAAAAAACTAAGACTCGAATTTGAAAAGCAGACGAGCTGCAGAAGAAAGCCGAAACGCACAGAAAAACTTTCGTCGTCGTGCATTATGCGGAAATATAACTATGTATTATTAATAATAGTTAAGGAGCCATACTCCGCGGCAAGGCTGCTGAGGCGTGAAGCAGTTGAAAATGCTCCAAAACCAGCTGGAGGTGGATGTGGAACCCTTGGCTCATTAAGCTTAATTTGGATTTGCATATCCAAAGCTTCCAATTGTAAGCCACCCAACCACCCAGTCTAACCACCCAACCAACCAAACCACCCACTGGAGGAAAACAAGATTCAAGATTCGAATGGTTGCCGGCTCTGGTTCTGTGTTTGGTGTCTCATGTGGCTGCTGCTGGTGAAATTTCATCGCGTTTCGCGCGAATGAAAGTCTGAAATTACCTTGTGCCGCTTCTCATTCGCTCTCGGCCGTTGCAGTTTCAGATGCAGTGGCAGCTTCTGAGTTTTCCATACTCACATGTGCGGCAGCTTCTTCTCTGTCTGCCTTTTCTGCTGTTTGATTAATATTGCGAATTGCTTTGTTCAAAAACTGCTCCACTTTGAAGGTGATTTCGCTCTGCACTCGCAGACTCCAATGCCCCGATAATATCTAGGGTTGCACCCAAAAAAATGAGGACTCAGATTTCAACTCATATTTTACAAGATATACATATAGTCCCTTGAAGTTTTAATTTATTAATTATCCATAAAAAACATATTCAGATATATTTTTTTCTGTGTATTGTCTGTGGCATCTAAGAGTCTGGCGGGAGGCACGCGCGTGATCCTCCAAGTGGGTTGCATTGCTCATTCGCCGTGTGTGCCTGTGCCAGTGCCACTTGTCATCGCTGCTGCCCAAACATAGCGCCTGGCAATACTTTTAATTGATTCCACACAGACAGCAATATATACACTCCGACACAGACATTCTCATAGTGAAAGAAGCTGCGCCACTTGCTGCAATAATTACTGGTTTCTCGCTCTCGAAGCTCATTGCTGCCACATGATGTGGAGCCATGGAGACTGCCTGGCACTGGCACTGTCACTGGGACTGGGACTGCGACTGCGACTTGGCGACAATTTCAAATTAACGGCAATTGTCTCGCCGCCTTGTGCAATTTTCACGCAGTTTTTCATGGCAGCGTGAAAATGTCAAACAACAACGGAATGGCTGCAAAAAAAAAACGAAAGAAAAGCCACCAAACTTTCATTGGCAGTTGCTGGAGATGCACAGACAAGATTTTCATTTGCTGACAAGAATGCTGATACAATTGAAAAGAACTTGTGGGAATTGAAAAAGAATGCAACTTTCTAGAAGAAAACATGAGATTAGTTTCAAAATTTGGATACGAAAGCCTAACCCCAAGACTTAAATCTTATTGCTCCATTTAATTGGATTCTCTCTTTCTCTTTTATGAATATTTTTAACGAGACCACATGTCATTCTCCAAATAATTCAGCCTAATGTGATTTCGTTCCCCTGCCACTTTACTGGAGCAACCGATTTCGGGCTCTTTTATTTCGTTATTTCGAAATCACCACAAAAACCCATTTGGCACCTTCCGCTGCACTTGAGTATCCGTTGAAAAGAGCTCTGGCTCTTCATTAGAGGCAATCACAGTTGATTTGAAATTATCATGGAAATCATGGAAAATCAGTCAAATCAATGACCGCCCAGAGATACTTACATACGTACATATATCTGTTCGGATTTCGTTTTTGATTGAGCCGCGAGCATTAAGTCAACGAGAGTCACTCCAGAAAATCGAGCACAACAAACGAAACATCTCAAGTAACTTTTCGATTGTCTGTGTGGATGCAGCTGTGCCTCGTGTGTGTGGTGCGCTGAAAAGAAATGAAAACCACTTTCTTTGCATGCATGCCACAAAATACGCCAACACCAACAACTGGAGCCAGAGAGTCAGTCGAGCAATTTGCTTGCACCACCAACCGATCTTCGTCGAGTGGCAAGTTGCAAGTTGCGAGCGGGCAGGCAAGCGGAACAGACCAGGCCAGGCCGCTTCGTGGCGACAGCCGCCGCAGCCCGAAATTGGGTCACTAATTATTTCAGAGCAAAATGCAACCGGCTTTGGCTTTGGCGATGGCTTCAAGTTGTATCTGTTTCTGCACAGAAAAAAACAAGATATCTTTTTTTAATCTAAATTGCTTGCATTAAATTGTATTATTTTTTATACCTATATTGGTAATAATGTATTTTTGGGCAATGTAAAAAAAGGTGGAATTTTAATAATTTGATTATTTTTATAGATATTTTGAATGGATGTTTTATACCTTTTTGGGCATTACATTACATTTATGTTTTACTTTTAATCTTATTAGTTTTAATATATTTTTTCTAAAAGCCCAAAAAAATCATAAATTTGAAAATTATTACAATTAAATTCCCAGAAATTTCTCTCAATGCATGCAACTTTGGCTTGAATTGCAACTTCTTGGATACTTTGGCTTCGGCTAACGATGCGTTGCAAGCTGCAGCTAGAGGATATAGCCACCTCAGCCGCAGCAGACCCCTCTCACCTGGTCGCTCTGGCTTTCTTTCACCCTCTTTCGCCGTTCTTTCTTTCTTTCTACATTGATCCCCACTTCTTTCCTTTTTTTGAGCGGCGCTGAACTGGACCGGACTGCTTGGGCAGAAAGTGCAAGCCCTTGAGTTTTTACTTTCGTTGGGCTGGCAATGGTAATGGCCGTGGCGATAACGGTAACCGGTTCTGCCCATTCAATGGCATCCGAACCGATCACCCCGCTGCGATGCAATTGGACTCTTTTTTTCCAGCGAATTTCGCGTTTACCGTTAATAAAGAAATGGAAAGTAAAAATGGCCAACAAAAGGAACCAAACATGGGCCGGAGGTTGTGGTAGTGGTAGTGGTAGGAGGGGATTTGTAAATTATGTTAATTGTCTTGTTTCTTTTATCTGTATCTGCATCACAGATCCTGGCTAACGGGACTTTTTGGCTGTCGTTGCACTAATGATCTTCAAGGGGCTGAAGTCGTTTTTTTATGGCTGTTGGGCGGTGACCGGAAACGGTAGTGGTTAACGGGAATTTCGTTCAGTGGCGGACTTTGGGTTGTAAAGTGTGAGGTTATGGTTCAACGAAGAATATACTTTTTGAAAGTAATAGTAAAATGTTTCAGGTGCTTTTATTGTTATAAAATGAAAATAAAAGGCTCGTATTTCTCAAGTGTTTATGTTATTGTTTATATTTTTTACCATTAAAAAAATGCAAGTGATTGTAATTTCCTCAATCAACATTTTTCACACCCCTTTGTGCCAGATCAGTATGCAAATTGGCTGCGGGGCCCATTTCTAATTTCACTTTCCCTATTTTGCGATAAATTGCGTTATCATATTGTACGCATATGTGCGAGGCAAGTAAATTTCACAACCCCAGCACAACCGGGTGAATGGAATGCCGTCGATTATGGCAGTGGGGCCTGGGAGGGGGAGCTATGGTAGGGGAGTTGCCACAATTTACTTTCATTTGCGGCACAGACATGGCCCGGGGCGTTGTTGTCTGCCTGCGGGCGCCTGTGCCTTATCGCATGGGTTATTTGTCGCCTTGTCGCCAAACTGGAGCATAGAAAATTAATTGTTTACTCTATTTTACATAATGCTTGAGCAAAAAGTCAGTGTGCTTATCGGAAGCCCGGATAAAGGGTAAAAAACTAGGGGCGCTTTAAAATAGTACGCAAGTTCGTTGCCTAAGTCTTTTGTTTCTGCAAGCAAAAGACTGCCATTTTAGTTTCAAACTTTTGGTTAAAATTTAAAAAAATATATATTTATAATATTTATTTATGTTTATCAAGACATATCTTACAAAATGGTCAAAATCACATATCACATAGATTTAATCTTGCCATTATGTTTACGAACCACTAACTGAAACAGTTACCGATGCAAATTAAAAAGCCATAGAAAGAAAATTAAATTAGTGGAGAAACATCGCATATAAGAGCATTTCATCAGAAAATACCTTTCAACACAAGAGCACGCTTCATAGCTAATCGCTTTGCCCTATGTATGTTGCCATCTGATGATCTGGAGGAAAAAAGTTACTTAATAACCATAAAAAGCCAAGTTAACTGAGGCACTCACACACACTGATTCATATAAATTGCCACTTTACAAGAAAAAACCTTCGACGGCTGTTAACATTTTTGCGCTTTTTCTGCCCCTCTCCTTCGGCTTTGTTGTTGTGTCTCGTTGCGGCGCGAACGAATTTCACTTTCACAGCATCCAAAGCTCACCATCGAGACATGTGTAGTTAATTACGCATGATCGAGGGGGAGGGGAAATCATATATCTTATACATATATGTACGTGGGTAGTATGGACAAGGGGCAACGGCAGGCTTCAATTTCTATGCCACTATGGCAAATAATATCGATCGTTTAATGCCACAAAAGCAGCAGTGGCCACAAATGACATTAAATTGAGTGGAAACGCTGGTTGTACCGTTACATTTTCGAAACGATGCACTGAAGAAAAATGCGATTATGAAATATGTAGTCATTATGGAATTTCATACCAGTTTTCTGTACAAAAATGGTCAAATAATGATGGCTAATCTTTCATAAAAATTAATATTTCAAATTAATGATCGAAAATCTCTTTTTATTTTTTGTTTGAAACCACTGCAGCTGTGAAACTTTTACCAAACATCTCTCAACTCGGTTTCGATCGACAAACAACAAAAACATTCCAAGGCACAAAACTCCATTCCAAGTTCTGTTTTGTTAGCCAAAACAAAAAAAATTGAAAAAAGTGTTTGCGGTTGCGACCGCACCTCTGTCACTCAAGTATGAAAATTCGATAGCTCAGCTAGACGGGGGGCCCATAGATCGGACATCCCTGTCAAGAGCAACAAATTTGTCAGCTACTCAATTAAGCAAATATCCAAAGACTTTTATGAAGACATATAGATACGTATTTATGTATGCTAACCCCCTGAGGTGGCACGCCGAAAGATGAATGAAAAAATAAAAAAATGAATAGTGAGTCTGTGTGTTTAGGAGTGCTCAGAGCTTTAGTTTCGACGGGGGATTTGTGAAAGCGTTCAATTAAATTAATGGACTCGGCGTACCATTTTGGCAAATGCCAAAAACAAAAAATAGACGCACCACTAGGCTGATAAATAATTACTGGTCCATGGCATTAAATGCAATTTCGTTTTCTTTTAATTGACAACCAATGTCCCAAGGAAAGCTATCCTTATTGGGGGAAATTAAAGAGGTGCAGGTGAGGAAAATAGTGTGCAGTCCCGATAAGAGTTATTATCGAATTATGGGGGTAAGCTGGAATGATAGGGTACCCAGAGCTAATTATGGGGCAACTTGTTTTGAATTTGCATTGACATTGCAGTTGGAATACGTGTTATTATCAAATTAGGGGACCGAAGATGTGACAACTTGCCACTTTGCATAATAATTTTAGAAATTATGGGATCTGCATGGTTTATTTTGTGTCCATTTGCAGGAAATGTGGGGTTATTCAAATCCATGCATTGAGATGTCCGATTTACATTGATATCCGGCTCATCGGTACCGAATTGCTGGCTGCATACAAATGTAAGCCACGTAAATTACCGAGAATTAGAACGATCGAGCCGCGAGTTATGTGAGTGCAGTGGTTCACCTAGTTTCCGATGGACCAGTTACTGTATAGTATAGCCTGGCCAGCGTCACGCATTGTCATTCAATCAATTGGAGACATCGCCGTATGCCACAAGCCCCTGCGCCACAGCAACTTTCCGCTGGCGCTGAGACAACTTTTCATTGAATTTTCACTTGCGAGCGCTTTTCACATGATTTAATGCGCCCCTGCCATAGAAACCATAAATATATGACTGCCAATGCAACGAAGAAATAAAAAATGAAAAATGCTAAGCCCAAGATCGTAAACTAATTAGTTGAAAACAAAAGTCCCAGCTTGCACCTTGGGCTGGGTCAACACGAAAATTTCTTCTGCGATATGTAAGCAAATAATTTAATTGTGTTAATTAAAAAGGAAAACAAAACAAGGGAAGAGAAATATATGCCCTTATATGCGCGGCTTTGCCGAGAAGCTCGCGTCGGATACCCAGAAGGGAACAAGAAAGAGGGGGAGGCTGGCGAGAAAGAAGAAAACTTTCACTTGCCAAACAGCAACAATAAACAATTCCATTTGGCAGTTACACATAACAACAACAACAACAATGAGCATTAAACAAGCTCCATCAGCTGCTGAGGAAGAAAGATTTGGTGGCATCTTCTTTGTTGGCGATTGAAGACGCTTGATAAGGAATTTGTTCGGGTGCCAGCAATTAGTAAAATGGAAAAAATAGTAGACAGCCAAAAAATACAAAAATAAAATAGACAAACAAGCAAACCGACAAAATTTCGCTGCCTTTTGCTAATTGCCAAAAGTTTTCTAGTTTTATATGCAAATCTCCACTCATTTCCTAGGGAAGAAAGTGGCCAAGAAAATCAAATAAATATACAAAATACTCAAAATAGTTAGATAAATGAGTGAAGACCCGTTAATTGGTAGGAAAGTTGCTAAAAATATAGGACTGAGATAACCAAAAACCAGGCTAACTGGGTTTGAATAGTCAAGTTTGAAGATTCAAGGAATTATTAGATTCAAGCATAAATCAATGCTTTAAAAATACTAAAGGTATTATGAACTATTCTTTTAGAATTTGGAATATTTTTTAATCTTTTGAAGAAATTAAAAAACCTATAAAATAAATCCAAAGAAATAATTCCATTTAGAGTTTTTTCTATTCTATTAAAAAATGTGTAGGTTGTTTAGAGGTGATCGTTTAGAGATCTTCGGATCCTCAACTATTAATGTGAAACGATTGCATAATATAATCAGCTGTAGGGTCATTGGTAGTTTACCCCTCTAGTACCACCTACCTCATCCCGAGCCGAAAACCATCCACCAAGCTAGCTGGCGGAGTCCGTTACTGTTTCAGTGGGTTAATAGTACACTTGCTCAACACCAACAAACCAGCAAGCCGGTTTTTTTTAGCGCCGCGGCTGCGCCTCGAACTTTATTTTTATGGCCTTACTGCGGCTTGTTAAAAACCCATTTACATGTGTTTTCTTCAAAGAAGAAGACCTGGCCCAGTGCAGTGTAGTGCTCCGGTGTCTGTAAAAGTAAAACTGCCAACTGGCAAGATAGCATTCACCCGGAGCCAAAAAAAAAAAATGAAAAATAAAAACAAACAGCAGCAGCAGTTCTGCTGCGAAGCGCTGAAATCAAGTGAAATGCGTTCGCGGCATTGGTTACCTTGCCGCTTACTTTTCCAAAGCGGCAGAGCAGCTTCAGCTTCAGCGTCAGCCACTTGTGTGAAAGCCACCTGTCAGTCTTTATCGGCACTCCGGCGCATGCGCACGCGTCCCACTGTACCCGCTGTTAACGAGATCTTAGCCCCACTGTTAGCTAACAGCGGTGTCACGCTACAGCGCCACTGTTAAGCAAACACTGCTAAAATGTAAGAAGGCCCCCACTGGGGAAACACTCAAAAATTAATGGATGCTCGTAAAGTGCAGCCACTGTGTGGAAAACGGAGAACCTGCCCCTGCCACTGTCGCTGCGTTGGCGGTGGCGGTGCGGTGGCTTTGGATTTCGAGTTGGAGTTGGAGTCTGGATTTTTGAGTTGTCTTTCAAAGCGGCTGCATTGCCGCTGGTGGAGTACTGTTATAGTGAAAATAGAAAGTGGTTCCTGTTTGGTGCGCGCGAGTTTTCATTTGCTTTACATAAAATGCAGTTGTCCGCGTCTTCACTCTTTCTCCGCCACTCTTCAAAGTCTCCGCTGTGTGTGTCCGTCGTGAGTGTGTCAGTTGACACTTGAAGCCCGAAAACTGGCAATTGTGGCTATTAATTTGGCCGCTTAATGACGGCCATAAAGTCAACTGGCGAATTATATTTGTGCATACATTCGGGGTGATTTTGTGCATAATTAATGATGGCGATGTTATCTAACTGAAGAAAGCGTAGCATTTAAATAAATATTTGGATAACTGTGTTTTCGAACTCTAACGGTTCGATGTTCGAGGTTCGGGGTTATTGTGAATGATCAAGGCTTCAATCAAGGCCCCCTCCGTTAACATCGTCCGCCGCGAAACATTGCGTTTACAGCATCTCGCATGCCAATCGAGTGGCCTTAAAAATATTCGTATGCAAATCCGAGCTGAAAAGCAATTCCTCAGCATTGTTTACCCTTGTTCCCCTTTCTTTTCTTGCAGACGCCACGAAGAAACAGCGAAGAAAGCAGCGAAGAGAAGTGACGCAGAGGCAGAGGCAGAGTAGCAGGGCGCCAATTTGAAATTCGGAATTTCAATTTCAAGCCAACCCAACACACATATAACCAGACCAAAATGGGACACCCCAAGCGACGCAGCAGCCTGCTGGCCATAGTTCTGTGCCTGGTACTCAACACAAAGGTAAGTTCTAGCTCAGATACACTCTTGAAACATCTATGGAAAGTGTTTGGCCATCTGAAACATGGGTGTTGGCATAATTTTTGGTAGGAAACTAATAAAACAGTTAGCAGAAGATGTGCCGTGGCCCACATTAGAGCAGCTCATTTCGTATGCAGAGACCCAACCTGTAGCGGATCTCTTCACTTTCGACTCAAAGACAGACTACCGTTCGATCAATAGCAATTCGAATGCAAATCAGTGCTAGTGCCTATTGATAGATTGAATGCCAGATGAGATGGCTATGGTCTCATAGCGGTCTTCTGGCAGATCACTATATCAGACGGCCTGGGTCTGTGGCCGGGCAAAGAAGGAAATGTAACAACTACGTATCTCTGAACGGCATTTTGCTAATCATTGCAATTAGAGTTTAGAAAATGAAGTGCACAGGAAAAAATAAACAAGATTTAAAAATTTAATTAATTTTAAAAACATTAAATATGGAGATTTCTTTTAATAAATAGAAAAATATTTTAACTCTTTTGTGAAGGTTTGCAATATTTAGAAAATTCCAATTAATAAAAAGGCCTCATTCGAATAATATTCAAGTTTTTGGAAAACAAAATTAATAAGGCAACCTAACAGAGCGCTAACAGAGCCTTAACAGCCCAGAGCCGCCTGCCATCAAAATTAGAAACGTCCATAAATTTTGTCTATTTCTTGAGGCTGCGGCACGCTTTGGATTGATAAGCCTGGACAAGACAAACTATTTTTCCCCCACTAGAAGAAAAAAAATATCCAGCCTTCAGTGGGTTATTTAAAGCGCATCAATCACGGCCGCTTGATGGAAAATCCAACATACTCACAAATACACACTCGACGGCATTTAGCCGATGCAATCACGTCAAGGAAAACGCAAAAGTGGCCAACTAAACGTCCAATGCGCCAACTGGCCAACTATCTGAGCGGCATATAGTTTTTCCACTGCGTGTCTGGGTGCTGAGGCGGCGAAGAAATTGCAGTTATGCTCTGATTTGTACCAGTTTTGACTTTCTTGTTTATGGCGCATTAATTCACAGAGATTGCTTTATTATTTATTTATTGTCAGTTTTCTTTCTCCAAAAGAGAGAAGAAAAATTACCAATGCCATCGCGGCGAAGGCGATGTGTTTATATTGATATCTCCATCGTTGTCAGGCCAGTGCGTGGAATGTCCAAAAAAGTCATAAAAAAATACAGTCGAGATTTGATTTTTTTATTTCTTCTAGTAGGTATGAGTATCTGTTTCGTTGTTTGTTTGTTAGCCAGCCAGCCAGTCAGGCAGCTTGTTTTTCTTTGGTCATTTCACTTTCAAAATCATCTCACGACATCTCAACGCGTGGTCACCAGCCACCGAACAAAAAAATGAATATATGACAAGAAAGAAAAATAAGAAATACTGACAATAAAAGCAACAACCTACAGAAAAATCCACACCGTCATCGCATTGGATTTAACTTTCAGTTTTCGTGGGCCCCTGACGGACTCTGAGATACATCCGCTTCCCGTGTGTAGCCAGAAACCCATAAAATTATCAGCCAGCTGCGAATTGGGGGTGGGGGGCGGGGAGTGGAAAAAGCCCCCAACAAAAGCAGAAGAAAGAAAGTGACAAAGCCCTGCGGGGGGCGTGACGGGATGCGGGGTCTTTCTCCGCCTCTGTTGTCTTACGCAATGGGCTAAGCTCCGTGCCATGCTTTCAATTTTATAATTTTTTTTTTTTGTTCCCGTGATTTTGGTAAGCGTGCCGCTCCGGCAATCATTTAATTTCAAAATACTACATCTGGAACTGTCGTGTAATTTTCAACGCTTCGCGTCGCTTCTTTCAAAATGTCGTCTTTGATATTACGATTACATAATCCCCATTGCTTCCAATTAAGTCACTCCAAACAGCCTGAACGGCCGGAGATAAGAGCTTTCCGCAATCCTGTGATCTGAGCCATAACCTACCTAATGTAATAGAAACATTTAAGCCGAATATTTCAAAATGAAAGTGATGAAATGGGTCTTTTCCGTCAGTAGTTCTCCTTTAAAACATAAGCCAACAGGGCGTATGAGTGATTTGATGGGCGAGATATTACTCATACGACATGTATACATATTTTGAATGGAGCTCATGTAGAATTAATGCCTTTTCCTTCGTTTTCTTTTCCTTTCAGCACCTGGCGGTGCATGGTGATGCTTCGCACATCGAGTCCGCCGCCCTGCCACTGGAACACAGGGCCGGATATGGACCTCCAGCTCCCATCTACGGAGCTCCTCAGGGCCCTCTTAGCACTGGAGCCACCAACGAGCTGTCAGAAGAGGCCTGGCCCCTGGCCACCACCAACGACAGTCCACAGATCAAGCACCTGCAGGTGCAGTGCGAGAAGACACACATGCGGGTGAACATCGAGTTCGACAGACCCTTCTACGGAATGATCTTCTCGAAGGGCTTCTACAGCGACCCCCACTGCGTGCACCTCAAGCCCGGAACCGGTCATCTGAGTGCCACCTTTGAGATCTTTCTGAACAGCTGCGGCATGACCAGCTCGGCCAACCACAATGCTGCCGGATACGGAGCACCCACGCCTTCGGGCAGCTACGTGGAGAACACGATCATCATCCAGTACGATCCGTACGTGCAGGAGGTGTGGGATCAGGCCCGCAAGCTGCGCTGCACCTGGTACGATTTCTATGAGAAGGCGGTGACCTTCAGGCCCTTCCAGGTGGACATGTTGCACGCTGTTACAGCCAACTTCCTGGGCGACAACCTGCAGTGCTGGATGCAGATCCAAGTTGGCAAGGGACCTTGGGCCTCCGAGGTGTCCGGCATTGTGAAGATTGGACAGACCATGACCATGGTGTTGGCCATCAAGGACGATGAAAACAAATTCGACATGTTGGTCCGTAACTGTGTGGCTCACGACGGCAAGCGCGCCCCTATCCAGCTGGTGGACCAGAACGGTTGCGTTGTCCGGCCCAAGATCATGAGCAGGTTCCAGAAGATAAAGAACTTCGGACCATCGGCGTCGGTTGTCAGCTTCGCTTACTTCCAGGCCTTCAAGTTCCCCGATTCGATGAACGTCCACTTCCAGTGCGTGATCCAGGTCTGCCGCTACAACTGCCCCGAGCCCAAGTGCGGTCCTGGCCTGCCCGGCGGCGAATACGGTCTGCCCCAGATCGGTGCCAACGGCCTGTCCGAGGAGTATGGTCCCCCAGAAGCTTATGAAAGGAACGATTTTGCTTTGGGAGGACCCGGAGTCCTGCCACCGGCTGCTTACCCAGATCCCCGTCACCCCGTTTCGGATGCCACTGGAGCATACTCAGAGAACCTACCCGATGTGGTGCCCTCGCCTCAGGCCCAGACTTCCGCAGCTGTGCCCACTGCTGACTCCGGATCAGCTTCTGGACCCGCCAGCTCCCAGGCCCCGCAACAGCAGCAGTCTGCCGGAAGCAACGAGCTTGGCCTGCCTCCACCACCACTGCCCGGTCAGAGTGGTCAGTACAGCACTGTGAAGCGCAAGGATGACTTGAGCACCGGCGGAAACCTGGTTTCCCTTGGCGGACGGCCACGCTCCGTGGAGGGTCTGGACGACCTGAGGGGAGTGCGCAGGCGCAGGGACACCATGGACATTGTGGTGAAGCCGCAGAGGATCTACAAGCGCAACGCCCAGGAGATGACGGACGTCAACACCAGCAGGATCATCCAGGTGGTGGCTCCCGGCGATGTGAACTTCGCCCTGAACAGCAACGCCAGCAATGAGACGGTGGTCATCCAGTCGGCTCGCTCCGCGGATGCGGAAACCATCTGCATGTCGGTGCCCAGCTTCGTGGGTGGACTGGTGATGCTGCTCCTGGTCCTGGCTGTGGCCTCCCTAGTCGCCGCTTTTCTGTTTGTGCGCGTGCGCCACTTCGACCGCAAGGGAGCGGGCATGGCCTACGTGAACTAATCATTATGAACCAGCACCAGAGCTCCGACAATCCGACAGAGCGTGAACAGAAAACCAAATCAGTTTTATGTGCACTTCAGAACCACTCACTTGTCATTCATCCGCAACCGCATTAGCAATCTTTTAGGCACTCCAAAACTACCCTAAAAGTCTGTCTACCTTATCTCTGCCCTCACCTATCCCACTGAGCCGGCACTTGACTATTTATTTCTCGTTTATTTATTGCTCCCATTACACCAACACCCCCACCCCCAACCCACTTTTGGATGGTTTCCTCCTTTCCCACACGGCCCTATCTTCTAATGTTTCCTTAGATTTAGTCGAGGCGAAATTAAATTGTCAGACTTGTTAAGTTTCAGTTATACATACATGCGAAATGATTTAAAGCTATCTGATCGATGAGATAATAACGAAAACACTGTAGCGGCAAACATGGAAAAGCAGAAAATCGTTTACAATAAGTTAATATAGCAAATGTATATATTAAATTATTTATTTATTACTTTATTTGATAGCTGCGAAAATAATAAAAAGTTTACTTTTATTACCTACCCTGGGCTTAGTTTATTTTTTATTAGTTGGCGATATTAAATGGCAAACAAAGCTGTTGCAAACCTTATCAATGTGTTGAAATGGTTGCCCATGATAACAGTTTGTCGCTGTTTGGGGTCTTTGTTTTGCACCTGGCTAAAAATATAAAAACTTTGTCACTTTTTGGACAAAATACCAATAAATAGAAGCTATTGTTTGTGTAAATATTTCCTTAAATTATTAAGGAACTAACACAAGTTTGTAGTTTACTTGAAGCTACAACCTTCCCTGAACAAGCTCACCAAAAGTGCCTTATCATTGTGAGTAGGGAAAACTAGACAAGTTTCAACGAATGTGCTATATGATACATAACAAGAAAGGAAAGCTAACTTCGGGCGGAGCCGAAGTTTATATACCCTTGCAGCTAAAACCGGATATATATCGCAAACATCGGATATAGTTGGCCGATCCTTATGAGAATGTAATAACATAACCCAATTTATTATAATATAAAGTCTAAAAAAAAGTCTCAAACTCCTATCTTCAAAAATACGAAAGTTGGTATTTCTACCAAAAAACATTTCCGATCGTTCAGTTATATGGCAGCTGTAAGATATAGTCGGCCGATCGTTATGAAATTTGGTAGGTCGAATTAACTGACCAAAAATATAATCTGTACCAAGTTCCAGCTTTCTATCTTCAAAAACACGAAAGTTGGGTCATTTCCGATCGTTCAGTTATATGGCAGCTATAGGATATAGTCGGCCGATCCTTATGAAATTTGGCATAACATAATGTTTTGCCAAAAATAGCTCTCATGTCAAATTTGAACTCTCTAACTCTAAAAACATCAAAGTTATACCATTTTCGATCAATCAGTTATATGGCAGCTATAGGATATAGTCGGCCGATCCGGGCCGTTCCGACTTATATACTGCGTGCAAGGGAAAGAAGGGTGTGTGCAAAGTTTCAAGTCGATAGCTTTAAAACTGAGAGACTAGTTCGCGTAGAAACAGACAGACAGACGGACAGACGGACAGACGGACAGACGGACATGCTCATATCAACTCAGGAGGTGATCCTGATCAAGAATATATATACTTTATAGGGTCGGAGATGTCTCCTTCACTGCGTTGCACACTTTTGACCAAAATTATAATACCCTCTGCAAGGGTATAAAAATCATCGTTTTAAAGAGCTTCACTCTTTCTACTCAGATTAAATTTTTTCCAATTAGATGCCCCTGAGTACTGACATCCCAAACAAAATACTTTCTTCAAAATTTATAAAATCACCAACAGACAGTTTAGAAAATACATGTAGATTTATTAGCGAACACATATTTACATATTTATCTAGATCCCTTTGAGCTTAAACACTTTAAAAACAACAGCGCGGTAAAATACAACCAAAATTGAATTTACATACGCATCTATAATAGCCGTCTGAGCTTTCTGTCCCTGGGACAATACATCGGATTCCTTCAAATATATTGACTACATCTAGCTGAACTAAAGCGAATTAGAACTCAAAATTGCAACAAGGAATAACAAATGGGTTTTCTAGGTAGTCTACGCGGCGCGGGCGTCGTTGATGGTGGACGGCACATGAACCTCCAGCCCATCCATGTCCTTAGATAGCGTTATCTGGCAGCCGAGGCGGGAGGTATCCGTAAGCTCGTAAGCCAAGTCCAGCATGTCCAGCTCCTCATCGCCGGGTTTGTCGGGTAGTTTCTCGTAGTCATTGGTCTTAAAGATAAGATGGCAGGTGGAGCACGTGAGGGTGCCTTCGCAGGCTCCAAAGCCGTCCAGATCCACACTGTTGTTGACCACCACGTCCAGCAGCGAGTCTCCCACCTTGCCCGACGCCTTGATCTTATCTCCGTTGGCCCGCACAAACGTTACGTTGACTCTGTAAACAGGGTTTGTTTAATTAGTTATGTTGGTATGGAACTTCATTCATGGAAAACGAGGGGAGGGGCTACTCACACATCTTTCTGTTTCAGGGCCAATCCCGTCGAGAAAGTGCGCGAGGCGTTCAGCGATCGTAGTTGGAGGCTGCGAACTGCCAGCCTGGAGGCGATTTTGCAAGTGTTAATGACTAGCATCTTTCCCGGGGATTCCTTCTATGCTTCTATCTAATCAGCGATCATACGCACACACTCGCGCCGCTACGATCGGTGTTATTTAATAAATATTGCTGAATGCAACAGCTAGAAGCACAAGTGAAAATAAATTGGACAAGTGTGGCCAACGGGCTTAAATACCTGGTGGCGGAGACGGTGTGCACTATCGATAGCAAATGCTATCGAGTCGTGCTCATCCCCAAACATTGTTATTGTCTGCTTACCAATATAGGAAAATAAACTAAATTACGTTTTAAAAGATTTACAATGGGCGTGTTGGGGAATATCAGGAGCTACTTCACACAAGAAGCAGCCAGGAACAAGAACTTATCCATCATTGCTGGCCTGCTGGTAAGGGTGTGTCCACAACAGCGATTTCTTCCTCTGACTTTGCAATATTTTCACAGTTTTTCGCAGGATGGTGGATCCTAATTGACGCAATGTCTATTGACGGAAAGCATCAGATTACCACCGGACACGTCTTCATTGGCATTTTCGGCACCATCAGCTTCTGCATGGTGAACGTCGTCAAAGGGGAGCATGTAAATACAAAGAACCTATTGGGTATACCCAAGTGACTCATACCCTCTGTTTTGTTTGCAGATCTCCGAAGACAATTCGTCTGATTCGGGAGCCAGGATAGCGAAGATATGGCTATTAGTGGGCTTCTTCATGGGCTTTGCTTCCATAATCGCTGCCGTGTGGGTGATGATCGATGACTTTATTAACAACGGTAAGAATTGCCTCCTTGAAGGGAACTGAAAGGGTGTCGCGCTGCAATGACGAATGTATCCATTATCCGCTACAGATAAAAAGGATGGCTGGTTTGGCGTTGCCCTGCTGCTTCAGAACGTGTTCATCCTTTTTGCCAGCCTAATCTACAAGTTTGGACGCAACGAAGAGGATTGGAACGAGTAGAAATTCCCTCCAAAGGCGCACTCGAAAATGCTGCTTTTAGTTTTTACACTCATACGTACATATTCGGAGGCCACGGAGTTTATGTCGAGGGCAGAGGCCACACACGCCCCCACCGGCTTAGCCCCATCTAAATGCATCAACTTAATCAACTCTCCGTTCCTAGTTCCAATCCAATTTTGTGGAATCGGAATGCATGAAATTTTAATGCTTTAAGATAACTAGCCATTTCTACGGTTTTAAACATTCTACTGCTCTGACTTAGTTTTATAATTTAGAAATTTTCACCGAGTCCGGTTCCGCAGATTTGGTCGGAAGGGAATTGGAGCTAGGGCCAATAATCTCATTTATACTAAAAAAAAACAAAGAAATTTATAATAAACGAAAAGTCACTTGCGTAAGGCCACTTTTGAGCTTGCATTTATTTCAGGCAGAGAGAGCCGACACCATTAGGAGGAAGACCACCCAGAGTCGACCGCCACTCCGTCTATATCTATAATTATAGCGACCTTTATCAGTTCATAATCTTATCGCCGATCAGGCTTGTGCATCGTACGCGTCAATGGGACACTCATTCTCGTTCTGGAGGCACCACTGCGGCTGCACCGCCTCCGCTCCCAGGCCGTTCTCCACTAGCCGTTCGCGATGTAGCAGCAGTCGGGACTCGGCCTGTTTCCATCCAGTTGAGGGGTTCGACCACAGACGCTCAGCCAGAGCGCTGGCTCGCGGCCAGAAACGGTTGTCCAGCGTGTGCTCGTCGATTTGCTCCGACCAAATAGCGGCCTCAGCGCCCAAGACATGGTGTTCATAATCACCGGCAATGGTCTTTAGATTGTTGTCGTACACCTTCTGCCAGCCGATGTAGGGGGAGCACCAGTTGTTGCCATCCGTGACCCAGCCAGCACCGCCACAATCGAAATACAAGGCGTCGTAGTTGGATACAATTATCTTGTATCCACGCTCCAGAATCTTCTTAATCTTGGGATCAACGCCCGTTGTCCAGATCTGAATGATGTAACGCTCTGGGTTCAGATTCTCGTCAATAAAGGGCTCCTCAGTGAGACCACTGGTCCATAGAATGATGGGCGTCTGTGAGTTGTTGGCCACCTTATCCACTCGGGCTAGTGCCTCAGTCTGGAAGTGACCCCACAGTCGCATGAAGTCAGCGGTTTCGAGACCCCATCCCTGCTTTTTCATCCACTTGCGGATAGTCAAGCTGCTGTTCCAGCAATTCGTGGACACCTCATCTCCGCCCATGTGGAAGACATCGGGATCGAATTTCTCGAACATGGTCTCATAGATGTCCTCCAAGACGTCGTACATTTCATTCACGGTTGGGTCCAGCTGACCACAGGGGGGTTCCACACAGAAATCCTTCCAGGGCTGGGCGTTAAAGCAGGCTGTCATGTTTTTGTGCTGCCATCCCTCACCAACGTGGGCAGGAGCATCGAATTCGGGCATCACACGGATACCGCGCACACGTCCGTACTCCACCACCTCGGCAACGTCTCGGCGGGTATACACCTGGCGGGGGGAATACGCTCCGAGTTTAAGAAGCTCCGGACGCTTGCGTACCTCCAATGGGAAACTGTGGGAATCCGTAATGTGCCAGTGGAAGGTGTTCAGTTTCACCAGGGCCATACCATCTGAGCGGTTAAGATATTTCAATTAGATGTCAGATTATATGGATTACATGTCATAGATTCGGCTTACCCAATGTCCTCTTGATAGACTTTACAGAGTAGTAGTTTCGGGAGGTGTCCAGGAGCAGACCGCGCCATTTGTAGACTGGGGCATCGCTAATAGAGACATTTGCTGCCACTTGGACTTCTCGTCTGATGTCATCATAAACAATCAACTGAGCCAGAGTCTCTAGGCCGTTGCGGGCACCGAAGAAATTGCGGGCGGTAATATTTGCCAGCACATGACCGGATGCATCCGTATCAATTTCAAGATTGTAGCTCTCATCGGTTTCGAGGGTGAGTTTGGCTGGGGCCAGGTCATCAGGGGTGTTGATATTCACAGACATACGATACCCACCCCTGGCCAGGATTTTACGATCTGGGATCTTGGCTTGGAGCATGTCCATCCAACGGTCCTCGGCCGCTCTCCACAGTTTCTCCTTGCGGACGGTGCCATTGACATTGAAGTCGATAAACGAAATGTCGACCTGGCGCATCAAAGTGTCCAGACGCACTGCGCCTGTCGGCTGGGGCCACAAGGTACCGATTTCGCTGCCGCAGAACAGCCGGCACACGGGCAAGCTAATGGCCTGGGCGAAGTTCTCCTCGCTGAGCTCCACCTTCCGGCAGAGACCACTACGGCATTCATAGCCGTAAATCAAGTCTCTAATTTAATAAAAAAACACAAAGAGAAAGTTGTTTTTGAATTTAACGTGTTTTTTTTTTAAGAAAACCAAACTCACTCGGATTTGTGGGCCGTCAGTTGAGACACCAGGGCCAGGAGCAGGGCCAGTCCGAGTGCACTGCCCATCATTTTGTCAACCTCAACGCAGAAACTCTCAAAGCCAACTGGAGAACGCCTCAGGAATTATAATTGAGCAAATGGATTATTTCAAAACAAGTTTTCGCTTTATAGAGACTTCAGTTTTCGTCCAGAGAGCAACGAATCGATGTAAACAAAGAACTTGATTTACTGCGCAGCGGTTCTTGGATACCCTTTTTTGGCAATATTTCCGCAAATGCAAATATTATATTTTTCTTTTCTTATTTTTCATAAAAATTCATTTAAAATTATAAATTACAAAATTAAAAAAAAAAGGTAGAATTTATGCAGATTCAATTATTTTAATATTTGTTGAATAGAAAGTTTAGTTTTTAAAGTTTATTTCATTAAAAAAAAGAAACACTGATTTTTAATACATTAAAATTTCTTAATTTTTTTTTATTAAAAAGAACTAGTTGTTAATTAGTAACAAAATTTAAAGAAAAAACTTTTCAAATCCTTTTATGGACTTTGATTATTTGCACTTTTTATCCAAAGACACACACTGCTTTTATCACATCCTACCTTCTCCAAATCAGGATCCAACCTAGCTTCAGAGCTGTCCAATTCCGACTAAAGGTATGGCTTCCCTCTGTGGCCAATTTATCAGCCCACCAGCAGCGACTGCGGCCCCACTCATACACGCATTTGCCATCCGAACGGAAGGGGCGAGAATGGGAGGGCGGTCGGTGGGTATGTCAAGACAAGATTACACAGTTTTGCTTTTTAACTATCTTTCCCTGCTCTTGGCGTCGTATTTCTAAGTTCAAAGCCACTACTAGATAGCGATCGGGGTTCATAAATCTTTGGTGAAGAGTCTTCGGCAACGCCACTACAGGAATGCCTGGTAGCTCTCAGTGAGATTGCGGGATTTGGCCACTGAATTTATAACGATTTCATTTAAATGTACTTATTTAACTGAATTTTTCTTTATTTCTAAATCTATATTACACTTCTTTTTTAGGTAGGATTCACTCCTTTCTGCGTTAGGGTATTGTCCTCATATGTTTCCAGAACATCAGCCAAATGCTCGTTGTCTCTGGGTTTCTTGAATTGGCGCTTCTTGTTGGCGGCCTTCTTGCGCTTGGGGACAGGTTTCTTGAGCCCATGATCTTGCATGGAGCGGATTCCCTGCTTCTCAAGGTACTCATCGATTTTAGCATCATCCATGGCGTCGACGGTGGCCGAACGCCACAGTTTCTGAAATTCGTCATCCACCTAAAAAGATTCAAAATTTAGTTACCTATAGTATAGCCCACAAAGGGTAATATATTACTGAAAAGTTGGCGGTCCTATCATTGTAGAACAATATCTTCTTTTTATCAATAGGTCTGACAACAAAAAGGATCTCTGCAGCTCTGTTTTTTAAAACTTTCTCGCAATGTGGCAGAGATTCTTGCACATCCTCCAGAAGAACTCCACCTAGGCCCTTTAAATCATGTTGCTTCAGCAGCCGCATTAGACTTTTTCCGTCCTTTATTTTGTACACAGGTTTGAAGCTGAACTTTTGGCCACAAGGACTGACTTCTATTTTAGGGTTGTTGTTTAACGCTTCCCCCGAAAGCCACTGTGATCGATAAACAAAATATCAGTACCAGTCTTGTATTGTTCAGATGGACCTACGTTCTTTACTGACTGCCCGATATCCAGTTGATTTGTCTCGTCCAGAATCTCTTCTATGGTGAGGGGATGATCGTCTCCGTCTTGGTGGCGTGTCCGCATGAACTTCACGATCTTTGCCAGCACACCAAAGCGGTACTGGGAGCTTCCCGACATAGTCTTATACCTGAAAACAATGGGAGTGACCTGCTAGAACAAAAATCTTAAGCACCCTTTGCTACGTACGTGTTGGCATCCAGCTTGGGAGCCGTGGGCGGACGCATTCTTCGCTTGGAATCATCGCTGGAAGGCGGGGGAGCTGGGCGATCTACTTTGGCCTTTTTCTCAACGCTATATAAAAATACAAAATAAACAATGCAATTCAATATCCACATTGAATTTCTGGTAAACATACGTTGGCGTGGCCATCGCCCGTTTCTTGAACGCCTCGCGTTCACGAAGCAGCGCTGGATCCATTTTACTGTTATTTATTGAATTTGTTTGAATAATAAATATCAAACAAGTAACATCCAAATCAAAGCAAAAGTCGTCTTAATTAGGTAGCGCTGCCAACTGTGCTCAATTGAGATTAGAGCGACCTTGCTACTATAAAATACTAAACCTTTCAATTGAAAAATTATGGTATTTTTTTAGTATGTAAGAAAATGTATCAATTTTTAAAATTGTGTAATTAGTTTTAAAAATTTTGTTTTCGTTTTTAGCTAGGGTATTGAATATTATCATGCTGGAAACAAATTTTTCCCAGTTTCCATTTTCTATTTTAAAAACAAAACTAAAAATTTAAGCAATTGTAGTTCCATTTATTAATATCAATATATGGGATTACAAAGTTATATAGGCATATTCATATATTAGAGAATATTTTTAGTTACGCCTAAATCTAAGTGCTTTCAAGGAATAGTCACTACGTTCATAATATTTTAGTTCCTTGTTTTTTCTTATCCTGTCGAATATGATAGTAAATAGTACACGTTTGTTGAGTTCGTTTGCAGTTTATAATACGAGCTTGAGTGCGAAGCAAGCCTTGTGGTTTCGTTGGCTCCGTTTAAAGGTCTTAAGGTATGGGTCAATCTTAGAGTGCTCTGTACGAGGCAACTTCAGTTAGTCAATTGTTCGGGTTATGGTGTATTCGGTGAATTTGTGGATTTCTGTTTCACCGTTCTTTGTACCCGGTCATCGTTTTCCGTTTCTGGTCTGCGTGTTCCGTTTCCAGTCTTCGTGGTTTTCGTAGCTTTCCGTTGTGAGTGTACTGGTTTAAGTGGTTATTTTTTTTTTTGCGTTGGTCTGTATGTGGTTCTCTGAAGTAAGTTTCGTACTCGTACAATGCGTTCTCTGTAAGTTCTTTCTTGTCAAAGGTCTGTGAAGAGAAAGAAAAATGTTTTGGCTTATTATGTTGGCCGACAGCCATGGGCCACTGTGCGTAGGTTTGAATATGATGGTACTTCAAACGAGCAAGTCTGGACGCAAGCGTTAGTCGCATGTGCACTGGCACATATCTGATAGTTGGGTCTCTGATTTGGAATTTGAGCAACTTACCTCGGACAACGATACCCACACTTTCCACTTTAGGATGCAAGCAGTTAAACAAAGTACTTACGCTTAGTTTCGCCTCAGACGCTTGCGGCCATTATCATTGTCATCGCCAGAACCACTGCGCTCCTCAGCTTCCATAACCTGAATTAGGATGGTGGTTTATGGTCAGTGGTTTATCTGCTACCTGTTACCACTTACCTTTATCTTGGCACCACAGATCTCGGCTCCATTAAGGACGCTTATTGCCATTTGGGCGCTTTCCGCCTCCGCATACTTGACGTAGCCGCAGTTCTTGTTTGGAAGCAGGTAAACATCAATCAGGCCACTCCAGCACGAGAATACGTTCTTCAAAATGGAATGCGGCAGATTCTGTATTTGCGAAAGAAATTTAATAATTTTGATTACTAAAGGCAATATGGTACTAACCGCTGAGAGTACTATGAAAAGGCGTTGAGCAATCTGGGCATCAGGCGAGGCCAGCGGCTGAGAGGGAGGCAGCGGTACGCTGCATATCGCATCCTTTTTGGTGCGTTCTAAAAACAAGGATTGTTTAATTGAAAAAAGTTTTAATACCTTCAAGGCGCTCAAAATTATTTAACGACCCCTACATTACTAAAAGTTTAATTTCTTTGGTCCGTCCGATACTGAAGTGTCTAGAGTCTCCAATATGGAGTACATCAGGACCGCATAGAATCCGTACAAAAGAATTTCTTAGAGGTCGTCTTAATTTCGTACATTTTCACTTACAGGTCTTAACTAGGACACAAATCTTTATCTCCCATCATACAGTAGCAGACTCCTACTAATAAACTTACCAACCATAACTAATAGTAGGACAATGCTGTGTGTAGTTTTTCTAAATAACCTCATCAATGGACTAGAAACTTTAGTCCTCTATTCCTTAGCCACTGAAGTTCGACATATGCACAGCACCACCCTCTTAGGGTCTTATGTTCGAACTACAATGGTCTCTACTGCATCACATCTCTTTTCTGTCCTTCAAATTAAAAATCAAATATTTTAAATTTCCTAACACTTCTTAGCTTAATAAATAACGCGAGACAAAAAAAAACGTTTATACATAATGGCTGCCATTAAGAATTAGATATTTCAACAAGCAGGATATTTCTTAAATGGCCAACGCAAGCCATTTTTGATTCATACTGTCAATAAAGGAGGTGTCCATCCGAGCCGAGCTCATGCCGTTGACTTTAACGATAATACGTTCGCCTACAGGATACTCCAGTCCATGAAGTTTGTCCCTAAGGAAAAATATTATAATAACATGTAAGAGGGACGGGATAAATGTCCTTACTTGGCGTAGATGGCAGCTTCGGGATTATTGTACACAACCAAGGCCTCATTGGTGCGGGGACCATCTAAAAAAGGAAATTTGGTAAATCTAATCCTTAAAAGCAAAAACTAAGGGATAAATTACGTTCACGCATAATCTGACAGTAATCTAAGCCGGGAATAATATCAAAAAGACGCCAAAGCTGGTCCTGGTTAACGCACGTGCTGACTACAACCTCCAGGCAAGAGGGTTGTGCGACCGGCACATTTTGCATTCGCAGAAATGCGGACATGTCGTTGTTGGAAGACACATTCCAGTCATTGTTGAAGCTACCGCCTCCGCCACTGCCACCTCCACCGCCATTGTAATTATTGCCACCGCGCCCAGAGCCGCCGTACATGGGGTTGTCATCAGGCAAGCGCCCATATTGATCCCTCTGGTTTCGAGTGGACCCCTTAGGCTCAGCAAACACAGCCTTGTATTTCGCGGAGCAGTTTTCAAAGGCCACAGCGGCGTAGTAAAATCTAGACGGTACAAAATTAAGAATATAAGAATCGTCCATCCAATACGTCACGCCAGACTGGATACGCACTTGGTGAAGCGGACATAGCCAAAGCCTTTTGGGGGTCCGTTGTTTTTCTCCTTTACAATGGTCACCGATTCCACATCGCCCCATTGAGCGAACTCATCACGGATATCCTCCTCCGTAGCAGTCTTCGGAATCACTATGAACAGTCTCACGTACTTCTCATGTTCGTTCTCAGATTTGTTGGAACCCTGGTTCCGGCTACAAGATTCAAAAATTAGTCAAATGTCGGAGATTTTCAATCAAAACACTTGCTTTGCCGCCACTAGGACCTTAAGTGTCCTATCCATCTTTCCGATAGTTTTGCCATTCATCTCCTCCTGCGCCTTGGCCGCATCGGAAGTCTTTGCGAACTTAACATAGGCAATGCCCTTGTTCTCCTGTGTGTGCTTATCTTTCACCACCCATATGTCGTCAATCTCTCCAAAGGGAGAAAAGGCTTCCCGGAAATCCTCCTCTGTATGAGCCTTGTTGCAGATGATAAACAAACGCGACATTGGAGGATCATCGTCATTGGAGTATTCCGGATTATTTCCACGTCCGCCGCCGCGAGATTGAGAACGATAGTCCGACATATTTCTTTTATTCTTTTTATCTATTTTTGCCAACTTCAGAAAATTGTCTTTTGCACCTTTTTGATGGCGTATACACAAAATAGGTGGGGTCGTATCTGCCTTTTTGAAAAATACCAGTTTTCTCAGAACTATTAAAAGTTTCGATATCGAAACTGATATGCAATGATTTGAAAAAGCCGCTACGATAAGCTTACAGTAATCAAAACGCACTGGAAATAAATTAATTAATATATTTTATTAATCAACATTTTATAATTTTTTAGTATTTTAATATTTAAAACACTTACTTTGCACAAATGCCTAGCATCGGCACACAAAATATCGGTATATTTTTTAACGTTTTAAAAATTGTACTCTCAATTTTTTATTAGCCGTTGTCGTTTGTCGACTGAGTTGACTCGACTGAAATTTTGTAATACTTCTCTTAACTTTACACCTATGCCTACTTTATGAAGGAACAACGTTTTATTTCTACGCCTGCTTTTCTTTTAACAGGCAAAAGTATTCTAAAATTTAAATCCTTTAATTGTACCTGTTTTTGTGGTAAATTAGCCAAGATTTAAAGCAGCTGCAATGTCTTTAGCTACCTGGTGGTTATCAGTTTTTTACCTGTGTCCTCAAAATCATTTAAAAGTAACCTGCCCACACGCAAGGCTCTTCAGTTACAATCAGTTTTTCAAGATGAAAATGTCAATAGTGAAAACCTTATTTAATCTTTTAGCTCTGAAAATGACTTTTGCTGGCTTGGCAGAAATGCAAAAAAAATCACACACTGAAGAGTTCGAGGGCGCCTCAGCTCTGTTCAGAGCCATGTCATCGTCTCCGAATGAAGGATACTCATACAGCTGGAGTGTTGTTTCGTTTCCATTGGACGATTCAGATAGCTCGGATGAACCGGGGACTGGTTTGAATTGCACGGTGCTGTATTTGGATCACTGCACATCCTGGAACAAGTGCCGACAAACTTGTCTAAAAACAGGAGCCACTAGTTACAGATGGTTTCATGATGGCTGCTGCGAGTGTGTGGGCGAACATTGCATAAATTATGGAATAAACGAGAGCAGATGTCGCCTATGTCCCGAGCCAGGATTGGAGGATGAAGAAGAGGATTAAAATAAGAATGTATCTATAATAAAGATTCTATATAATTAATACCAAAAATGTTTTAAGCTAATAAATCATATATTTTATTTGAAATATTGCCGCCTTTTAATTTGATTTTTTCCAGTATTGTAAAATGCACCAATTTCGACCTAGCACGTGCTGTCGACACCCTGGCGCACTATTTTGTCAGCCCTGGTTGTTTTCATTCGAACTCCACGTTGTTTTGTATCGCAGTTTTAGTTTTTTAATTTAAAAATACAGCAAGATGGGTCGCAAATTCAATAACAAAAAACAGAAGAAGGCTCCACAGTTGGAGATAGTCCCGCTGGACGAGAATCCGCCGCTGCCCCCAACGAGGCCTTCAGATGAACCCGTCCCCAAAAAGGCGAGTGGCTAGATAACTTCGACAGCACACTTTTTCTAACAATATCTTAAAATTACAGGAAAAATGGGTGAATAAACAGAGAGTCCTAGTCTTTGCCGCCCGCGGAATCAGTCACAGGGACAGGCATCTCATGAGGGATATCAAAACACTGATGCCGCACCACCGAGCCGAGTCCAAAATGGAGCGCTCCAAGACGCTGTCGGTGATCAACGAAATGTGCGAGATGAAGCACTGTAACAAGGCGATGCTATTTGAAGGGCGACGCAAGCGGGATCTTTACATGTGGGTCTCAAACACCACGGGATCCACGGGTCCTTCGGCCAAGTTCCTCATCGAAAACATTCACACCATGGCTGAATTGAAGATGACTGGTAACTGCCTTCGCGGATCCCGTCCTCTTCTCTCTTTCGACTCCAAATTCGACGAGCTCCCTCACTTGAAGCTCCTCAAGGAACTCTTCGTCCAGACGTTTTCGGTGCCCAACCATCATCCCAAGAGCCAGCCCTTTGTGGATCACGTTTACACCTTTACCTACCTGGATAATCGCATCTGGTTCCGAAACTTTCAGATCCTATCCGAAGACGGTGGATTATCCGAGGTTGGGCCCCGATACGTAATGAATCCCGTAAAAATTTTCGACGGCTCATTCACGGGAAAAACCATATGGGAGAATCCCGACTACGTTAGCCCCGCCAAACAGCGACAGGTGCTAAAGAAGGCCGCCAAGGACAAGTATGTGAACCGGGTGGAGCAGAAGGTGCAGCATGAGGCCACACGACCTGTGAAGGCCTACGACAGCGTAGAAAATGAAGAAATCTTCGAAGATGATGATCCAATCGAAACTGCCAAAATCCTGGCTGCGATAGCCAAAAAGAAGAAGGAGGAGAATACGAAGAAAACACCCAAGGCAGCCCTCACCAAGAAGATCAAGGAAAAGCAACTAAAGGCCGTCAAGGAGGTGATTGCGCAAAAGAAAGCCAAGGCCACGAAACGTGTGAAAAAGGTCTAAAAGCCTCATTTACATTAAGATACAAAAATGATTACATTTTATAAATACATTTACAAACTGTGCTTCTTAAGTTTGAATATTACAAGTTATATTAGTCCCATTTATCTGCTTTGTACGTCGCGACGGAGTATGGTACGTTTATATAAATATTAACATCCTAATGAGATGTGCGTTGAGTTTTCGGGGGGAGGGTTGAGTTTGGGGCTTTGAACTTTACTCTGACATGGGAGCCACCTCTGAATCGGTCGGAGGAAGCCGGGTAATACTGAAGGGCTGCTTGTTGATGGGCATCATTCGGATGGCCTCCACCGGCGGCTCCTCTCCAGGCTGCAGTGGTTCCTCTCCCACTAACTTGGCCAGATTGCTCTGCGCCCAGCGCCCAGAGCGTCCATTTATGGCTTTATCCTCGCAGACACACAGGAATAGAGTGTCCACCACCATCTATATATATTAGATTAGATATTAGATTCTATAGCTTTGAAAAACCGTATTATGACTTACCTCAAACAGTGATAGGATAATGTGGGCAATGAAAAATGAGAAGATAATGATGATGATGACAGGAGCCATGTAGAAGTTGAGGCCGGGCATATCTTTGAGCATAAAGATACCAATAAGGCCGGCAAGTGCGGCCACCACAACCTTTCCAAGGAACAGGATGAAATCGCCCACGCTGTTGATGGTAGCCACTTGCAGAACATTTGTGGCCATGGCATTCCAGGCCTTTACAAAATAATACAAAAAGTTATTAAAGATTTATAAAGTGTTCCTCGTTTTAAACTCACAATGCCAGCAGCGGGACAGAAGTTAATCGACTCAATGGCTACCACAGTGTAAGCATTGTGGTTGAGGAAGCGAATGAACTTCTCCAGCAGCCAGAAGCCGCATATACAGCACTTTAAGCAGCAGGCGGCGCACTCTGATCCCTTGTCCTCTCCCTTTTTCAACCTTCAAGCGAAATTAAATTAATAAGAAGAAAATAATCGAAAGAAAGCGTACCTACTTGGCATAAAGATAAGTGAGAATCAAGCGTGGAATCTTGAAAAGAGTTATCACAAACGATCCCTTGGCCACAGTACCCAGGTGATACTTGATAAGTTTTCCAATGGCATAGATGGTGGGAGTGGTCGTTGGTTTGCCAAAGTACCAAAATGCCACGGCGGCGGCTAAGGCAAATTGCTGGCAGGCGAAAATGAACTCTACTGTCCAGATGAGACCCACAACGTAAATCCAAAACATGCTACGCAGGACACCAGCATCGTCATATTCTACACGGGCAATAGCTGTATGAAAAAGTATTGGATTAGTTTCTCAGAAAAATATCTGGAAAATTCAAGTAATTGTATATACAAATTGGATCCAAAAGTGATTTAGAAAAAACATGGAGATATTACACATAGAAGTAAAAAAAGATGAAAATACAGTAACCTTAGAGGATATCACTTACTGATTCACCAAATCACATAATAATATAACCACAAAATGCAAAAATATAAAGTTGTAGATTATTCAATTTCAATTTGTATGCCCTAACTATTCAGATCTTTCACAGAAATGACAGTGGTCTTGCCATTCTTATGTTATAATCCAGAGAGAGTACTTCCTACTTACTTCGCCCATCGTTGAGGCTAGAATTGTTGGCAACGAAAACGGCATTTGCTGGCAGCGGCTGCTTTTGAGCTGCTGTGTTGTCGAAGAGAGCAATCGGGCTCTGGCCAGGGGAACTAGCAGTGGCCAGGCAGATCACCACCGCTACCCAAAAGCTCAAAAAGGCAGTCAGAACCACAAAGGCTAGCAGCGGAGCAATTAATAGTCCTGGTAGGTTCATCATACACTGACCAGCCTCCTCGAACAGAGCCGACAGCCCTGACAATTTGTTCTTCAAGAAGTAGATGACCACCACAAGGATAATCTGCAAAATAAATGAAAATAAGAAAGAAACTGCAAAGAAATCTTCGCCTTACCATAGTTATGGTGGCCAGTACGGCTAGGGTCAGGACGGCTTGCTGATTGCGCACAAACTCCTCCAGCAATGAGTATTGGGTGTTGATGCCAGACTTGTAGCGGATGTTGTAGTAGGCATACCAAAGGGCAGCTGTAAGACCCACACTGGCCACTATGACCAACACACAAATGACCCAGGAGACGATGCGAGAGAGCCAGTGCATCATGGTGACCAGGGCAATGGAAATAACTAAACATAAATAATAATTTTAGAAAAAGGTGTATTGGTTTTAATAAATATTTCTTACGCAGGGCTATTCCACAGACCATGGCAATGATGTGCCAGGTGGAATAGATGTCACCCAAAAATTGCTGGGCCACATCCCAGTTGTTGAGCATGTCGTAAAAGTTCTGGACCTTTTCCCCAGTACCCTTTGGAATGCATCGATGGAGAACAGGCGAGCTGCAATCAAAATATATTTTTCAAACATAACAAAAGGATAAGATGATTATTTAACACCAACCTGGCGGACACTGGGAGTGTGGGACAAGGTCCCAGGAAGTTGAAGGTCTTGTCGTCTTTGCCCGCCGCCCTGATCTGTTCCATATTGAAGTCATATTTACAGAGCTGGTTGCCGGTTTGGGTGAAGTAGTCAAACAAGTCACTGCCCTTCTCAATGTTCTTTGCGGGACATGACTTGACGCACACCTTCAAGGACTTCTTCAACTCCTTGTTGTCGAAGTAGAAAAGCTCCGGCTTGTCTAGCGTGTTTAAACCGGAAAGAGGAAAGCCCTGAAACTTTTCATTGTGCTTAACGCCACAGGTGTTTCCGAAGGAGTCGTAGCCGTTTATAATGCGGAGTGGATTTCCATACACAAACGAAAATATCGCTATCACAATCTGCAAATAAACACAGGAGCTCAATTATTTAATGTGAATTAAAGCCACGCGGCGGGAGGGAGATGGCGAATTGTTAAAGCTGCCAACGCCCACGACCATTTCATGTCAAGGGGCATTATTATTATAATCGCTCTGATGGCGGACTGGACATACCCATGCGAATACATCGCATGGAAATGCTTTCAAGGAGTGCCAGGATAGTGAACAAGCTGAAATTGGTTCATTTCATGAAGATTTAGTTGTAGTTCTACTTCTAGGCTAAGGCCGAATGATATATCATCGAATTCATTAACGGAATTAACAATTCTACTCATGTGCCAGTGATGACGACATGGAATGCCTCACCATATAATAGGTAACAAGTACTTGGAGAAAAATATATTATCTATATTTACATTTTTTTTATTATATTATGGAAGCTATTCAGTAGGTTAAGAGGTGTCTATTCAAGTGGGGGTTATTTGGGTAAAAATAAGGCAAGCATTCATGTTATGCTTACAAAGGATAACGGTATTTTTGCAATGATTACATAAAAATCTCGGTTTACATAGAAAGAAAAATTAAAAAACGATCAGGTTTATTAAACAAAATACAATTTAAATTTTTTTAGTTTAAAAGTTTTTTGTTTACTGTTTAAGTTTAAAAAACCAAACAAAAGCATTAATCATTTTAATAAAACAAGTGCCTTTTTTTCAGTGCAGACACCTCCTCATAAACCGCGCGTAAAAAATCGCACTCATACATGGAAACAAAGAAACGCATTTGCGTATATCTACTGATCTCCCAGCTTTCACTTTCTTGATACACTTTTCTCCTAATATATATTCAAATAGGAAATATCTAAGTAAATACTTACCAAAAACAACCAGAATATAATGTAAATAACCAGCCAGCAGATGTCGGTGCAGGACCGGTATTTAGGCCCATTGTTTTGTCCCTGCCCCTCCTCATCCTTGCTTTCGGCACAACCCATTTTAAACTTTCTTAAATTGCAGCTTATGTCCCCTTAATACTACTAATTAACGGTCTTTTTTTTTTTTTAATAAATATATGTGGTTTTGAGCAACTTGTTCGTTTCTTATTTTGATTCACAACCCAAACCAACAACAACGCCAACGTCCTCCTATGTTATTCTTAGTGTGACCAGGCCGAGACAAACAAAATGGAGATTCTTTGGCCCAACGGAAATATACTAAATATTAGTATTTTTAAAAATTTGAAAAAAATTAAGCTTAAGCTTTGATTTAGTCTTCTAAGAAATTATAAATATTATCACATAAAGAAGTGTACAAAATTAGTTATATCTTCTTCTTTCTTCGTCTTTTATTTATCAAACAAACTAAACCCAGATAAAAGTAAAACTACTTACTAGTTTTCCCAACTTTAAAATTCCAGTTTAAAAAAAAGTCTTTCAATATAAAAAAATTATTCACATTTATTTAATGATCGAATTAAGATAATTACTAAAGCTACTCTCCGATTGAAACATCCAGAGCTAACATTAACATAAAATTCGCATACAACTGACAAAAAATAATGTTCGTAAATCGCAGGATCGTATATAAATTAATTATTCGATACTTAAACAATGAATGGAATGATGATAGACTTAAATACTGAGGATTGGCCAACGATAGCCTTCTGTAAACGGAATTGTCATTCCAAAATTGTTTCAATTCAAGGGAAAACAATTTTCGAACAAGATTTCGTTCTCTTTCGATAGGTCCTAACTAAATAATATTCCCTACTTAAGACTACGGAATAGTTTTCTAGGCTAACTCATTGGGATCTAGAGTAGAACGTGTCTCCGCCGTTAATCTCATGGTGAAGCTATTTGGCCGACTGTATGATCACTTCTTCACCGTCACCTGGATGCCACCCTTGACCACAGCCTCCGCGGGTGGTGGGCCGAATCTCCGGCTCTGATTGAGGTTGCCTTTACGCCGGATACTGATCTTTCCGGGAAGCGGAGCCGCAGCCTCTCCACTCTGGCTGCTGCGCTGCGTCTCCAGATCCTCAGTGGGTGGGCGGTAGGTGCGAATTCCGGAATTGGATCTCACTGGGAGCAACGTCACCAGACGATGCATACTGGGCTCCGTAGTACTGGAGGCAAACTGCGAGATCAGCATCTCCTCGTACTTCTGAGGATCTACTACTTCCACCTCTGCTTCACCCACGACGGGAATAGCTGCGCCCAGAACTTCCGAAGAACCATCCTCAATAAAACTAGACATGGGCTTGATGAAGGGCTCCCGCTCTATGGGCAGATTAGATTCCCTAACTAACGGTACCGCTGCTTCCGTGGTGGTCGAAGTAGTCGACGCGGGTCTTCGGATGTCCTCCTTAGGCGGATGCTTCAGCTTGTTCTGCGAAAAAGGCGGGAACTTGGTGGGCACGCTCGGTGTAATCCCCAGCTTAGAGGCCAGTGTGTCAAAGATCAAGGATATATCCTGAATGTTGCTGGCGTTATTGATCCTGGTCTTGATGTCGTCCAGCGTGAAGTTTTCAGACTTGTCAATATCCTCTGAAACCCAAGCTTGAAGTGTCTGGTTAAACACCTTCCTCATGTTTCCATTGTGCCCGAATCCCTGCGCTGAAGAGCTGTTCACGAATTCCCACTTGGAGTGCGAGGGGAACAGATTGGAGTCATCCAGCATGGTTGGACGTTCGCTGGTGGTGCGAATGCGGTTCTTCTTTGTGGTTTTTGGTTCCTCCGTTGTCGTAGTGGTTGTGGTTGGTGTTGTTGTTGTAAATTCCTGATCAGATGTGGCATTGGACAAAATCGCTGATGGAGTATTCCTTTGCAGAATAATCTCCTTAAGGTTCATGAAGTTGGGCTTTGACTTGTTGCCAGTGGGAATCTTTGGGGTCTCAGCTTCCTCGGGCTCTATCCGGGATTCAATAGCATCTTCAGTTGGCTTTGGAGTGGCGGTGGCGTTGTCCTCTTTAGGTAAATTCAGCAGCTCCATGAAAAATTCTCCAATTGTGTCGGCCAGCACGGAGTTATCCGTGGGCTTCAGAGACGGCAAAGACGGAGCCTTGGTGGGCTTGGGAGAGCTACTGGCCGCTATCTTTGCGGGGGTGGTACTTCCAATCTTTTCAAGAGTATCCTTTTTACTTTTCGGCGTGGTGGAAGGCGAATTTGGTTCCTTTTTATCAAGAGGCACAGTCTTAAGCTCTTCCTGCTTGGTCTCTTCCTTCTTCTCAGAACCCTCATTAACCTGAGGCTCCTTCTTCACTTGCGGTTCTTTCTTCTCGATCTTATCCAGTGGCTTCTTGGCAATGACTCCTCCGCCCAAGTGCTCAAATCGTTCGTTACTGGCATCCAGATTAAAGGGCAGCTTTTCGCCGGCTCCAATCGTAGGATCTATGGGCTTAAATGGTGGTATGATGACATCATCTATGAGGGGTACAGGCAATGGATGTGGTTCCACCAGGGCTCCTCCCAATCGTTCTATATTCTCGGTGCCTGGCATAAAAATAGGACTGCCAAAGTTGTGATAGAAAAGCATGTCCTGTTCCTGTTGTGGCTGCTGTACTGGATGGGGCTTTGCCTCTTGGACTCGCACTCCAGGATTTAGGAAACCCAGGCTGTAAGGATCTATCGTCACGGGTGCTACAGCTGCCGTCGGAGGAGTTGGATTGTCCCCGATGAATGGCAGCTCAAACTCATCTATCCTCCGCTGGGGTATGTGGTTAACAGTGGGCGTGGTCACGCCTCCAGGCAGCATTTTGGTTGGAAAAGCTGGTGGAGGACCTGGCAGAAGCTCTGGTACCTCCCGATGCATTGGTCGCCAGGGCTGCGTGTCCAAAATGGGGAATGTGGTGAACAAATTGGCGTCCAATTTTGGCAGAGATGCAGCTGGAGCCGGTGAAGGTGGATTCACTGGCGGATAGGTGAAGGTCGTAGTTGTGGCGACAGGTCGTGTGGTAGTTGCCGGCGGAGCAGGAGTAGTTGTAGACGTGGTTGTTGTTGTGGTCGTTGTGGCCTCCGTAGTTGTAGTTGGCTTGGGAGTTGTGGTGGTAGTCGTTGTGGTAGTTGTAGTGCTTGATGTAGAACTAGTCGTCCTGCGGGTGGTGGTAGATGGTTTGGTGGCCTTAGTGGTTGCTCGTGTACTGGTAGTGGGAGCTGCAGTCGGCACCTTTTGGGGCAGCACCGTGGTGAGCTTTTCGATACTGGGCTTCTTAGGCTTCACCCTTAGGGAGTATGGTGTCACAGCAATTGATTTGGGTGGCAAGGTGCTGCTGGTGCTCTGGTAAGCTCGAGTTGGTGGCGTCTTCTTCCTGGCGATGTCCGCATCCGTCTTGGTGATCTCAAACGAACCCTCAAAGGAGCCCTGAATTACAGGAGCGTTCTCCACATCTATGTCGGGCTCATCATCGGCGGAATGGGTACGCACTAAAGGATTCTTTGGCTTGGGCGTGGTGTTACCGCCCAGGGGCTTTGGATGAAGTGGAGATGGTGGCGGGGTACTGCCCTTCTTCATAAGGCGCTTTTCCAATTGGGTTTGACTAGTCGGAACCGTTTGCTGTAATCGATTAATGTTTTTAATTGAATTTTGCAAGGTTTTTCATTTAAAACTTACGGCTTCCTTCAGTATAGCAGCAGATCGCACCACTTGCTCGTCCATTATCCTCTTGATCTCCACAGACTCCGTATCAATTCTCAAAGAACGGTACAATGACTTGGTGGCAGAGGTTTCTAGGAACAGCGATTCTTTAATGTACTCCTCCACACTCAGAATGTTTCTGAAATTAAGTAAATATTTAGGAATCCAACAAGAATAAATAATCTTTATTTAATCTTACTGTGGCAACTTGCGGACATCCAGGAATACCCGGAACGAGACCTTGATAAGAGGACCCTCGCCAAATCCCCACACATCGGCTCGCAGCGGCTGCAGTCCATTATCCATCATGGCTCGCTCCACGAATCTCTTGTAAAAGTCTATTTTTTGCTTATACGTGGTTGTGTGGTTGTACTTGAGGCCCGTGGAATAGAGATCTCCCTTGGCGATGCGGAAAGAGCCCTCGAAACCCATGATTGCTGGATAGAAAGACATTAGATATAGACCTTCATAGTTGTGTTTTAAGACTCACGATCTTCCAGTGTAGACTTTATGGAACTGAAATAAAATGCCAGTCCGGCGATCGAGATCACTGCCAACAGAACGATAAAAGCTGCCGTGGTCAGGATGATGGAGAAGGATCGGTTCTTCGGGTATTGGGTGTGTGTTTTGGCCGAGAACGTGGAGGGGGCAATGTTCCTGCCATCACGCCAGATTCCCCAGGTGTTGTAGCCATACTGACTGTTCAAGCTGTGCTCATTGGTGTACGAGGGCTGCTTGTTCATGTGATAATAGGCCCCGAGCTGCGACCTCCGGCCAATAGTGTTCTGGTAAGTGTAGTCCGCACTCTGCAAAGAAGCAAGATGACAGATGTTCATAAGTGGGTTTCCAAAGTATGCCAGGTCGATCGATCCCGATAGCCGGTAATTAGATAATTAGCCGCCAAAAGTCGCACAGCTTTCTCGACCCTTCGGCCACTTTCTTTTGTGGCCGCCAGTCCCCAATCTAGATTACGGAAGTTGGCTCCTAACGGCCCCTACTTGAGCTCAATTTGTCGGATGGCAAAGAACCGCAAACTTCCACCCGAAACTTTCCCAGCGTTATGTCAGAATCACTATCGCAACTGAGCACTTTTCATGATTTGTTAATGCATCTCATTAAGAGTTCTGGGAAAACGCATTTAATTAGCCTGGGGCGTAGAGCTCAAAGTCATTGCACCTGGTCAGAACATCAAAAAGTTCCCATGCAATGTTTCTGATCAGCATAAGAGCCACTTGCAGCTTTAATTAGGAATAACTTTTGCCATTCCCTGGATTTTACATTATTTTAAACTCTTTCTATGTGCTATTATGGTTGAATTTGTCTTTTATCGAATTAAACTTTTATACAAAAAGATTTATTTAAATTTTTTTTAATTAGTTAATATTTCAAATTCGTTTTTGTTTTTGTAATTTGTCTTTCAATTCAATAAATTCAACAAAAAAATTCAATAAAAATAATGCAAAAGTGCATTAAAGCTTTTATATCTTTCTTTGTAAAAAATATATATATTTTAAATATTTTATTTAATCTAAAATACATTAAATCAAAGTTTTTTGGACACTACATCATTTTTATCAAATTTCAAAAATCAAGTTTTTTGCTTAAGTCTTTCGATTTTTGCACGAAATTCAATGAAAATAATGCAAAAGAGCATGAAAGCTATTATATTTTTCTTTGTAAAAAAAAAACATATTTTAAATATTTTATTTAATATAAAATACTCAATGTTATCACATTTTAAAAATCAAGTTTTTTGCTTAAGTCTTTTGATTTTTTCAGCGAAATTGATGACACAAACTAAAAATGCAACTCAAAAATGTGGTCAATGATACAAAATAATTAATTGTTTTTGTTTTTAAACTTAATTATTAAATTTAAAACTCCAACCTTGGAGCTATTATCTGAACCACAGCTATAATTGCATTTCTACAGATAGATTCCCGAGGGGCCTATGGGAAAGTTTGATTGTTTCTTGATTACCATTTAACATTGGTTTGCTGGAGGGCACTTCCCTTGGTAGCCCATGGGGCTTCCTTTCCGCAAAAACCCCCTCTGCCAGCTCTGCGGGCCAAATTCTCGTATTACGACTGCCTTCTTCTGCGTTCTCTTCCTCTCTTTTTTTCTCTCTGGCTTCCTCTTTCTTCGGTGCGTCTCTGCCAGAGAAAGTCATTCACCTTTTAGAACGTTCAGCTGGCATGTTTGCTCACTAGTTACTCGTCGTACCTATGTGTCTGTGTATATCAGTATCTTTGTATCTTTTTATACACAATGCCTGCTGGTGAATATGAGGAATGCAAACACTCCGATTCCGAGACTCGCATCCCAAACAAATAGTCAAATAAATAAATATACATAAGCATGGTGTTCCATGTAACACACAACAAAACCGACCAAAGTTGATGTAACAATTTAAAAGAAAAAAGAATATTTTGGAGGCGAGAAATAGTCCCGATTCTATTCTTCTAGGAGACCCAGATTCTGAATATGCTAATGAATTCATCGGATTGTATAACCGTTAAGTCTATTGTACGAGTGATAAACGAGGAGGATTACTCACCATTTGTCGGCATGTCTGGGCCCTGTATATGTCACTCACGCCGGACAGGCTCTGGAAGTACTTCTTCGTTCCATAGACGGTGTCCATTGTTTCGACGTTACAATTCAAATCGCGGGCACTGAAAAACACGAAATTTTTTGGACTATTGTTAGCTTTGTTGTTGCTTCACTTTCGTTGATAGTTGCTTTCTTTCGGGCCCACTCGGGAGCTCGTTGTGATGAGTGATCCGTTCTTGGGATCGAGAAAAGTCGCTAATGGGCCAACATGCCGGAGAACCGGCTAATCCTGTTTGCCAGCCCATTATCCAAACGAAAATTCTCACTTTTCGCCAAGGAAACGAGGAAAAAGAACTGCAAACAATTGCAATGATTTATGTATACCATTAACCGGTTTGATTTGCATTTTCCACAGTTCTTCAAAGTCATTTTTTGAACAATTTCTCCGAAACTATAAATAAAAGATGCTTCGATTTTTTTTACCTCAAATAGGCACCTGTTGTTTTTCTTTTATCGAGTAGAAATTAAAATGAGTACTTCAAAATTCATTGTGTATTTTATATTTTTGACTTTACAGACTGAAATCACTCTCTCAAATGTAACATGGACCTCTGTCACAGATCCCACGGAGGACATATTCTCGACGAAAGGGAACGTCCCAGATAACTCTAGTTCCGATCCCTCGGACTTTCAGTTCTTGATCACGGGTGGCTATCGGCCCAGGACCAATAACCTGGCAAAGTACGTCGTCTCAATTAGGCTTGTTGAACGCTACAAGTTTTTCGGCAGTGATCACTTTTGTGGAGGAGCAATCATTTCCAAAAATTTAATCCTGACGGCTGCACACTGCTTGTTCTTAAAGTACGTAGGCTTTCTTCTGATATTAGTGTCTGCCTAGTTTTAATTTGGCTTTAACTATTCCAGTTCATGGAAGTTGAATCCAAGCGATATAGTAGTAGTAGCAGGAACGCCCAAAAGGATGAGAAAAACCACCGCGACGCAGGTGATGAAAGCCAAATATCTAATAGCTCACAGTCAATATGGAAGTTGGTCCATGGCATACGACATCGGCCTTGTGATTTTGGAGGGTTCACTGTATTTCAATGCTTACGTGGACTCCATTGAACTGACCCCATCGCCAGCAAGGGTGGGAAAACAATGCACTACACTTGGCTGGGGGGCTGTAATTAACGTTAGATCCTATTCGACCCCTTTCGTATTCCCCAGAAACTAAAGCTTTATTTACCCATTGCAGTACGGACCTGTTCCCAATGAGATTGTCAATGTTAATCTTGTTATTCTGTCTCGTGACAAATGTGACGCTTATGGCTATTCCTTTCAAGGGGGCATGCTTTGCGTCGCAAATCCAAGTTACGATGATTCCGACAGTTGCGAGGGCGACTCCGGGGGTCCGTTGATCTGCGATGGAAAAGTATACGGCATTGTCTCGTTTGGCCGTGGATGCGGTGAGCCGCGTTTCCCCGGAATCTACACGGACGTCTACTTGTACTTGAAATGGATTATGAACGATTTGAGTCCGCCAAACACAGTTCCAATACCCGTTCTTATACCAGGACTAGTCTTGTTAATAGCAATTGTTAATCAATGGATACTTAGCGCACGTTAGCCATATGTAAGAATTAGGAAATTACAAAATTGTGAAATTGTAAATAAATGACGCCTTGATTTTTAACGTCAAGTAGGCACCTGTTGTTTTGCTTAAATTAATTATGAGTTCTTCAAAATTCATACCATATTTTGTGTTTTTGGCTTTACAGACTGAGATTACTCTCTCAAATGTAACACGGGACTCTGTCACCGATCCCACGGAGGGCATATTCCCGACAAAAGGGAACGTCCCAGATAACTCTAGTTCCGATCCCTCGGAATTTCAGTTCTTGATCACGGGTGGCTATCGACCGACGACCAATGAGCTGGCCAAGTACGTCGTCTCGATTAGGCTTGTTGAACGCTACAAGTTCTTCGGCAGTGATCACTTTTGTGGAGGATCCATCATTTCCAACAAGATTATCCTGACGGCTGCACACTGCTTCTTCCCAAAGTACGTAGGCTTTCTTCTGCTATTAGTGCCTGCCTAGTCTTAATTTGGCATTGACTATTCCAGTTCAGTAAAGTTGAGGCCTAAAGATATAGAAGTAGTGGCAGGAACGCCCAAAAGGTTGAAAAAAACCAGCAAGACGCAGGTCATGAAAGCCAAATATCTAATATCTCACAGTCAATATGCAAGTGGATACGATGGATACGACATCGGCGTTGTGGTTTTGGAAAAAGCACTAACATTCGATGATTCAGTGGCTTGCATTGAAGTGACCCAATCGCCAGCATATGCGGGAAAACCATGCACAACACTCGGCTGGGGTACTGTAATTAATGTTAGTTCCTATTGGTCCCCTTTATATTCCCCAGTCAGTAAAGCTTTGTTTATCCCATTGTAGTACGGACCTGTTCCCAATGAGATTGTCAATGTTAATCTTGTAATACAGACTGCTGACGCTTGCGCGGCTTATGACTTTAAAAAAGGCATGCTTTGCGCCTCAAATCCAAGTTTGGATGAGTCCGACAGTTGCGAGGGCGACTCCGGGGGTCCTCTGATCTGCGATGGAAGAGTTTACGGCATCGTATCGTTTGGCACTGGATGCGGTGAGCCAAATTATCCCGGAATCTACACGGACGTCTACTTTTTCTTGAAATGGATTATGAACAATTTGAGTCCGCCAAACACAGTTCCAATACCGGTTCTAATACCAGAACTAGTCTTGCTAATAGCAATGGTTAATCAATGGATACTTGGCTCCCAGTATACTTAATTAACCGAATGTAAGAATTAGGAAATCACAAGTTACATTTAAGAAATTACGAGTAGAGATGGCTTCAGGAAATTTGTTTATATGCTGAACGAAGTGTACTGGTTTCGTTAAAAAAAAATGTTGAAAAATGAAGAGTCAATTTTGAATTTTTGAAAGTATTTAAAGAGGTAACACTTCCATTTTTACAAAAGAATGTATCACACAATATATCTGTTCAGTAAATTTACCAAAATTGTAAATAAATGATACCTCGATTTTTTACCTAAAATAGGCAGCTGCTTTTTTTTCTATTTTCTAGTAGAAATTAATAATGAGTATTTCTAAATTCATATCATATTTTATGTTATTGGCTTTAACGGCTGATATTACTCTCTCGAATGTTAGCGATCACACAGAGTTCATATTCCAGAGAAAAGGGAACGTCCCAGATAACTCTAGTTCCGATCCCTCGGACTTTCAGTTCTTGATCACGGGTGGCTATCGACCGACGACCAATGACCTGGCCAAGTACGTCGTCTCGATTAGGCTTGTTGAACGCTACAAGTTCTTCGGCAGTGATCACTTTTGTGGAGGAGCAATCATTTCCAAAAAGGTAATCCTGACGGCTGCTCACTGCTTGCTCTCCGGGTGCGTAGGCTTTCTTCCAATATTAATTCCTGCCTGGTTTTATTTTGGCGCTTGACTATTTCAGTTCAGCAAAGTTGAAGCCAGAAGATATGATAGTAGTGGCTGGGACGCCCATAAGGATGAAAAGAACCAGCACAACACAGGTGATGAAAGTAAAAAAGTTAACGTCTCACAGCCAATATGCAAATTTTGGAAACGACATCGGGATTGTGGTTTTGCAGAAAGCACTGCATTTGGATGAGGCAGTGGCCACCATTGAACTGGCCAAAGAGGCAGCGCAGACGGGACAGAAATGCACTGCAATTGGCTGGGGCTCTATCTTACAGGTTAGTTCCTATTCTTCCCATTTCTTACTCTTTTACACTCCACAATAACTAAAGCTTAGATTACTCCATTACAGTACGGACCAATTCCCAATGAAATTGTCAATGTTAATCTGGTAATCATGTCCAATGACGCCTGCTCGGCCTATGACACTACCTTTATAAAGGGAATGCTCTGCGTCTCCCATCCCAATATCGATGATGCCGACAGTTGCGAGGGCGACTCCGGGGGTCCGCTGATCTGCGATGGAAGAGTTTACGGCATTGTCTCGTTTGGCTCCGGATGCGGTGAGCCACATTTCCCCGGAATCTACACGGACGTCTACATGTTCTTGGAATGGATTGAGAAAAATTTGAGTCCTCCAAACACAGTTCCAATACCTGTTCTTATACAAGGACTAGTCTTATTATTGGTATTTTTTAACCTTTACATACTTAACTCGCGTTAACCGTATGAAACATTTAAAAAAATTTGATATCGCCCCAGGAAGCTTTTTGTTTTTTTTTTACAAATTTAGCGAAATCCGGAGGTTTACTTAAAAAGAAAAGCTGAATAAAACGAAAAGAGGCCATTCTGATGAATCAATGTACCACACAGTATCTGTATCCCATTAACCTGTTTCGTTTGCATTTTCCACAGTTCTTTAAACTCCTTTTAAATGAATAATTTCACTATAACTATTAATAAATGATACATCGATTATTTACCTAAAATAGGCAGCTGTTGTTTTTCAATTTTCGAGATGAAATAAAAATGATTACTTCAAAATTCATTCCATATTTTATATTGTTGGCTTTGCAAACTGATCTCACTCTTCCGAATGGCACATGGGAGTCTGTCCCCGATCACACGGAGGATACATTCACAGGAGAGGACAAAGGGAATGTTCCAGATAACTCTAGTTCCGATCCCTCCGAATTTCAGTTCTTGATCACGGGTGGCTATCGACCGACGACCAATGACCTGGCCAAGTACGTCGTCTCGCTTAGGCTTGTTAAACGCTACAAGTTCTTCGGCAGTGATCATGCTTGTGGAGGAGCAATCATTTCCAAAAAGATAATCCTGACGGCTGCACACTGCTTGTTCTTAGGGTGCGTAGGCTTCCTTCCAATATTAATTCCTGGCTAGCTTTAATTTGGCCACTGACCATTTCAGTCATGTAAAGTTACAGCCTAAAGATATGGTAGTAGTGGCTGGGACGCCCAAAAGGCTGAAAAGAACCAGCACAACACAAGTGATGAAAGTCAAACAGATAACGTCTCACAGTCAATACTCAGATTTTGGATACGACATCGGGATGGTGGTTTTGCAGGAAGCACTGCATTTAGGTGAATCAGTGGCCACCCTTAAACTGACCAGAGAGGCAGCGCACCCGGGAACAGAATGCACTGCACTTGGCTGGGGCGCTATCATTCCGGTTAGTTTATATTCTTTAATTTTTTTTACTAAACCTTGTACCATCGCAGCACGGACCTCTTCCCAATGAGATTGTCAATGTTGATCTTGTAATCCAGCCTCGTCACGAATGCTACGCTTACGGCCATACCTTTAGAAAGAGCATGCTCTGCGTCTCAAATCCAAAAATGGATGATGCCGACAGTTGCGAAGGCGACTCCGGGGGTCCGCTGATCTGCAATGAAAGACTTTACGGGCTTGTCTCATTTGGCCGTGGATGCGGTGAGCCGCATTATCCCGGAATCTACACGGACGTCTTCATGTTCGTGAAATGGATTCGCAAAAATTGGAGTCCGCCAAACACAGTTCCAATACCGGTTCTAATACTAGGACTAGTTTTGTTATTGGTAATTGTAAACCTATGTATGGTAACTTTGCTGTGAGCCAAATCTATAGGTTTCCTTTAAAAATAAATGCTAAAAAAACGAAAGGAGTTCATTCAGAATTTTCAGAAAGAAATTAAAGAGGTTACACCTTCATCCCGCTTCCTATCGCACCTTCTTTATGAAAGACTGTATCAGACAAGTTTCATAATTAATTGATCCAGCAGACAGACCACAATGCAGACCTCTCCGATGACCAGTCGTAAAAAGCGAAAGCAAGCCATCGTACAAACAAAAAACAAAAATTTAATTAGAGAATTCCCCGACACTTTGATACGCTCAGTGGCTGAGCCCTACAAATTTGGAATTTTCACTTCTCCTCCCAACAGCCGCGATCATGGGAAGATCCAGCATAAACAAAGATCCAGCGAAGAACCCACTCTGACTCCGACTCCAAATGGTATAAGTACACAGCAGATGGGCAAGCAATGGAATGGGATAGAAACCAGTTCTTCACTGGAGAGATGGAGATGGGATGCGATGGGTTTGGGGATGGGGTTGGGGCTGGGCTTATGGCTTGTTCCGCCGTCATATCTACACATGTAAGAGATCTCGGTGCTTATAAAGCCACAATGTATAGTATGGGCCATAGTTGTAGATGTGCAATCAGAAGCAAAGTTCAAGCCCGGTGAAACGTGTGTGTAAAAATAGTTTCGGTGCGGGAAGGAGAAGCCGCGGACAGAAACCTCCAACGATGGATGGTTGATGGCTTCAAGAGGTCTGTTCTGTGGTATATGGTATCTGGTCTCTGAGTTTTTGAGCTCAGTGGCAAAAGTAAAAGTTCTGTTATTTTTAGGAATGTCTTGATGAGGGGCTCTGACTTTTTTTCAGAGAAACTAATTGGATGCTTTGAATAATAATCGAGGTCTCAGAAGCCTTATTATTGGGTCATCAGAAATCGAACACAGCGCTAATGGGGGATTATGCAAAATTCAAATCAATGGCTGTAGAAAGGTTTATAAATTTAGAAAGAAACGACAAATCTCTAAGGCTAAAATCCAATCCATCTGGTCTTCGTCTGATACCATCATACATCTCCGTAATGGTTTTCAGATGGTTATTTCCTCCCAGACAAGAACGGGCCGCCACTTCCCATTGAAATGGAACGGAAATACATTTGGCTAATAAAAAAGAGCGCCAAAAACGCGTTCAAAGTAGCAGAAAAAGAGGCAAATTGAAGAAACCACCGCAATTAGAGTTTAGATTGTATTGTATATGGAACACGTGTAGTATATGGGCTAGAAACTGGGGGCAATTCAGGTGGTACCCTCCGCCCATGACAGTTAGAACGCTTTAAGAGCCAAAGCCATCGCCATCGTCATCGCTTTGGGTGTACGCTGTACAGATATAGCCACCAGCTCTGACCTAGATGCGCATGCGCGGAGCCACACGGCCAAAACCAAAACTGGTAACTTGCGCACGTCTCCCGGTACGTACTTTATTTATACCCTTGCAAAGGGTAACATAATTTTGGGCAACACTGTGCAACGCTGTGAAGGACACGTTCTTAACAAACTTAGTTCTTCCTTAATTTCTAAAGGCAAAAATGTTTTTTTTATAAAATATAAATTAGTCAAAAAAGACTAGTAAATTCTAAAGATGTAAAATACTAATGAGATTATTGATTTATTATTATTTGTTTTTTAAATTGTATTTTGATTATATCCGATTTATATCCGTTATATATATATATGTAAATATTTAACTGATTAATCGTCAAAGCCATAAATGGTTTTTTTGAAGATAAAAGCTTGGGGTTTTTAAATGTGTATTATAAGAAATTATTTAGATAAGGAAGCTCCTATGGCCAACTACATCCGACATTTTCCGTATATATATTCCATCTGATTATCTAATAACTATAACTTCCACCTAACTGCAAGGGTAATCGAATTCGGCTCCGTCCGAAGAAAGCTTTCCTTTTTTTTACGTATGTTATTCGAGTGAGTGTGCCGGAGAAAGAAAGAATAAATTGAGTTGCGTCTGAGTCGCTTGAGTCGTTAACAAAAAATACACAAATTAAGCTACGAGTAACATCTTAAAAAATATTACACAGAGAACATATTTGTTACTTAATTTTATTGTGTGTGAATTAGAAGGTGAAATGTAAATAAACCATGAACTCCATTCTTTAAAAGAATGCCTGCCCCCTATAAGCTTTATGCTTTTTTATGGGTAACCTCAAAATTTTTCTCAAGTGTGACATACACTTACTCGCACAAAGTGATTTTTTTTAGGCAGTGGGTATTAAGACGTCGCTGGCCACGCATAAGTTGATTAAATTTCTCGCATTAGCCGATTTTCTCTATCGGAGAAATTGCTGGACGAAAAACCGTCAAAGAATGATTGATGAGAATTTGATCTGGACAGTAGTCGGATGGCAGATATGGTGGCTGGCTGGTGCGATGGCTGCAAAAATGTCTAACGGAAGTCGGCCATTAACCCGCTAGCACGTAAAGCCCATTGTGTCCGATATCTGTCCGAAACGCGTTGGCATTACCATTCGCCGAGCGATGCGATTTTCGGCCAGATTAACAGATTCACAGCCCCAGCCGCCGCCACTTTCAATCATAATAGCCGGCCGACAAAGTGTCGCGCCGATGAAGAAAGTGAAATGTGACAGGTGTAAGCGGGGCGGGACAGGTACAGGTGGAGCATCGACACCAGCATCGATGTCAATGGGATGGGATGGATGCTTGTGTTATCAGAAAACGACGGTGAAATGGAAAGTTCATTTCCAACGCATCACTAGAAGACACAAATTGAATCATCCGAACAATGCAGTCCCATCAAAAAGGGGAAACATTTTTGATTATTTATTTACACGCCGGCCGTTGTTTGCTTTTTGGAAAGTGATTGCCAATTGGTAGGCGAACGGACGGTTCATTATGGAGTTCGGATACCGCTATGCCCATTGATACCTCTGCCCATATGTCATAATTGATGCCTTAATTTCTTTCAGGTAGTCTGCAAATTTATGCAATCTTCTCTGGTAGCTTTCTATAAACAGAACTGCTAGTGAGAAAATATTTTTTTTAAAGACATAACAGGCTGGCTGAAAAAGGTTAGGAAAGCTAATAATTAATATATTGATAAAACCGACGCATTTCTGAGAAACCAATAGAAGACCAATAGCCTTTCTTGACAGAAGTAATAGGAAAAATAGAATTGAATTTTTTATTTTAGCAAAACTAAAGCCCGTATATTTTATACTCAATTTCCTTTAACATCTTAGTTTCAGTGGCATTTGAATTAATTTGTGGAAATAAGTTCATATATTAAGTTAAATAAAGGTCTTAAAACATTTTGTTTTTTAAACCGATAGTACTTTAATACCGGTAATAGAAAACACCTTAGTATACACGTTATTTGTTGAAAGATCTTTCTGAAAGATGTTAAATCACTTTCGGCAAAAGTCACAGAATCCCCTTTTTAATTAAAATCGCAACTGATACCCAGCGATATACGCAGCACCGACGATGAATGTCTGAACCAAGTAACGTTCCAGCTAATTGTATAATGAATTAATGAAATTGTTTATGGCCATTACAATGTGAATGTGGCTGTGTGCGTTTCAAGAGCAATCTGTGCAGCATTTGCAGTTTCGTAATCGGTCTAACGGCTCCAGCTAGCTAAGCCTTACTGGAGCATAACCACTTCATAAGGGGGCCAAATAAAATCGCAAGGGGTATTCAGAAGCATTCTGCATAAAATCTAAAGATTTGTGTCCCCTTTCAAGGCGGAACTTAAAGTGCATTTCATATCTGCGATACAACGGGGGACGAGTTGACAAGATTATAAAAATATATACATATAAAGAAAAAAAATTATAACATACGAATCTTGTGGGGAAGGAGAGGCATGTGGAGAGTCATTAAAATCATTCACCGTTACGCTCTAACCGGCGACCAAACTAATTAAAAACAAACAAATCTACCGGCTCTTTCCCACATGTGGGCTCCCCGCCGGAGAATTATTCGGAAACTTGATTACTCATCCTCCAAGAACTTTGAGTACTTCGGCTGGCGGATCGAGGTCCGACTGTACAGGGCGCCCCATTGAACGAACCGACAGTTGAAAAGTGTCAAGTCAGGCGGTGAGAACCGTTAGGCTGAGGTAACAGTATTAACAACAGTGCTAAATGTTGGCTAAGTGACTTGCCGGCCAAGTTGAGAATTGAATAATTGGAGAAATGTTATAGGCTATTGTCTGACACATAAACTGATTTCCGTAATAGTTGCTTTCTTCAGGAGAAAATTTGGTATTTAATTTTCATATAAAATAAGCTAAACAGTTATTTAATTTAACTGTTTTTATCTATTTTAAATATTTTAATTAATTAATGAAGTTTATAAGCCAAGACTTGCATGTTTCATGGTTATAAACAGCGAACAATGGAAAACAAAAGTAGATAAGACAACGCTATATTTTCCCAATAAATCTTTTTTTGGAAAACCCTTTTAAACTCTTTTATTTTTATGTTAATTAAGATTCCTCCAAAAATTCAAAGCTATCATCAATAATTTCCTTTCACGACAAAGCGGGTAATCCAACACGTTCTGAATAACTCTCTGTGGCTTGTGGCTTCGAGTCCAATGTTTAATGCAAATGTCAACCTGGTAAGAGACAGCTTCCTCTTAGTATGCATCGACGCACTCGGTGGATAAGAACCCGAATCGCAATTAGTGCCACGATCGACATGCTCGGCACGCACATCCCAGTGCCGCCTCCTCCTTTCCAGTCCATTCCGACTGATCTATTCCCCAACTCCATAGACTTCTATGCAGTCTACAGAGTGTTTTTCCATTTTATTCGGTATCTGTTGGTTACTATGTGCGTGGAAATGCTTTTCATCCATCCAAAACACACAGGAAAAAATGTAATTGTTATATTTTAAAATCCAAAACTGTTCATTGAATTTTTATTAAATTTATTCTTGAATGTTTTAGAAACCCTACATAGAAATACTTGACTGAAATGTACATAATTTTTCATATTTTTCTGTAATGTTTCTTTAATTATAATTTTAGGATTTCTTACGTGGTTATAGGTTTTCTTTTCTGGAAATCATGTTTCTAATGAGTTTATCTTCTTAACATTTATTTAAAAGCTTCTTTATCTTGAATTTCTTACAGTGATACTGCCTGCAGCCGCTTTACCGCAACGAACTCTTGCATTTGAGGTCGCTTTCCTCTTGGCAGCGAAACAAAAGATCGGCCCATTAGTGGCGATTTTACATCATTTGAATGCAATTTAGTCGCAGCTTAGCGTTATGTTCTATTTCGCCCCGGCACGAACTCTTGGCCAAGTCAGCTGCAAAGATCAATCTGCTGGCCAGTTCTCGACCAATTCTCCCCGTTTCTCTGTCTCTGTCTCTGTCTCTATCTCAGTCCAAGACTGTGTCTCTTTCTCAGAGAGACTTGGAGACTGAAGAAGATGAATCGTGCGGCACGGTTGATCAGCAAAGCTGCCAATTTGGGCCAGACGAGATACGTATACGACTATATCTTCATTTCATGATGAGCCCCGCCACTTTTTGACCAATTTGCGATTTTCAACGGAAGAACCGAGAAGAACCAAACTGTGTTTGTGTGTGGGGGCGGGGGATCAAAGACACGAGACTCGAGATCTTGGCTCCGGATTGGGACTCGGTTTTGGGGCTGAGACTTGACCGGGTCTTAACGAGCGAAAGTGTTTCATTAACTCGTAAATGAATAATTTGAGCCAACGAGACAACGACAACGAAAACGAAATCAAAATAAACCAAAACCAGCACTCACAGCCCGATCTCGAGAAATGCTCGTAAAAATGTACATAATTTTTCAATCTCAATCTGGTTTTGCGCATTTCTATTTCGCCGTCCAACTGTCTGTCTTTGATCCACTTCCGACTTGAGACCAAAAATACCAAAAAAAAAAAAAAATGAAAAATGAAAATTTTCATTGCCTTAGTGAAACTAATTTGAGGTGAAAATTGTCAAAATAAAAAAAATACCCCAGATGCCTTGGTGACAGATGGAAAGACAGAGCGAAAGATATGGGCGTGTTTTTTTGGTGTCTAGTCTAGGATTCGTAGTCGGATGTGGATGTGGATTTGGCAACCTGTCTCGGCCTTGTCCGAATATCTCGTGCTGAGTCATTTGGCCTGGAGTTTGGAGTCGGTGTTTTGGCACTTTCACCGGCACACTGCAGTTATCAATGAGTCAGTTTGGATCGGTTGGCGCGGGGGAATTTGCGTAAATTGTCGGTTATTACGAGGAGGGGCTACGCCTCGAATTGGGTCAGCATGTTCAGTGGCGAGAGCCGCAGCCTCTTCCGTTGGATCTGGCCCGAGAACCATAAAACGTTAAAAACGTTAACTGCGGCTAAAAATCAATTTCCGCATAGGCATAAATAGGTGCTTGTAAAGCACACATCTTTCATCATCTTTACAGTTCTGGTCACAATAATGGAACTGAATTTAGAAACAGACTTAAACCTCAAAGTGGAAACATTTTAAAAATTCCAACCTTTTTTTTACATTCAAGGTTCTGATCCTATTTATTTTTTCAACTAGCTAGGAGCTAGGGCCTTCAAAAATGTTTTCCACCATCTTTAAAATTGTGGTCCACCTAAAGGAACAAATTTTAGTGGCAGTTTGTTCAAGTTTCAAACATTTTCGAAAAATTATACACATCCATCTTTAATAGTTTTTTTTCTAACTAGTTAGGAACTATTTCTTCCACGAAAAGTATTTGCATTTCTATTACAATGACCGCATATGTTTTTAATTTGCCGTCATAATGGACGCGACCCACTCATCGCTAGTGGGATCGGCAAATAATGGAGCGCCTCCTCGAAACCGCTTGCCACTATTCCGGGGTGATATACAACGGGTCCGGACTTGCGGCTGCGGCTGTGGCAACTAAGCTCAACTGAAGTGAACTGTCAATTGGCCCAGTTCATGAACGTGGTAATTGCGCGGTTAGCGACATATAAAGCAACACCAAGAAAGCTCACTACCGTCTCCTCGACAACAAAACGTTCTCCGGGGCCTTTGTTTCAGTTCTTTGGACAATCACCTGTCCACCACCTTATTTTCCATTATTCTCAACGCTTCTTTTTTTTACCATTTTGGTGCCAGTTGGATTCGGCGTCGGAATGCTCTTTGCTGTCTGCCGCCCTTTTTTTTCGTGTAGAGGGACTTTTTAATTTCTAATTTCTTTCTTTTATTGCCCAGACTGGTTTTTTGGGTAGGTCCAAGGTCCGAGGCCCCCTTTTTTATTGCCATTTTCGTTTTAACATCCATAATTTTTAGCTTTGCCAGCTCGTTTGTGCGCGATTATTGCTCTTGGCCATCGTTTTCTACCTCCTCCTTGCTGGGTTCGGGCTCCGGTGTAATGTAACCAGTTTTGTACCTTCCTCCATGCTGCTTTACTGCATCTCTAACTAGTTTATGGCCCAAGTCGCGTTTTAGGGAGAGTCTGCCCCATCTCCCGACTACTTACTGGCTGCAGTCTGCAGACAGGAATCCTGCTCCTTTGCAAATTAAGTTGTAAATTCCTTAGTAGCTTACCTGGTAGGCTAAAATAAATTATCGTCCCAGGTTGATGTCGAAGCGCGGTTCCATTTGTTAAGAATGCACTTCAGAAGATTTATACTTCTTTCAGCGATTGCTTTTCCAGATTCAATCACAAAAATGCACTGAACTTTCTTGCTTCCGGATTAATCCTATTTATTCGCACCTACTGGTGCTTCAATTCACGGTATTATTTTATTGCTTTTTTGCCACCTTTTTTGGGAAGCACTCGATTTTGAAAACCAACTGATCGCGCCCGAGTCTGAATGTTAACTGAAGATATGACCAAAATATCGCATTGGTTCACGGCGATGGATCGGTTCCCATCGGCTCAAGATGTCCGGCTCAAAACACTTCCTCACAAGTTGAGTTGTGAATGATATATAAAAGCACCTCCATGGTTGAATCAACAGGTTGTGGGTTCTTTATTTTAGATGACAGTATGGCAACGCCATATTACCCGGTTTACCCGATGGGCCCCCTAAGAGAGAAGGTCGCGCATGCGCAACGGTCTCTGACTTTCTCTCTTTCACCGCTCACTCGTAGTACTTCTCTTTGACTCTCCCTTCAACAACAGTCTATTGATATTTAAATGGCCAAAATCTTTATTTTTGGAAGGAAAACAATTAACAAGCATTTGAAAACAGAAAATATAGAAAGCATACTTTCCTATTAAAATGCAGCTCTTTTAAAGCTTTTTTTATATAGGTTTAATTAATAATTTTTTTAAATTATATTAATTTCTAAGAATAAATAATTTATATAAAGTTGCTTGAAATTATTTAAGATATGAATCCCATGGATTTTATTTCTTTTAAATCTTAATTAAGCTTAAGCTTAGTTTAGTTTCAAAACTCCTGCTTGTGCTTTGGAAAATAACATAAGTTATTGCCTTTGAATTAAAAAGTAAAGAAAAGAAAAACAATTAAGTATTGCACCATTTATTTTTAACACAATTTAAATCTTTTTTGCGGTGATTATTTACAACATAATTTAAACAACTTTATTGGTGAATATGGGAACACTTCATATATTTGCTTTCTGTATCCTTATGGAACATTAGTTCTTAGCCAGCAACGATTTCATTGTGCCACTCGCGTCCAATAATGGCCACTACATCTCGCTTCAGTTTGGGCCCGATCAATGGATTCATTTGGGCCATGTAGCAGCACAACCAAAACAGCCAGCAGCAGGCAGCAGTTAGCATCAGGACACAACGTATCAGGTTCTGGTGAGGTCCTTTGGGAGTCATCATAGGCATTCCAATGCCAACCGCACCCCAAACTGCAGTGAAAAACAGCACAGGAAAGAAAGCTGCACCCATTTTATAGAATTCAAACGAATCAGTTACAGCTCTTTTCGTAATTTAAAGTGTTTTCAAAATTTTTCGTTTTATTTTTCTAACGTTTCGATAAATCAATAAAGTTTAAGTGGGACCAGACTTGGTCTCTGTATCTGTGTATTAGGACAACTTAAGTACGTTTCATATAAATCGCGCTGGCCACACCGCGCACTGGTCGCCTCTTATAAGCTAAATTTATTTACTATCTTTTCCAAAGTTTTACTTAATATATTACGCACATAAGCAACATGTCTATGCGACCTGACGACCATCGAAGGAAATGGGACAAGAACGAGTACGAGAAGCTGGCAGCCGAGCGCCTGCTCAACCAGGTGGCTCCCAAGGAAGAAGGTTCGCAAGAAGATGTTGCCCATTTTACCAAGCTATAATTCTATAACCACCTTTAGAGCCTGTTCAGAGGGAGAACCTGAAGAGACGAGACTATAAAGTGGATCTGGATAGTAAGCTCGGCAAGAGCGTGGTTATAAACAAGAACACACCCACGTCACAGTCTGGAGGATACTATTGCAATGTGTGCGATTGTGTGGTTAAGGACTCCATCAACTTCCTCGACCACATCAATGGCAAGAAGCACCAGCGGAACCTGGGCATGTCCATGAAGGTGGAGCGCAGTACCGTGGACCAAGTAAAAGAGCGCTTCCAGCAAAACAAGAAGAAGATGGAGGAGAAGCAGAAAGACTACGAGCTCGAGCGGAGATTGCGCGAGGCGAAGGAGGAGGAGGACCGATACAAGGAGCACCGCAAGGAAAAGCGGAAAGAGCGGAAGCGCAAGGCTGAGGACAACGACGAGTTTGCCTCTGGCGGTCTGCCTGATGACATGGCCGCCATCATGGGCTTCTCCGGCTTTGGCGGATCCAAAAAAAACTCGTAGATCCTAAGTGTTGAGCTGCTCCTTAGTTTTAAAAGCGTAACCAATTTAGAAACTAACCACCTACAGATAAATTGTTTATATGATGGCCAATAGGGACAATTATTTTACAAAAGGCTGCCGAGATACAAGAAAACAAAACACCTTTCAAGTATACTATATTCATAAAAAAGTATACCTGAGATTTATTTGGTCAATTCCTTTCTTTTATATTGTAATGTTTTTTATCAAGGAATAAAGTCGAATACCGTTAAAGTATCATATTCATCTGTTTTAATTAAAAAAAAAAATTAAAATCCAAAACACAATCCTTTTAAGAGATCTATTAGGTTAGCTTGTGACATTTATTTCATATATAAGACAATTTACACCAGTTGTTTCAGCGTCCCGGCTGTTCCCAGTTAGAATAATTTAATAAGCAGTCAGAATGAAAAAAATGACTAAAAACCATTTCACTAATATCTAAACATTGGGTCACACCATCAGCAACCTCCGGGGTGGGCTTAGGTGAACACGAATCCGTGCTCGGTGGGAATGTCCCACGGCATGGTGAAGAACTCGCCAGGCAGCTGGGTGCAGTGTGTAGAGTTGTAGTCGCGTAAATGCTTGCGCAACTAAAAACAAAATAAGTAAGTTACATTTTTGTAAGTTAGGTGATTTAAGAAATCTTACCAAGAATACGGCCATGATGTTGCGCACTTCTTCTGAGTATTCGGCTCCAATCTGCATGGGGAACGATTTGCCTTCATCGGAGGCATAAGTAATCAGGCGTGACATGCAAAGCTTTTCGTCGACAACTGTGATATTGTAAGGCTCCAATGGTTTTGACAATATGGACTTGGCCTTGCTCAGCTGAGATGACCCGAAAATGTTAGGGTACCGATGTTGCAACACAGCCAACACCAAAAAGTTTCCACGGTTGGTCTCAATGTGGTTTTCTCTGAGAAACAAAAATGTATCGAATTTCAAGAACCCACAATTGAATGAACTTACTCGGCAATAATCTCATCATCAGTACGACGGATAAACGATATTGGTCCATTGAATTCTGTTGCCAACTCAGCATTGTTGAGATTGCAGTAGTTGCGAATCGCCACCTTTACAATCCCGGCCAGGGCAGCAGGCATACGAGGAATGGCCAAGTAGAGAACGTCGTCGAATGTGGCATCCAGCACCACGCCTTTCACATCGGGATAAACGGAAGCAGCATACAATGTACTAAAGCCTCCAATGCTCCAGCCGTACAAGATTATATCTTCCACTGAGAAACCCAGATTGTTAATGGCAAACTGGACAACAGCATCGATAGCGTTCTTGTCCTGATGCGGAAAGGGGGTGCCAGTGCTGCCGGCAAAACCAGGATGATTCCATCCCAGAACTGAATACTTCAAAGCCACCGGAGTGCCCATGATGCCCACTTCGTAAAAGCCAGCGTTTCCCTCCGAGCAAATGACCAGAGTCTTGCCATTGCCCACGTTGTCGTTGCGGTTGTCAATAAACAGCGCATCAATGTCGTTCGAATCGATCGTCTTAATTTTGTAGCGGATGCCATTGTCATCTTCAATGAGCTTGGCGCGTCCCGAGATCAGCATTGGTCCTGTATTAGAACAAGAAAGAATTCCCGAGTTAGATAATTGAACACAAACGTCAGATTCATTTAGAAAAACCGGTTTTTGTATTGCTTACTCATGAATTTCTGCAGCAGCTTCACCGAGCCCGGATAGATCAAGGAGAGCCCGAAGGTGTTGATGGCCAAATAGGCAATCACTTCACAGGGCAAAGTGGACAACTTGATTGGCTCCTTCCGGCTGGCTGTAACTACAGGCTTCTTGGTGTCCCTGGAAAAGATATCTTAGAGTGGTAACAAGTGGCTTTGAGTAGGTGACTTACCCAGTGAGAGCCTTCACATCAAAATCGACTGGCCATGCCTTGAACTCAATGTCGAAGCGGCGCAGCTCGCTGTTGGCATCCCCAGCGGTTTTGGCCTGTCTGGCATTCACCAGAGCCTTCATCATGTTGGAGTATGAGCGCGACTGCTTGCGTCCCAGGCCGCGCATAAATAGGGAAATGATAACGATGAGGCCCACGCTAGTGGTAATCTTGGCCAGCGCCGGCATGGAATCGGCCACTAGGTAGCCGCGTCTGTAGAGGAATGTTGCAATCAGCGGCGATGTGTAATAGCCCACCGACCACATCACCGAGAGCTGAAAGGGAGAAAGTCCGAATTTTATAGCTCCATATGCTCCAGACTACATTTTCCGACTTTACTCACCGTGGACAAAATCTGTTCACCGAATCTTTCAGCGGCCCCCGCATCGTATATTTTGCGCTGCGGTTCCGGCACTCCTTTGTACTCCATATAGAGGTTTGGTCCAAAAACATAGTTCAGGAAACTCATCTTGCCGCTTGGTGTGTATTTTTGCTTCCGAATATATATATATATATTTTTTTTTGTTGTAACTGATGAAAGTGGGCTCAGGGTGTCGCAACTGCAATCCAGCAGATGTTACGTTCGTCCGCCAGGGCTGGCAACTTAACGGTAAGTTTGAAGCGGTAAACAGTAGAAAAAATTACCTAAAAACGAAATCGTAAAGATTCAATGTTTAATTTCGTGCGACTCCTTTGAAATCAAGTAGAAAAGTGACAACAAAATATTGGATAGGTTATGCTCAAGAGAATTTGAAAGTTTTGAAGGGTAAACTTGTTCAATAAACCTGGGTAAATATTTATTACTTACATTCTTGAATAAATATATGTAATATTAAAATTAAATACCAAACTAAAAACTTACTAGTTTATTTTTAATAGTTAGTTGCATTCCTTAATTTGCATTACTCGCAACCCTAAAAAATTTCGCTATTTCCCATCCCTGGTAGAGCACAGATTTCTGTTATCAAAGTATTCGCCAGCCCTGGCATCCACCCCCACCGAATAATTCTCTGGTAATTGATTAGCCGGCTGAAAATGGAAAAGTTTAACAAAGCGCAGGCTAAAAATTTGGCAGCAGCCCAAAAACTAGTAGAAACCTATGCATCCAGCTCCGAAGATGAAGGCGAATTGGACGAGAAGCAAATTTTGGGTAAGATTCATGTTTCCAACAATGACGTGTCATGTACCAGAAGCTAACAACTTTTTATCTTATTTAGACCAACTTTACAAGCACTACAAACCGTCGGACGGAAGCTCAAAAGATGCCGCTCGAACCGCCACGTTCCTGGAAAACACTCTTCATTCTGGTGCAGCCACCTGCCTCATTTGCATCGGCAGCATCCGCCGGGTGGAGGCGATTTGGTCGTGCGAGAGCTGCTACTGCTTCTTCCACCTGAACTGTATTCAGCGCTGGGCCAATGACAGCATGATGCAAATGAAGGTGAAAGCCGCCGAGCAGCAAAATGGCCAGGGACACTACAATCACCTGGGCGAGTTTGTTCCTCCAAAGCGCCAGAAGTCGCTGCACTGGTGCTGTCCTCAGTGTAGAAGGGATTACCTGCCGGCGGACAAGCCCACGCAATACAACTGCTTCTGTGGCAAAGAAGCCAACCCTCAGGCTCAGCCTTTTTTGGTGCCCCACTCCTGCGGCGAAATATGCGGAAAGCTGTTGCAACCAAAGTGTGGTCATGACTGCAAGTTGTTGTGTCATCCCGGTCCATGTCCGCCATGTGCCCAGCAAGCAAATGTGTCCTGCCTTTGTGGCAAGTCCACTCCACGTTCGATGAGGTGTATTGACAAGCAGTGGAAATGCCAACAGCCGGTAAGAAGATTTGTTGTTTTAGTGGCCTACTCCTCTCATGCAATCCACTTTCAGTGCAAGCAACTACTGGCTTGTGGCAAGCACAAGTGCACCCAGGAATGCCATCGTCCAGGACAGTGCCCTCCATGCAACAGCAAAAGCCTGCAGCCATGCGAATGTCAGCGAGAGTCCAAGATGGTGAACTGTTCCGATCGCAAGTGGAAGTGCCAGAATGTAAGTTGAATCCGTAGAGCCACTGGACACAATTATCTAAAGGAGTTCATTTCAGGTGTGTGGCACACCCTTTGCGTGTGGACTGCACATTTGTGAGAAGGTTTGCCACGCTGGACCCTGCAGTGGTGGGGAGTGTCCATTCCAAGTGAGGAGTTGTCCATGTGGAAAAAATGTGAGACTGAGGTTAAGGCCTTCCATAAAACATATAATTACATCGTTTTTTGTTTAGACTCAAGTGGGACCATGTAGTGAGGCAGAGGAAACTTGCGGAGACACCTGCCAGAAGCTCCTATCTTGTGGTCAGCACACGTGCACCCAAAGATGTCATCGTGGGCCCTGCATCTCAGTAAGTCCTGCGTCTATAGATTTAAAAATTGCAAGAATTTTAAAACTATTACCATTTGTTAGTGCCCTGTGAGAACCAAAAAGAAATGTCGCTGTGGGTTGCATGAAAAGGAGCTACCCTGCTCCAAGGAGTTCACGTGCGAGACAAAATGCAAGCAAATGCGGGATTGTGGAAAGCATGCTTGCAACAGGAAGGTACTAGTAAGGGATACCATTAAAGGATATATTTTCTAACCGGTTTTGATTATTTTATAGTGCTGCGGCGACCAGTGTCCACCATGTGAAAAGATTTGTGGCAAGCAGCTGAGCTGCAACAAGCACAAATGCCAATCCGTGTGCCACAACGGACCGTGCTACCCCTGCAAACTGGAATCCCAGATTAATTGTCGATGTGGGAAAACCAAACGGAGTGTTCCTTGCGGAAGAGAACGAAGTGCACGGATTGTGTGCCTGGAACTCTGTCGGTGGGTTTTCGAGTCCTGTTTTTTGAAGGAAAACAGAGATTTAATGACTCCTTTCAGTATATCTGCAAAATGCCATCACGCCATCAAGCACCGCTGCCACAAGGGCGAGTGTCCGCCGTGCGGTCAAGTGTGCGGCCTTCCTAATGACACCAGTGGATGCGGACACATTTGTAAATCCCGATGCCATGAAGCCATTCGAGTTAACAAGCCCTCAGAAGCAAGACCTCAAGCTAAAAAGGTAAGCTTTTCGCTGCTCAATAGATGAAAGTATAAACATTTTCTTTGGCTTAGTACGAATATAAATCACTGCCCCATCCGCGCTGCGAAGAAGGCGTCATTGTGACCTGCATCGGTGGTCATGAGGTGGCCACCTGGCCGTGCTGGAACTCTAGACCAACTTCTTGTCAACGAAAGTGTGCGCGCCAACTCAAATGCGGAAACCACAAATGTTCCTTAGTCTGTCATTCCGTGGCCAATCCGAAGGATATGCAACAGCAGGTGGGCTGCGCTCCATGCGAAGAGGGATGCACAGTTCCCCGACCGGCAGGATGCACTCACTCCTGTCCCAAGGGCTGCCACCCGCCACCTTGCATGCCCTGCAACTTTGTCATGAAAAATAAATGCCACTGCGGACTCAATCAGTTGGTGTACAAGTGCAGCGAGTACTATGACGAGAATGGCACAGTTCAGGAGATTATCGATCGGAGGGAGAAGTTACGCAGCTGTGGCAATCGCTGTTTAAAGAATGTAAGCTACTCGATTATTCAAAATCTGAAAGCAGTCACGTTTAGGTATCAGACATTACTTTCTTCAAGATTGAATCATCGTTTTAGGACGTGATATTTTTATAGTTTTAAGTTGTTCATAAAATTCTTCTTGCAGTACCCTTGCACCCATCGCTGTACGGCCATCTGTCATTCGGGAAAGTGTCCCAACCCGGAGCTATGCCGGAAAAAAGTGCGCATTTTCTGTAATTGTAAGAGGCTGAAACTGGAGATCGCTTGCGACAAACACCGAGCTGGGCAAACATCCCTGGTATGCGACTCCAACTGCAAGGCAGAGATATCGCGCGCCCAGGCGGCGGAGCAGCAGGATCTTGAAGAGAAGAAACGGCGCGAAGAAGAGCGCAATCGCTTGGAATTGGAGAAGTTTGAGGCCAAGTTCGGCAAACGGAAGCACAAGGAACGCAAAACTGTGGATATGGGACCGCCCAAATCGGATATAAACTGGCAGAAGATTTCGATTTATGCTGTGTCGCTGCTAACAGTTCTGGGAGCCATAGCCGTGGCCTTTTACGCTGACAGCTAATTGAATTAATTGAAAGACATCAATTGATTCAAAGAGAGTTTGTAATATCAATTTAAAACGATAAGAATAAAATTAAAACAATGACTGATAAGAATTTCCAGCAACCGCAGTGCTTGTCTATGTTGAGCTCTTCTAATCTCCCGGTAGTCTATTAGTCCGCCTTGGGCTTCTGATTTTTGTAGAAGCAGGCGGCGGCAAAAACGGAAGCGCTCAGGAAAGTGGATATCAGGAAGTTGGATAGTAACATCCAGTCGTGGCTCTGGAAAAATACTGTGTAGATGCGGGCTGGAAGAAAAAGAATGGGATTAGTTAACACCTCAGAAGAGGAATCTATTGCTAGGATCATACTCATGTTGGTGAATGCTGATAGCGCCCACGTAGTCCTGCTGACGGAGCTAGCATCCTTGGTCCTCAAAATGGCCAACAGTTGGAGGACCTTGCTGGTGGCTCCAATGGGCGTACAGAATGGCTGACAGAGAGGGCAAATATTAAACACAATCTCTTGCATATATTTCAATTGGCGAGCGAGGGTATTAATAGCTGCTCAAATATTATACAACAGTCACCAGTGACCTTGAGCCGAAAGGCTGCCCAGTTATAAGATGCCCCTATAGACTTAGACCTAACAAACTAAGGCAAAGCAAACCCGCTTGTTCCGCCCAGTCGCATAAACATAATTACTTAATTAAACTTTGAAAACAGGTTCGTTTTGTTGTGAAGTCTCCGTTATCTTCTAATCATCGGAAATGTGCGATTGCAGTTAATATTACTCACCACCAGGAACGTTAGGATGATAATGGGGAATAGCCGAAGGTAGACCAGAGTGACCACTATGGAGTACAACACGGCAATCACTTGGGTCTTCTTGCCCAGCAAGTCCTGGTACTTGAAGGCGTAAAAAATCAGTGCGTACTCCTGCAACAGCAAGACAGGATACTCCATGTAGGACAGGAAGTCATAGCCACTGGTGTAGTTGTAGGATAGCATCACCGTATAGCTGAACAGCTCCAGGCATAGTCCCAGCACGCTGATGCCTTTGGAGCGAGATAGGTCAGTTATGAGTGGGAGGATGAAACAGAAATTTGCGTGGGCGGCTCACCTTTCGAGGACTGGTTCTCCCGTATCGTGTTTATCTGCGGCACTTTGATTACCAGGCAGGAGGACACTGTTATTAGGCTGAGGAGGTCCGCTATCACAAGGACTATGCCTCGTTCCAGGTATTCCGAGACCACTTCCCCGAGAGCCATGACTGCCGTCCAAATTCGAATTGCTTTCAGTGTTGTCGGAGTGAGCGCCCCCCTCCCCCAAATAACTGTGGCATTGCGTTGGCGCTAAAAATATACTGCCACTAGAAAATACTGAACCGAAAAGTAGAAGGTATTTTTCTTTTTTTTTAATTATGACATTTTAGTTCAAATCAGCAGGGATTTAGAGCAGGTGGGTGGTCACAGAACAACAGATCGTGCCTTATACGGCTTTTTTCCACCAATTCTGTTCTTTATTTTCCTTCCCGGTAAATTACCCGCCCAGCCCCTAAGACGCTGCAACATTAGCTGATGGCTCCTAAAATGCTGCAACTTTTTTCTTCTTCTTCTTCTTATCCGATTCTGATCGGGCATCGAACGACTGGTAACATTGTTTCTGATCGGCCAAAATACTCTAATTAATACCAAAACAAGAGAAAAATACCAGAACTAAGACGACCATACTTTTTCCATCCGTCGTGCTAATTGGAGATTTAACAGTGTTATTTGTTGGACTCGTCAAAGACCTTTCAAACAGGCCCCAAACTGCCTTAAAACGGTGTAAAATATTGTAAATTATATAACTCTCATCAAGTGCCTCAAAAACTTCAAATTTGAAGTTCAATAATGGTAATGATAGACATCCTATAGGAATTCGTAAAGAGCCAAGTAAGCAAACCGATTCATTCACATCACCAACACATAAGCACCGGAAACGGGTTCTATTGAAAAAATAACTCAGCAGCAACAGCTCAACAGTTGTGTTCAAAATATTAGCGATAATTATTCCTTCGTATGTACACAAAGTTCTCTTTAATGATTAAAGTTTAATCTCGCAAGAAAGTCAGGTTTTCGAATGTGATTTTGCAACAAAGAAATCAAAATAAAGAAAACAAAGACGTAACATTATGATGATAATTTTCAAAATAAAAAAAAATAATTTAAAATTTAAATTGATAATTTTTATTATTATAAATTTTATTGCCCTAATAATTTCTAATCTAACCCAATTTTGAAATACAATTGAAATGTTTCTAGCGTTTTTCAAACGCCCTCTGATAGCATTTCCAACGCCACGACAATGGACAGCGTTAAGGTTGAGGCGTTCATCAAAAGCGAAGGTAAGTGGGGTCGCGTTACCCGACTGCAAAGCACCTTGTAACCGATTCTGTGAACTAACTCGAATGGCATGGCCAATGCCCTCTGACCTTGCAGAAAGCCGAGCAATGCCCCTGATTGGAGGTGGCAGCGGACCAGGAGCCCCCATCGGACCGGGGTCAGTCGGCGTGGGAGTGGGGGTCGGGGCCGGGTCATCGACCACGCTGAGTGTGGAGCTGTGCCTGGTGTGTGGCGATAGAGCTTCCGGTCGACACTACGGCGCCATTAGCTGCGAGGGCTGCAAGGGTTTCTTCAAGCGTTCGATCCGCAAGCAGCTGGGTTATCAATGCCGCGGAGCGATGAACTGCGAGGTTACGAAACACCACCGGAACCGGTGCCAGTTTTGCCGGCTGCAGAAGTGCCTGGCCAGCGGCATGCGAAGTGATTGTAATTTTCGTTTAAGTCGTCGTCTCAAGCAACTATCAGATCTTTGGCCAGCCAAAGTGTACGTGTCCCAGCAGCACTATCATAAGTATATGGGGGATTTTCCAATCGGAGAGCAGAGGCCACGTATTTGGGTTCTTCCAACTTCTGACCGGAATGCTCTCTGTACTGGATTGCTCGTCTTATGATTGCAACTGCTGGGCCGCAAAGACTCCCCGACTAGCACACACTCATTCTAACCCACTCACCACCAATCACTTATCCCGCCTGGAAAATCATCAAACCGCATCACAGTTTTACTTCTTGCTCCAATTAATTTCTTTCTATTCTCTCGTGCTACTTGTTGCGCTTCACAGCTGTGCAGCATGAGAGGAAGCCAATCGTGGACCGCAAGGAGGGTATTATCGGGGCGGCAGGTGGCTCGACCAGCACCGGAGGTGGGGGCAGCTCCTCCAACTACCTGTCTGGCAAGTCGGGATACACGCAGGGCCGTGGCAAGGGACACAGCGTCAAGGAGGCGACGGCCACACCTCCCGTCCAGAGCTCTCAGGCAACGCCCTTTAATTTGAATGAAAACCTGTTCCCGATGGGTCTCAACTTTGCTGAATTGACGCAAACTTTAAGTAAGAATCTAATTTAAATTTTACTTCATTTTTATAAATAATTAACCATTAATGGTTTTAGTGCTTGCCCAACAACAACAACAACAGCAGCAGCAACAACAACAGCAGAGTGGCAGCTACTCGCCGGATCCTCCCAAAGCCGAACCGGAGGAAGATGAGGACGACTCCATGGACAATAGTAGTACTTTGTGCCTGCAACTGTTGGCCAACAGTGCCAGCAACAACAACTCCCAGCACTTGAACTTCAATGCTGGAGAGCCACCAGCCGCCCTGCCCACCGCCTCCACCATGGGTCTTATCCAGAACTCGTTGGACATGCGTCTGATCCACAAGGGTTTGCAGTTGCTGCAGCCCATCCAAAACCAGCTGGAGCGCGGTGGCAATGTAAACGTGAAACCCGAATGCGATTCAGAGGCCGAGGACAGCGGAACGGAAGATGCCGCTGACACGGAACTAGAGCACATGGACCTAGAGTTTGAGTGCGGCGGAAACCGCGCCGGGGAGTTTGTGGTCAATGAAGCGGTCTTCGATCAGGAGCTACTGACTGATGCCCAGAGCGCCTTCCACGTTCAGCCACCGACCTTGGTCCATTCCTATTTGAATATCCACTACGTGTGTGAAACGGGGTCGCGAATCATTTTCCTGACCATACACACCTTGCGGAAGGTTCCGGTATTCGAGCAGTTGGATGCCCACAGCCAGGTGAAGCTGCTCCGCGGAGCCTGGCCGGCTCTGATGGCCATCGCCTTGGCCCAATGCCAGGGACAGCTGTCGGTGCCCACCATTATTGGGCAGTTTATTCAGAGCACAAGGCAACTGGCCGACATCGAGAAAATAGAACCGCTGAGGATCTCCAAAATGGCTAATCTTACAAGGACCATGCATGACTTCATCCAAGAGATGCAAACTATGGAGGCAACCGACCTGGAGTTTGGTCTGTTGCGCCTGATCCTGCTCTTCAATCCGTCGCTTATGCAGCAGCGCAAGGAGCGTTCGTTGCGAGGATACGTGCGCCGAGTGCAGCTCTACGCCCTGTCTAGCTTGCGGCGGTTTGAGGGAGACGGAGGAAGTGCCTCTGGAGAGGAGCGGTATAACAGCCTGGTGGCTCGCCTCTTTCCCCTAAGCAGCCTGGATGCTGAGGCGATGGAGGAGCTGTTTTTCTCCAATCTGGTCGGGCAAATGCAGATGGATGCGCTGATTCCGTACATCTTGATGACCAGCAACACCAGTGGAATATGATGGAATCCTTTCTAGGGACTAAAACGGGGCGAGTCTTAGACCCAAGACCCGCCCAAAAGCAAGACTGAAGATGGACCAAGTGCGCCAAGTGGGCAGTACACGAAGCAAATAGGAAAATCCCCATAAATATATATATTATTTAGCAGACAATATTGAACTTCTGGATAAACTGTTAGTGTCTCGCGTAATAGAAATAATTCCCAATAAAAATTGTTTTCGAAAATTTTATTAAAATAAACTACTTATAGTTTATACTCTTATCCCGTCTATTCATGAGTCAAAATTAATTTAAAACAAGTTTATAATCATTTTTTATTTTTAGAAAAATATTTTGATTGTTTTTAAAATAATATCTTAGACGATCATCGCCTAAAAATGCTTTAACCTCTTTACAACTTACATCTAAACTAGGACGATTCTATTGGGTTTTCTGGGGCTCTGGGATCTTTCGGGCGGGTCTGTGTTTCTTGTGAACCTCTTCATTGAGTCCTTCCCGGTTCCGGGCTATCTCAATGGCCAGGAACTGAACCCGGAAGACGAAGATTGAGTTGTCTGGGGAGAACTCTTTGCTGGCATCCGCTCGCATCAGTGTGCCATAGGAGTAATCTTCCATTTTGTTGAACTTTTCGGCAAATTGCCGCCACTTCAGCTTCTCCACTGCCGATTTGAGGATGTCATCGCTTAGGAGACCGACCTTAAGATCCGGGAAGTCCTGTCGGAAGGTGGCGTATATTTGGTCGTCGTATGGAGTAAGTTTCAGCTGTGACGGATCCACGCTAGTGAGCAGCTATAATTGGAAAAATATTATCTCAGCATCATGGTAAACAACAAAGGCTGACAACTCACATTAAAGTGCACCTCGGCATGTTCCAGAGCTTTTGCGGCCCACATTTCCTCCACCAGGGAATCGTTTCCAAACTCCTCCGCCGGTCGCGACAGCAGCGAGGCTCCTTGCTAAATAACATATTCATTAAAATTTGTGGATCCTACAATGCCGCAGTACGTACCATTAACTCCATTATATCTCTTTAAATCAGCGATATTCCTTCTAGAAATAAAGAGAAATATCAGCACGTTTTTAATATATTTTAATGTTGTGTTAGGGGTGAGGCAACATCGATGTTTTTAATTATCGGAGACAGCCACAGGGTGTTCAATGTAAAACATAAATTAAATAAAATGTTTGGGTCATAATAAAAATTAATTACCAATTTTTTTTACATTATAATATTTGATAAGAATTTTATTTTCAAATTTGGCCCTTTTTTTATATTAGCCTATTTTTTTTTCTATAAAACGTGCTTCTCTTCTGAATTGGCTCTGTGGGTTTCTCCAATACCAAAAATGATTCCAAATTCAAAACCCGCTTTCTTGAGCTTGACTTAATAAAAATGTCTACAACTCTTTCCATTCGTATGGCTTTATATAATTATAAAAATATATGTACATTAAATAGAGCTTTCTAAAACTAATAAAATGGGGCTATAGAACGCCTAAAAAAGACTCCTTATTGGAAAGAAAAATAATCCTATGAAAATGATCCTAATCCTGAAAGCCGTAAAGTTTTAGTAGATCATAGTAATCATTTTTTTGCTTTAGTTGTCACTTGGTTTTGAAACTTTGATAATACTTATCCACATTTTCCACACATACGCCGACACACTTGGTTGTTGTTTTTATAAACACACTTGTTAAAGCATATAGGAAAAATTTGTCCGAAAAATATGTTTGAAAACATAAGTTTTCTATTCTTATGTGCCCTGGCTTTTCTCGCCTGGGCCCTACTCTGCTTCCTACACATGGTCGAGGTCCAGAGGCGGAGCACCTCCGATTACCGAGTGGAGCTGTACACAGGTGAGTTTAAAGATAATAAGCAGAGAAAGATTAGCATTTTAATTCCCCTTTTAGAACGCCCCGCCATTACCTTTGCGCCACACCAGGTAGCCCCCGATTGTGCCCTGATGCCCAGTGGCACCTACGAGTTTGCAAAGAGTTTCGGGGTGATCTTTGCCTTGACTTTCGGCCTGTCCAAAGTGCTACAGCTGGCCGAGGGGCATGCCAAGAGATTTATTAAAACTCGCGAGGCTCTGGGTCCGGTGCTTGTTGCGAGATCCATACCTTTCGATGAGAAACAGAGTTCACGGCCCAAGACAGCGATTGAGAGATCTCCAGATATTTCTCCGGTGGATGAGAACGCCGAATTAAAGCAGCAGCTGCAAGCCCTGCAGGCCCACTGTCTTGAGATGCGAGAGCTGCTCCAGGAGCTGCGGGTCAGCAGTAGTTCCAGCAGCCATAAGATTCCCACCGCAGCAACCAACGATGATGAACCATTAGATGCTTTAGTTTCCGAGGAATCTGACATCCTGTTGTGGAGGCGGACGGACTCCTTTGCGGAGACCATTTCAAGATCCTCGCAGCCTCTCTTTGAGGACTCGGAGCCAAGAGTACCGAAAACCTCGCAATGCCACCCAGGCCAGAATATCTATATCACCAACAGCCAGATCCACATCAACGGCGGTGTCTTCTGCACTAGTAATCCCGTCAATGTCGATCTTTGTCGACAGGCTTCAAAATATAATTGTAAGCCGAGCGAATTTCTCCAGGTTTTTGACCACTTTATCAAAGGACCCAAGGAACGTCCAATGATAGCTACTACTATTCGCTGCAACAACTACCTCTTGTAAAGAATTTAACAAAATCCAGAAAAGTATTTGTGTAACTGTAAACAAGAAATAAAAGTAATATCTATATTATATAATATTCGGCTTTAAGGCTTAGCCCTTATTTATTTTAGCTTTTAAATGTAAAAAAATCACTCCAACGTATATATTTGTAATTTCCCGCCATGCTTGATCAACGGGGTTCAGTATTTTTAGTGTTAGAAAGCGTGGAATTTTTATATTGACACAAAAAAGCTAAATTTAGCCCAATAAAAGCTAAACTGTTTGCTCAGTTTCGCTCCCCTGGCGCGCCAAAATCAAATTTTATTTAAATGTACCAATTCCGAAACCAAACTAATTTCAAATTAAATTTGTAAATCAGATTCGAAAAAATGTGTATGTTACTAGTTATTACGACGGTCAATGTTTCAGCTTTAAAAAAAAATGGTTGAATTTAAAAACTTTGTTTTCTTGTGTACCCTGAAGCATTTTTTCTTGCTATGTACGCATTTTCATTGGCCAGTGCTACCATTTTCCTTTAAAAGTAGGAAATTCAGCATTCTCAGAGTGACTTGTAGCATTTTTTGCGTCAAATATGAATGAAATATAGGGAGGGACTGATAGAACAGATCACGATCGGAATGTATGCCCGTGTGTGCGTGAAATGCGGTTTATTTACGTTTTCATATCCCACCGAACTGGTCGAATTTAAGTCTCAAGGGATTGTGATTTAAAGTTAATTTTACAAAAAAAAGTATATTATTAAAACTACGTTTTTCTTGAAAATTATATTTTAGTCTTAGTTTTTGTTCATTAAAATTTCCGAGTATGTATGTATTTTTATACAAATATAAGAAAATAGACCCTATAAAATTATTGAGTCATGCAACAAGTTGTTGATTTTCTATTTCTTTATACTGCCCGTCTTCTATTCTTTGTTTTCCTGTTTTGGTTGCTTGAATGCATATGTAGATATGTAAATTACATTTTCCTCTTGGACTTTGCCAGATTCGTTTAGCACCTTTTTAGCGAAAAGTTTCCGACGGAAATTGTCAACAGAAACTGAAAAACTCCCATGTAAATACTCCGCTCACACGAACACCCATACGAATACAGGCGCAGCTCTTAATAAAGATTAACGCATTTCTTATCAAGCGGTGATAGCAGGCGAAGAAGATGGAAAGAGAGAAAGAGAGAGAGAGAGAAAGGAAAACAGCTAGAGCTCACTTTTCTCATTGGAAAATAGAGGCACAGAGAGAGGGATAGAGAAATTGTTTTGATATCTTTTCTCTGCCTGATTAGCAGCGTCTAGTTTTTCTCGTGTTATTTATTTGTTTTTCTGGTTTCTATTGCCTTGTCTTCTTCATCGTCTTCCTCTTCGTAGCAGCAGCCGCCTACGAACGTCGGCGATGCCTGCTTTATTTTCGCGCCGCCGCTGATAAAATAAAGAACAATATTAATTTAAGTTTAAAAATAGAATTTGCTGCAGATGCCCATTGCATGAATGTGTGAGAGCGAGAAAGAGTGGGAGAGGTAGAAGAAACAGAGGGAGAGAGCCAGGCCATCGAGAGAATCTTGCATGATCTCCGCTTGGCTCCCCAGCAGAGTTGCCAACTTAGCTATTTCCCCATTTCAAAAGCAAAATGCGGAATTTTATACCATCATCCAACTATATTTCACAGTTTTTAAAACGATCTTGTGTGACAGTAAAAATGCCCAAGATATACATATAAACAAAAGCCGCGTCATGATTGGAATGAATCAGAGCTACAGAAATTCAGCAGAAGAAAAGGGCATGATTGAGAAAACTTGCAAACTTCTCAAAAATTCTTAAAAAATAAATCAAATGAATAAAAATATTGTTTTACGATATCATCCTAATTTTCTGGCGGTTTTTAGCTTTTTTATGACCAGAAGAATTAGCAACACTGCTCACTAGCCCCCATTCTCTCAGCGTTGCTCTCTGTTACTTTGGGGCACACACATGTTGATCTTCAGGAGAGCAGAGAGCCGAACTGAGCATGTGGACAGTGACACAAAAATTTGAAAAAAGTGGCATCTAGCGGGAAAAAACTGTAAATTTCACAAAAAAAATGATTTTACTCCCATACCTAATATGTAACGGCATTTAAATAAAAATTACTCATACGTAGTGTTGTCTTGTGTCAGTACAAGTGCGGTGAAAACTGTGCTACAGATTTTGATTTTTGTTTGAATTGGCATATGGGCCGTATGAGTAATAAAATACCAAGTACGTTACTGCATAAAACGGAAGGAGTTAAAATTATGAATTTCAATAAAGATTTATTTTTTGCATAAACACTTTTAAAATGTAACGTTAATCATTAATATATTCTATCATTGTATATATTGTACATGACAATAGAAAATAGCGGCCGCGAAACTGCCAACCCGACATCACTGGGAGCATGCCGAGTCGCTTGCTCGGTTTTTGCTTTTCGTTTGGGGCGATTGGGGCTTCAGTATTGGGGCTTTCAGTATTCAGTATTATTCTATTCGCCTGCGCTTCAAGTTGCTTTTTCGCCAAAGCCGCGTGCGTCGCCCCAAACACACTCTCTCGCACACCCGACACTCACACAGAAAACGATATTATGCATATGTATGTTTAATATATTTTCTGATTGGATTGGGGCGAAAACAAAACCCAAAAAGTGCGAAAAAAGTGAGAAATAAAAATATGTAAAAAGCCGAACAGCATTTCGAATAATACAATAATAATTCTGTGCGGTTTGTGTTAATAATTATTGTTGAATGAAAAACAAATTCCGCCAAATGTGTTAACAAGAGTGTTTGCAGCTGCAGCGCCATAAAGTTTACAACAATGCCACACAATAAAAAATAAAAAAATAAATAAAAATCAAAAACCAAGAAAACAAAAAAAAAAAAAGCGAAAACTGGAATTCGTGATAATTGTTTTTCGAACAAGTGCGAGAGAGGGAAAAATGCAAAGATAACAGATTTTTCGAGTCCCTGATAAGCGATTTATCTCGGCCATAAAATTTGCTGATACTGCACAAAAAATGTAATGTTGGAGACCAGAATTTTGATATGACAGGGTTGAGAGATTCCTCTGGTTACTCGACTGTGAAACTGCCACCTAAAATTCGACCTCTAATTCGAAATGCGGGGATTTTATTTTCCAATTTGGAAAACCCACTGTTCTTTCAGATTCTTCGCTGCAATCTCATCTCTCTATTTTCCCATTTAACCTACCACAATGCAGCGCAGCTTCTCTTTTCTCTTTCTTTTCCATACACTTTACAATTTACAATGTTCCACTCTCTCCCACTTGATATTTTTTTGTGCAATAACAACAGTAACAAGAGTACATATTATAATGTAGTATATTATAATTAACCGCAATATTTTCCATACGAAAAGCAGAGCGATCATCAACAACAAAAGCAAAGCACAAAGTGAACAATTGTTAAAAGCCAAAAAGCAAGCCAATTAAAAAAAAAAACACAGTGCAAAAATACATCAAAAAAGAGTAGCAGAATAGAAAAGAAAACGCAGAGATCCCCCCTAGATCGTGGAAAAACAAAAGGTTTATCTAACTGTAAAGCCGAGCGCCAACGTGGGAGGCATCCGCAGCGAAAACGTCATCACAAGGCACAAGGCCAGCTAATGTGAGTGATTCGAGAACCCCCATACCATCCGGGATAAAATTTAGGAGAAAATTAATTTTAAAAAACTGTGTACATGTGTAATGTGTGTCTTATGTGTAAAATAAAGTTTTAAACTTAGTTCTTGGGATCTCTTGTTTTGGCCTTAAATATTCTTCAAATATGTGTAAGCTATCTGGAATTTGTTTGCAAGAAAAAGTGGTTTTGTTTTCCACAAAATTCCCTTTACCCAACATGTCCGAATTCTTTTAATTGCTTTGGTGGAAACACAAACTGTTTGCGGAACTTAAAATCGAACTATATGTGGATCCAAATAATTACGTGCATCCAGTTGCCAGAGAACTTTCGGGGAGATGCAGCGCCATTACATTGAAACCAAAATACTTTGGTTAGCCCGACCGGACTCCTCTTCTCGGTTTTCCATTTATAAGCACCCTCTCACAGAAAAACAGAGAAAACTTCGATAAAATTTGGCCACTGAAATGCCGGCAATGAACCGCAACAAGTTGGCTTTTCCTACCATTTTCGATGAAGTGATGGGGCCTCAGAGTGCTGGCATTCTTTTTTTGGCTATTAAGGATTTTTCTGACCAATTTCAGTTGCGTTTTCTAGACGAATTAAATTTTTATGGTGTGGAAATATTAAAGGCAACAAAAAAAGATAGATATTTTGTGTGTTTACATTATTCCCTGTTTGCCAATGAAATTGAAATGTTCGATGTTTCTAAAAGAGTTCTATATATAAAATTGTGTATTTATAGTGTGGGTCGGTATTCGCAAACAAGCATCTGGGTCTGTTTCTGGGTGTTTTTTGGGTGGGTGGCTGCTAGCCTGAGTGTAATTGACAGCTTCCTCGAGACAGTGCAGAATATTATTTTTGGAAACTGGCAGAAACGCAAAAGCGTTCATAACTTGAACTTTGAATTGAAATTGTTCGGTTCGGTATCTGTTTTTTGTCAACATTTGCTCGATAATACAAATGTTTCCCCACCCATTTCCAATGTTGTGTATACAAAAATATTAAGTAATAAAAAGAATGCTGATCCCACAACCGTTCGACTTCAACTCCCCCAACTTCAAAGATAGCCAGGCCAGGCCGTCGGATTAAACAGGTGTTATAGGAAATGGGGAGAACGAAAATTTTTAACATTTAAACAGTAAATAATTCAAATTGGATTTCAATTTCTCCATTTTAGATTTAAAGACTTTTTTTTATTAAAAGCTTTGGGATTATATTACCAATTTATTAAATAGAAACAGTTGCATATTAAATGAAAGCAGGTTTTTTTTGTCCTCATTAGGTTTATTTTTTTTGCGAAAAGTTCAAGCTTGCAAAAAAGCACTTTCGCTGTCATAATTTCCCAAGCGGTCACCATCAAAAAAATATATTCTAATGAAATGCATTATAAAGGAGAATTTTGTAACGAGCAAAAAATAATTGTGGATACTTCA